CCGCAGAGGACCGACTATTAATGTTGACGCACATGACAACAACTTCCGGACGGCCTCTAGTAGCCTAAGAGCTGTGAAGTCAGTTGCTAGCGCTTCCAACGCTAGCATTGATAACAATAGCACTGTCGACAGTACTCAGGAATCACTGCTGAGGCCAAAGGACAAACGGCGTTCATCTCTAAAGCAACGTCAGGACAGACAGCTCTACACTCGCAAGAGGGGATCGGGACTTGAGTCGCCACCAGACCCGCAAACGGACAATGAAGACAGCCATGTCATGAGTCTAGCCGAGCGTGCTCAACAATGGCTACCACTGTCTAAACAACAAGGCCAAGTTCCTCCACAAATCCTAGAAGATCCAGATCATCTTCCTCCCATCGCATCCGGATATGCCACAGATCTTGACGTCCTCGTTTCTTACTATGTTAACTCAAATGTGGCCAACTCCATTCGTGAAGAGATATCTGCCTCCGTTCAAGAAGCTCTTTCTGCAAATGGACAGGTTAATTCGTCGCAACAAACCAATGATATCACCGCCAACCAAATGACGGGATACGCCAGAGTCGGCCTCATAAGACAATTCATTATTCTGTCCAGCCGTACCTGGAAAAATCTTTACCGGAACCCAATGCTTATGCTCACTCATTATGCAACCGCTATTCTCCTTGCAGTTTTATCCGGGTATCTCTTCTACGGCCTCACAGATGATATCAAAGGCTTCCAGAACCGCCTCGGCTTGTTTTTCTTCCTCCTTGCCCTTTTTGGCTTCAGCACACTGACAAGTTTGACTGTATTTTCCTCTGAACGACTTCTCTTCGTCCGAGAACGTGCCAATGGATATTACGCTCCAATTACCTACTTCACGGCCAAGGTTATGTTCGATATCATACCGTTGCGATTGATCCCTCCTATTATAATGGGTATGATCGTATACCCCATGGTGGGACTTATCCCGGACTGGCCGGAATTCTCGAAATTCATTCTCATTCTTGTTCTCTTTAATCTCGCTGCGGCGGGGATCTGCTTGTTTATCGGTATCGTCTTCCGAGACCCAGGCGTCGCGAACTTGATTGGTAGCTTGGTGATGTTGTTCAGTCTCTTATTTGCCGGTTTACTACTCAACCACAATGCGATTCCAGCTTCGGCACTATGGCTGCAAACTGTAAGTTCTACTCAAATCTTTGTGAGGCAACATTTTTACTAACCCGTTATGCCGCGTCAGCTATCCATCTTCCACTACGCTTTTGAAGGCCTCATTGTTAACGAGGTCACATATCTCACGCTTATTGACCATAAGTATGGTCTTGATATTGAAGTTCCAGGCGCTTCTATCTTAAGTGCCTTTGGTTTCAACAACCTCGCCTTGTGGAGCGATGTCGCCGGTCTAGGCGTTATCTCCGGCGTTTCCATCGTCATGGCCTATGTAGCCATGCACTTCTTGCTTGTTGAAAGGAGATAGGAGACCAGCCTGGAATCTTGTTATTCAGAGCAAAGGACCATTTCGTTTATTAGGCGTTTAGTTCTTTTTTCTCTCCTCCTTTTTGGACATCGTTGTATATATCATCTGGCTTCGGCAACTCTCATAATATATTGCCAGCGCACTTCGATTGCTCGTCTGTCAGTTTTTGTCTGTCCTTTCGCTGGTCATACATGACGCTTTTATACGATAGAACGATGATCTGTTAGAATATTATCTATATCCACCTTGGTTATGTTTCCTCGACTGGGCCATTTTTGGTCAATGCTATCTATTTGTCATGAATCAGGTATCTCATCTCTCGATGTAAAGCTATCATTTTATATACGAACAAGATGCTACTATATGAGTCGGTTCTCGTATAATAGCTGAGGAAGCCCTACAGAGTACGCCCCGCCCTTGAGTGGTGCGGAAGAAATAGGAGGGGTGGGGGATCATAACCTAGGTATGTGAATATTTCTAGAAACGTCTTCATATCTAACATTTGAAACTTGTTATTCTAACCTCATTTCTTCACTAAACACCAGCCACCTCGTAAGGAATAATGCAACATGGCTCAGATCGAGTGTCTTGCTGTTGATCGAGTATGTAAATATTATTATCTGTTCCAAAGCAGGCTGGAAAGGACTAAAAACTAACAATAGATTGCGACGTATTAACTCCCATTTAGTGGATTGAAACTAAAGCTACAGATGCAAAATATGATCTCTCCAGCTCATGCGCGAAGCCCATGTCGATACATGAGCTAAAGGAGCTATCTGAAGACAAGTCAGAGTCGAACGAGGGTCCTCTGCCCACGCAGCTTCTGTCAAGATGCCTTGGATATGGTGAAATGGCGGGCTCGAAGGCGCTGCGGTCGATGCTCGCTGGCCTCTATTCCGTCAAGACTCCTCTTCCGCTGCCAATTGAGAATATTACTATCACCAGTGGCGCTTCTCTGGCCAACTACCTGGTCTTCCAGGCGCTGTGCCAGCCTGGTGATCATGTCATCGTTCATTATCCCACGTATCAGCTGTTGTATGCTGTCCCACAGTCTCTCGGCGCGGATGTCAGTCTATGGAATTCAAAGGAAGATGACAAGTGGAAACTTGACGTTGAAGAGCTAAAGGCGCTCATCAAACCGAATACTAAGATGATCGTGCTAAAGTAAGACCTTCCCAATAATATATAATATATACCCTATCTGGTAAATGAAAAAACTCGCTTAAGATTTATGTCAATCAGCAACCCACAGAATCCCACGGGTGCAATCATTCCTCGCTCAACCTTGCTCGAAATTATCGCCCTTGCCAGGGAACATTCTATCGTTGTATTCAGTGATGAAATTTTCAGGCCCTTATTCCACTCTATCCACCCTGGAGACAAGGAGTTCCCGCCCTCAGCACTTTCTCTGGGCTACGACAACGTGGTAGTAACCGGATCGATGTCCAAAGTCTATTCGCTACCTGGCATCCGCGTTGGCTGGATCGCATCTCGTAACAGGAAACTTATCGACAAGTGCACGAACCTGCGAGCGTACACTACCATTGCCGTCAGCCAGCTTGATGAAGCGGTGGCTGCATATGCTCTGGATGGCAATTGCTTGCATGCTCTGCTGAAGAAGAACACAGATCTCGCGCGAGAGAATCTAGTCCTTCTCGAGTCGTTTGTTGAGAAGCACAAGTGGGCCTGCGAGTGGGCAAGGCCGGTTGCTAGCAGCGTTGCATTCGTCAAGTTCTCTAAAATGGGGAAGCCTGTGGACGACCTCGAGCTCTGCCATCAGCTACTCCAGAAGAAAGGCGTGCTGCTAGTTCCTGGAGACCAGGGCTTTGGCCCAGGCAAATTTGCGGGCTATGTTCGTATTGGGTACGCGATTGATCCTGACGAGTTTAAGATGGGGTTGGACCTGTTGAAGGAATTCATGGCGGAGGATTATGAGAATATACCGTTGGCGGGTCGGAAGCTTGCGATACGATAGAACCTATGGTACTCTCTTCTTTTTGGCCAACCCTTTTTTGACTGTGTATACTATACATAGTAGTATATATTTATATTTATGGTTCGGCTCTTTGGGCCATCGGAGATGCCTCAAGGACGAACGGCGTCGTATAAGCATTGTCCGCGTCGTTTAAACCTCCATGCTATCTGCCATGAAGCTTTCTCGCTTCCAAGAAAGAGCCGTTTGCCAAACGAGAGTGACCGGAGAGTTGCTGAAGAGAGCTCCCTTCTCGCAGACGATGGTCATGCCCTCTGCGGTGTAAAGGAAGGACGCGGGTTTCTCGCCCATCAACTCAGTCATCTGAGCCGGATATTGAGAAAGTATGCATAGTATGACCTTCTGACGATCGCCGGCTGGTATATACATATCGACATATAGTAATTATCCACGAGTCATAAATTGTTTACCCGGACGGAGCAGCAAGGTTGGCTGCGGTAAAGACAGGCGGACGGGGCATTTGAAGCGTCCCATTCTTGATAATACGAGGCACTCTGGGGAAAAGAAGAAGAACATGCGAGGAACTGTCGAAGAGGTTTTGTCGATCGCTTTCTAGAAGGATATCTTAGCCTCCAAGTGATGTGCATGAGACGGGGGGCTGAGCCAGCGCTGATCGACACGGATGGCAGGTGACGGCAGGATAAGTTGGGCAGAGATGGCCATCTTGGACATCGGGAAAGTGGTGCCGGTCTTCTATACATAGTAGGTCTTTTTGGAGTTGAGATATCGCATATATATTCCCGCATGCACGTCTTTCGTGTGTTGCGGCTGACCGGAATATTTAGCAGTCGCCTAGGTAAGCGACACGAGAGTATAAGTTAGGGGGCGGCTATTTTTTAAGGGGGAGGAGAAAAGAAAAGAGAGCATCGGAGGGTGTGCTGGCCGTTTGTTGCAAGGGCATCCGTGGCGTTCAAGGGCCCTGGTTGAGACAAGAAGCAGTTACCAGATGATACTCCTTCTCGGCGGCCCTTGATACTGCTTCATCTTATCCTGACTCCGCCCATATTATATAACTGCTTGTAATATAATCGCCACGTTAAGGTCCCCCTCCGCCTTGGCTATAGGATATAATGATATCTGTGTATCTTTTGGTATCAGCCTTAATAATGGCAGGGTATGGTCTCTGAAGCGTTAGGATGGGATCTCATTGCGAGTTTCAAGCATGCCGAGGCGGGTGGCCAAGAGAGGATACCTTATTCTGGGGAATTTTACGGACGAGCGGATGGTGAAGTTAGCTCTACCCTCATTGAGTTGAAGGGTTGCTACTATGAATGTATGCTCCCCAGATTCTAAGCATAAGCCGGGAGTTTCCGAATGCTTAAGCGGGATCAGAATCTCTCTTGTCCTTCCATTTCAAGCCAAATATGATGCCCAGAAGATCGCCTCTTGAGGAATGTGAGAGCCTGTTGCAGGATATAACCATCCTCGCTGCCGCCCCCAGCTTTGACACATGTCTTTGTGTGCATTGGCACGGCCAGGGGTAAATAGGAAAAGCCAAAAGTGGTCTGGGGCCCCCGGGAAATCAATTTAAACCGGAGAGAAATGTGGATATGAGAGATCCATGCAAGTCAAACCAGTGCAATAGCACCGACCACCGGACTTTTATAGTGGGAAGTATATAGGTTCTGCCAATAAAAGTCGATGTATATTCAAAGCAGGAGATCGAGATATAGGGTTGCAACAGACTCATATCCGAGAAAGGACAATCGATAATAAGGATAGACATATAGGAATACGGGGAAGCCTTCCAGAAGTCCCCCTTTTTCTAGAAGGAAACGCCTCGTCCTTCCGTACAAGTACTATCTATGGATAGATGTATCGGGCATCTTCCTATCTTCTCTATCATGCCATGGGGATATCTGCCATGCATGCCCAGCCGGGATAATACGACCTGATAGATGGTTAGTGCATGCATCCCGACATGCATTTTGAACTCACGATGAAGATATTATTATCTTCTCTCCAGAGAGCCTTTGCCACAGACGAGGCCTGGTCGAACAGTGAGGTTTATACCCCGCCTTCCCCACAGAACATGCGAGCTGTCGATGTTGCCAAGTAGATGTGCCTGTCGAGGCGTTGGATGTACTGTGTGGTAGCTAGAGTCCGGAGCTGTATAGATGGTTTATATTGGTCTGTATATATGGTGGACCGTGGATGGATCTAGACAAAAGAGGTTCGTAGATCAGGTTCAACGTCGTCTCGTCGTTCCTGAACATCTCATCTATGTACACCCAAGGAGGAAGCTAAAGAGTGGTTGACATGGATGCGAGCAGGTTGTTAGCATGCGAGGAGTGACGAAGGCCAAGAAGGGAAAAAAGGGGCTTTTGAACAAGGAATTGAACATCCCAGTCGAAATCTTTCTTCTCCATCCAGATCTACGCTCAACGCCCATCAACTTGCGACTCTCTCTCTTCTTCGTTCTTCTCTTTCTAGACGAGAGAGTAAGCTTTCAGGTACCATGCAAGCTTAGCACCGGCATTTGTGCCATCTCAAACACTAGCATGCTTCGTATGAAGCGGAAGCCAACACAGAAAGGGGCAGGCGATGAGACGCCCATGAAGCGATCATCCTGTCAAACCACAACACTCCCAAGCAAACCCGAAGGATGATGAGGAGGACCAAACGAGAGACAGAGAGACAGACACAGAGAATACCACCTTCTCGTCCGAGCCCAGCCGTACGAAGGAGCCATCCTGTCTCTTGTCGTGTCTCTCTCCTGTCTCTCTTTTTCGAGCCACCCCCTACGGTGATCTACGCTGCGATCCCCCAGACTCGAGAAAGCCCTGCCAATGAACACCTGCAAGGCTCACAAGTTACATTTGAGCTGTACATATGGTATCATCAATGAGAAAAGAAAAATATTAGCGGAGGCAAAAGGAAATCGGCCGCATGACTGCAATTACTGGCGAACAGAGAAATTCGCCTGGATGACATTATTTCTTTACTTTTGGCCTTCTGCGGAGTACAAGCTCCATTATGGGGCGAGAATGGAGCGGGCTGTGACCTGATAATTCCCAGGATACGGTCCTGATGTTTGATATATGGACCAGCACGTTTGGTTAGGACCTGATATGAATGAGAGCAAACCTCGGCATGACCGACTCAGACGATCGACGGGGCTGAAGCTGCGTTAGCTTGCCAGTGTTAGCGCAGAAAACCCCGTATAATATTATACATATATCTCCCCTTGCTTGGCGAGCAAGGACAGGGCCTGTCTAATTATCAAGTTATGCTCCGTTCTCACTCCTTCGCCTCCTCTGAATATGATGAGGTTTGTCACGGACCGAGATGAGCGGGGAGGTTCCTCCATCCCATCAGACGCAATCCAGCACAATCAAGCTCTCTTGGCTGGGTGGGAAAAGCCTTGCATGCCTGCATACTGGTTGGTTGGGCTCACGAGGAAACATCAAAGGGAAAATATACCCCTCAGGACCATTGATACCACGGCACAAGACCGGGAGACCCATCACGGCAAAGATGGATAAGACCCTTATATGGAATTAGCAAGGGTTGAACAGCTCTATATAAGAGGTTGAAGATGTCCTCGAAAAAGTCCCTCTTGGAAGAATTAAGCCAGAGTTCCTCACTCGAACAACAAATCTGACTCTCTTCACATCCTACCTTACACTCTCCTTTTTTTTCTTGTGTTTGTTCAGTGAAGCAGGTATTCTCTGAAAGACAGGCAACATGCACGGACTTTTGCTTGCTGGGCTCGCAGTAGCCTTGCCTTTGGGCGTTGCTGGTCACCCAGCCCGTCCACAAACTGCCCTCAGCCCCCGTGGAATCGATGTCAACGCTTACCGTTTCACCTCGACGGCCAAGTACAACGAGCACAAGACCACCTCCCAGATGGTTCAATCCTTTGCCTACTCCAAGGATGACGACTACGTTGCCACTGCTACCAAGTTGGTCAAGAGCACTTTCCCCAACATGACCTTCCGCACCGTCAAGGACCACTACATTGGCACCAACGGCATCGGCCACGTCCACTTCAAGCAGACTGCCCACGACATCGACATTGACAATGCCGATTTCAACGTCAACGTGAGTTATACCCTATTCAATCGTTGTATATGATTCCATTGACTTATAATTTCAATAGATTGGACGTGATGGCAAGGTCTTCACCTTCGGAAACTCCTTCTACCAGGGAGAGATGCCAAAGACCAACCCAATGGTCAAGCGTGATTACTCTGACCCCGTCAAGGCTCTCCACGGTGCTATCAAGACCTTGAAGATCCCAGTCAAGCCAGAGAGTGCTAAGGCTATGCCAATGGATGAAGTCGAGACCTTCAAGTTCGAGGGTACCTCTGGAGCTCTCTCTGAGCCAAAGGCCAAGCTCGTCTACATCCAGAAGGATGGCAACCTCCACCTCACCTGGAGAGTCGAGACTGATGTCGGTGACAACTGGCTCCTCTCTTACGTCGACTCCAAGGAGTCCGAGACCGTCCACAACGTTGTTGACTACGTCGCTTCCGCCGACTACAAGGTCTTCGCCTTCGGTCTCAACGACCCAACTGAGGGCCAGCCCTCCATGATCAAGGACCCATGGAACACCACTGGCAGTGGTTCTCCATTCACCTGGCACGGTGATGGTAAGACGGACTACACCGTCACTCGTGGAAACAACGTTGCTGCTCAGGACAACCCAAGCGGTGGCTCCCAGTGGGAGAACAACTACCGCCCAGACAGCCCCCAGCTCAGCTTTGTCTACGACTACAGCGACCAGATGGAGCCAGAGGACTACAAGGACTTCGCCATCACCCAGCTCTTCTACACCACCAACACCTTCCACGACGTTCTCTATTCTCTTGGATTCACTGAGGAGGCAGGTAACTTCCAGGTAAACAACGGCAACAAGGGAGGCAAGGGCAACGACTTCGCTATCTGCAACGCCCAGGACGGATCTGGTACCAACAACGCCAACTTCGCTACTCCGCCAGACGGCCAGCCTGGTCGTATGAGAATGTACACCTGGACCACCTCCAAGCCAAAGCGCGACGGTGACCTCGAGGCTGGTATTGTTATCCACGAGTACACTCACGGTCTCTCCAACCGTCTCTGCGGTGGTCCAGCCAACTCCAACTGCTTGAACGATCTCGAGGCCGGTGGTATGGGTGAGGGCTGGGGTGACTTCTACGCCACTGCTATTCGTCTCAAGCAGGGTGACACTCATGATACCGACTACACTATGGGTGAATGGGCTGCCAACCAGAAGGGTGGTATCCGTGAATACCCATACTCTACCAACATGCAGACCAACCCCTACACTTATGCTGATGTGAAGGGCATGCGAGAGGTCCACGGCATCGGTACCGTCTGGGCTACCATCCTCTATGACGTCCTGTGGAACTTGATCGATGACCACGGTATGGGCAAGAATGTCATGCCAAAGATGGTCGACGGTGTCCCAACTGACGGTCGCACCCTTGCCATGAAGCTCGTCCTTGACGGAATGACCCTCATGCCATGCAACCCCAACTTCATGCAAGCCCGTGATGCCATCATCGATGCCGATATGGCTCTCACCAAGGGTGCCAACAAGTGCTCTCTCATGAAGGCCTTTGCCAAGCGTGGTCTCGGTTCCAACACTAAGCCCGGCAAGGGCTACACCAACAACTTCGACATGCCCTCTGGCTGCTAAATCTAACGCAATATGGAGTATTAACCTGCCCTTTTTATCTCTTCGCCATTTTCATGTACATAGTTTTTTGACAGGCAAGAGGTTGTACATAGTTAGCATCAATTGAATTTTCAATTCATTTGAATTCATTCATCTCTCTCTCCTCTTTCAGTACGGAGTAAGTAGTCCAAGGTAACAAGTCTATATCGATGTGTCATTATACGTGGTACTCGAAAATCTCGGTACTAGCAACAGGGATATAGTGCTCCACTGTTCCAGCGTGTTTCACACCAACATGGGAAATTGTCCAGATGTGCCAGATTCGGGCGTACCGAGTACTTCTGTAATCCTTCTTTGCTTTTCCACCTTACTCATTTTCTTTGTAGGCGTCTTGATTGACCACGGCAATTATATTGCACTATGTATAAGTACAAGAACGTCATTCAAATAAAGATTTAAGGGGAAATATGCAGGGGTAGCCCTGACATCACTGGCGAAACTCGGGAGCGAGATACAAGTGCAGGATTAGTGAGGAATGTTGTAAGTTAGCATGGACAAGCTCCATTTAGAGGTCAAGAGTATCCCAGAACCGTTCTTTACTTGTAGAATCAGCTTTGCTAAGTCTTTTGTCAAGAAGATACTCATCCATGCCGAGACGGTTGCCTGCAAACCTCATCCACAGTGGTTCATTTCTTATACCCAACTGGCACCCGCAAAGAAAGCAGTATTTGATGAGTTCACCTCTTTTTAAAGATGCATCGCGGAATGTTTGAGGATGATATATGACCTCGGAGAAGAGGTGTATATAGATGCTCTCACAAGTGCACAATGACGAGAGATGGTATGTAACATATGCTAACACAGGTTTCCTTCTCTCATTGGAGGTGCCTTGGATGAGAATATTGCTGAATATTGTATATACCCGCTCTTATTCAGCCCCATCCTTACTAGGTGGAAATGCATACTTAGCCGCGAGAGCATGAGTCTGTCAAAGTGACTACAAGCAGATTGATGGGCCATATGCAGAGACGTTTTCCAGAGAGTTACTATTATCAAGTATATCTAATACTATACTTTAGATATCGATGGTAAACACCAGTTGGCCTGCAGTATCTCTATTCATCATTTTATATCCATGCGAATCGGTTGACTTGAAGTTCACGAAGACTACCAAAGAACGGCCGGATTTCTCAAGATTTCCAGGGAAATATTGAAGGAATCGGCTTTGGTCTCTCTTTGGATGGTACTTTTCGAGCTGAATTTCCGAGAATCACCAAGTAGGCATGTCTTTGATGGCGCTGGATTGCCTAAGGATGAAATCCTGGAGAAGAAGATAAGTTCGAATGAGAGAGAAGAAACAAGGGCTCTGGAATGCCAGTAAACTTACCTTACCAGTGACTGCCATGGCCCTTGATCTCCCAGGCATATAATAAGTCGAGAAACATAGTTATCTAGTAGTTAGGCAGTAATCAAGTACTGACCATGAAGACCACACCTAAAGCCCAAAGACACCAGTCAACAACGGCATGTTAACTATGCTTACTGGGCGTTCGTATAAAATCCCATCACATGCCTCTTTGACCCTGGAGATTCTCTTCCCCACGGCGATGATTTTCCCCATGAAAGCAACCGAAAAGACAAGACGTTCTCTTTTCTTATTTGGGATGACTTTTTAAACTTGCCGAGGTTTCTCTCTTCACGCGCGACTTTGGACCTCCAACGGCACGCACCAACCCCCTTTCCCCATACTACTACATATATATACTACTTCATACACACAGTCCGATCGCATCATGTTATCCATCTGCACAGCGGGCTCTGGCTCTTATCTTCAGCTGGGAAGATTGTTCTGGGCGAAAAACTAGGGAAGGACAAGGGCAAAGGTCCCATTAAGCTGACATTTGCCACCTTTGTGCCATATAACCGGACAGAACGGTCACCCTTTTATCCATCTCCCAACCATGAGTATTCTCGAACAGATAGGCAACATGGCCTCAATGGCAGGTATGAGATGGCTGTGAATCCCTTCTCCTGACCGATACCGAGAGCTGATCGGATTATTTTATCTTTAAAAAAGGACTTCCGGACCTACCGAATATGCCGCTAGCAGTCGCAGCTCCCGCTGCTGCTGCAACGTTTGCCTACCTGAACGCGAAGCTAGGGATATCGCATGACCTGGGACTTATTTCCATATATGCAAGATCACTTATACGAGGAGCTCTTCGAGACAGAAGCAACAAGTGGAATCATTTCTACCTGCTGGAGGAATTCGCTTTGGACCCAAAGAGGGCTAAGGATGTCTTCATCGTATACCAGGGCAAGGAATGGACGTACAGACAGACGTACGACACGGCTCTTCGTTATGGGAACTGGTTTAGGAACGTTCATAACGTCAAGCCGGGAGAGGTCGTTGCGATTGATTTTATGAATTCTGCAACGTTCATATTTATCTGGATGGGTTTATGGAGCGTTGGCGCACTCCCTGCGTTTATAAATTATAACCTGACGGCCGCTCCGTTGGCCCACTGCGTCAAGGTATCGACTACAAGATTGCTTCTGGTAGATGACGAGGTCAGGGGCGCTGTTCCGCAGGAATTAGTCGAACAGCTAGGCGCTCCTGATTTCAGAGAGAAAGGTGGCCCTGTGGAGGTTGTATTCCACGACGAGAGCTTGCAGGCCGAGATCTTACAGAGTGAACCCTGGAGAGCTCCCGATACGGATAGACAAAATCAAATAAGGTCCGATGCTGGTATTCTCATTTATACAAGTGGTACCACAGGACTTCCCAAGGCAGCTATCATCTCCTGGGGCAAGCTACTGCTGGCAGGAACTTTTGTTTCTAGGTGGCTGGGGCTGTCGAAGTCTGACCGCGTTTACACGGTACGTGTAAAGCTCCTCTTCCGGTTATTAAACAATATCGAGACCTAACAGCCTAAACCAGTGTATGCCGCTCTACCATTCAACAGCCGCTGTCCTTGGCTTTGTTGGCTGCCTGGCTAGTGGAACCAGTCTTGCCATTGGCCATAAATTCTCAGCCTCCCATTTCTGGGACGATGTACGAGACTGCAACGCCACGGTTGTGCAGTATGTCGGAGAGACTATGCGCTATCTCCTGGCCAGCCCAGCCAGGCGAGACCCTCATACCGGTGAGGATCTCGACAAGAAACATAATGTTCGACTGGCGTTTGGAAATGGTCTGCGACCGGATGTTTGGGAACAGGCTAAGGAGCGATTTGGGATCACAACGATAGGGGAGCTTTACTCTGCGACCGAATCGACGTCTGGATTATGGAATCTTTCATCCAACAGTTTTACTGCAGGGTCAATCGGCCGGTCGGGTTCGATTGCTGACCTTATTCTGGGTAATAGTGCGGTCATCGTCAAGCTGGATCATGACACGGAGTTGCCATGGCGAGACCCAAAGACTGGACTGTGTAAGAGGATGCCCAGAGGCGAGCCAGGCGAGCTCCTGTACGTTCTTGATGCGCAGAACATAAAGGATAAATTCCAGGGCTACTTCAACAACCCAGGCGCCAGCAATTCCAAGATCATACGGGATGTCTTCAAGAAAGGTGACGCCTGGTTCCGCACCGGCGACGTCATTCGCTATGATCCCGAGGGACGTTGGTTCTTCTCAGACCGCATCGGTGACACGTTCAGATGGCGTGGTGAGAACGTCTCAACTAACGAGGTCGCAGAGGTCGTCGGATCTCACCCTCAGGTCTACGAGACGAATGTATATGGAGTACTACTGCCTCACCATGAGGGCCGTGCTGGTTGCGCCGCCCTGGTAATGAATGGAGTTGATCCCAATGCCGAAAAGCTGGAGCCGTCAGCGGCCTTCCTATCCTCGCTAGGCGAGCATGTCACCAAGAACCTGCCCAAGTATGCAGCCCCGTTGTTCCTCCGTATAACTCGTGCGTTGGAAATCACGGGCAACAACAAGCAGCAGAAGACTACACTGCGGGCAGAGGGAGTTGATCCTAACGTCCTCGAAAGCAAGAACAGCAAGGACCTGCTTTACTGGCTGAGAGGCAAGATGTATGTGCCTTTTGAGAAGAAGGACTGGGAGAAGCTCAATGCTGGCCAGGTTAAGCTGTGAGATGTATATATTTACATATATTTACTGCATCACTGAGTATTCTATATGTTATATAATACCAAATGAGACACTCCTTTCAACCTCTCTACCATATTCCATACGCCCTTCGACTGTCATCTTCCTCGTAGACTTCAACCTCGCGTGATCCAGCTGTTGACGGCGTAAAACTCATGTCCTCGTCTCATTACCTAACCAATAAAAAAGTCAACGAGAGGTAAAAAATAAGCGCAGCTTTCACGTGGTGGAGCCAAGTCATCAAAAGGGCGTCCCTCCATGGGGTCAAGTCAACAAGTCGACAAAGTCCCAGCGAACATATAAGGACCAGCACTGCTCAGGCCTGGAGATAACGATCAATTGACCCTCTTACACTGTAATGATGGCTTCAGCACAGAAAGCAACCAAGCTCTGGGGTGGCAGATTCTCTGGTAAGCGGACACTTGACACATCCAGGAATGAGCTCTAGATACCTCTCACGATACTGATAGCTGATCTCTTCAACAGGGGAGCTTGACCCGTTGATGGTCACTTATAACGAATCAATCAATTTCGACAAGGTGTTTTACGCCCAGGACATCCAAGGTTCAATCGCCTTTGCTCGTGCCAACGTTGGAACCGGCATTCTTACCAAGGAGGAGTTCACCGCCATCGAAAAGGGATTGACGCAGGTGCTTCAAGAGTGGAAGGATGGTAAATTCGTTATCCAGCATGGCGTAGATGAGGATATTCACACCGCCAACGAGCGTCGGTTGGGAGAGATCATCGGGAAGGATATTGCGGGGAAGCTCCACACGTAGGGTATCCCACATACTTACATCATTGAGCTGTAGGGGTAAGGCTAATGTGTGGTTTTAATAGAGGCCGGAGCCGAAATGACCAGGTTGCGACGGACTTGCGAATGTGGCTCCGAGACGAGCTCCGTGAGGCTGAGAAGTTCCTCGTTGAGCTGCTCACTATCCTCACCGATCGTGCTGCCTTGGATATTGATTATTTGATGCCAGGCTACACCCATCTTCAGCGTGGACAGGTATGGTGCATCCATCATACATCTATGGCCTACCTATGTTATAACTAACAATTTCTTTAGCCTGTACGATGGAGTCACTGGATGCTTAGCTACGGCTCTGCATTCCTCGGCGATCTCGAACGCCTCCGCGAGGTAATAAAGCACGTCAACAAGTGCCCACTTGGATGCGGTGCTCTTGCAGGAAATGCGTTTGGAATTGACAGAGTTGCTATGGCAGAAGAACTTGGATTTGAAGGCCTGATTCTGAACAGCATGGCTGGTGTTGGAGACCGAGATTTCATCCTCGAAGCTCTGCAGTGGGCGTCGACTTTGATGCTGCACCTATCTCGCTGGAGCGAAGATTTGATCATCTATAGCACGACTGAGTTTGGGTTCGTCAGGCTATCCGATGCATATACCACCGGTAGCTCGCTGATGCCACAGAAGAAGAACTGTAAGGCTTCATTCTTTATATTGATTACAGTTCTGTAGATATACTGACATCATCTAGGTGACTCTCTCGAGTTGCTTCGCGGCAAGTCGGCACGACTCTTTGGCAGTATGGCCGGCCTGACCATGACTATCAAGGGTATCCCATCTACCTATAACAAGGATCTGCAGGAGAGTGTCCAGCCGATGATTGAAAGCATGAAGACTGTCAAGGACAGTGTTTTGATCGCAACTCGTGTCCTCGCAACGCTCACAGTCTTCCCCGAGAAGATGCTTGCAGCTCTAAGCCCCGACATGCTCGCTACTGACCTTGCTGAATACTTGGTTCGCAAGGGTGTTCCATTCCGAGAAACTCATCATATCTCTGGCCGCGTTGTTGCGTTGGCGGAGAAGGAGAACATTCCTATGGACAAGTTGACTCTCTCTCAGTTTAAGGGTGTCGATGAGCGAATTGGCGATGACGTATTGGAGGTATTCAACTATGAGCGCTCCGTTGAGCTCAAGTCCGCCATTGGCGGTACTAGCAAATCAGCTGTCCTGAAGCAGATCGAGACGCTGAGAAAGTCACTGTAAACTGGTGACTGGGATATACATTTCGGGTGCGTATAGTTACGAATAATGGCGAATTAATGACTACATGAAAGAAATCCCGGGCATATGTCATGGCGTAGAGGGGTCTACATATGTACGCCGCTTCTACACAAAAATAGACAAATGAAAAAAAGAAATACTATAAATTTGATAAAACTCCAAAACTTTGGTGCCATTAATTATATAACTAACTACTATGTAAGAGATTTTCTGTCAGTATCCTCTCATAATCACACATGTCATCGCACAGCGTCGAGCTGAAACAAACATCTCAGCTGCTGTTCGCCCCTAACAAACGTTAATACTTACAATCATACATAGTAGTACTAGGACCCTGCTTTTATACCGCCCTAGCGCTAGTTGAAAGGCTCTTCGGGCCAATGAGACTTGTATCATGGTTATAAGGCCATGAAGTTAGTCAGAAGGATAACAATCTTTTATGCTGTTCTTCACCAAGCATGTATTCTCCGTGGCTAGTACGGAAGTATGTCCCCTGACACAGTGCAGCCATCGAGCGGCACACCATGCTCTGCTGATGAGGAGGCTCTCCATGGGTGGGTAGTATGGAGATGCCAACAGGCAGGCATGGATTACAAGATGTTTCTCTCTACCTAACCAGAGGCTGTGGACGTTTAACCTGACTTCAACTATACGTTCTTTTGGCGTGACCAAACTTATTATCATCGTTATCGATAGAAGATAACCTTGATAGCGATGAGCTGTATGGTCTAGGTAACCCCAGTGATGAGAAAAATTAGTACCAAGTCTGTCTTCAAGGTGCCCGTTGAGGTTGTCCCGTATGTCCTTTGGGAAGAAATCGCTTGCGGGGCGACAAGACCTTCTAGACTTGCCAAGTGTTGCAATGAGTTACTTGGGGGCCGTCACCAAGGTGTATCTTTATCATGGAGATGAATTGACGCATTCTTAGAGGACTCCCGCCTTCAGAGTATGTTGGTCAAGGGAGTCGACATCGTATCTTGTGAAGACAATACCAGCCTTAAGAAAGACCTAGTTTAACATATTAATCTTTTACATATACGATTTTATATAATTACATAGAAGGGCGAGGAGGCGAGTTGATGCCAGGCCATTCGGATATCTGTGTGACAGCTGATTTAGCATGCAAGCAATCAGAGGTTGACATATAACTGGTCTGAGTCTGGTCCACAGCGACATGCCAAACTGCAAGCCTGTCTATGAGCCCCCGACACCTGGAGCGGTCATCATTCCCACCTATCAGACAACGTTTATCGGTCTCGAAGACTTCTCCATCCACTTTCTCGATTGGGGCGATAAAACAATCACTTGCCAGGCCAAATACATCAAAAAGAAATGGGCCAGTGTGTTGGCACATTTGATGACACCTTAACCTATGTACTCCGTACTCTGTATTACTCCGTGCTATTGCGTGGGGCAGAGTGACATCAACGGAAACTGATTAAACAGCACAGAGTAAATATTAAAAGCTTGAAGACCCCTAAATCTTTGTCAGACCACGGCATTGGCCAAAACATGCACAGAGTAATCTGACAAACCCTTTGATGCGCCAGAATTACGCACTAGAGTCGCACAGGAGGAAAGACAGACAGGATTTTTTTCGATATTTTATATTGCAACGGAGGATGTCGAGGTCAGTCAACCGTGTCTTCCACGACCTTCTGGGCAAGGCTAAACAGGCTAATAAGGGGGACGGCAGTCGAGGCTCGAACGCGTGGACGTGTCTCATCGCCTTATCCACACTGCTTATTCATTACTTGTATGTATATACCCCCACAGGGGCGGCGCTAATACTCCATCCCGTATACATAGTCACGAATATAGATGATCGGTTCGCAAGCCGAAGATGATCTCGTAGGCTGATCCTCCTCCGTGGCCAACAAAACAACACAGGTTGTTCGTCGAGAGAGCCCTCTGGCTGAGGATCAGGCTTATCATACTCCGTGTACGTGAGGGCCGTGAGCCGATTTTCCCATCCCCTCGCCCGGTCAAATCCTCTCCTCTCACCCTGCGGCCTCGGGGAATAACTGGTTGGCCAGCCCGTACATCGCCCATTCCCTGCCAGCAACCCGGCCCCTCGTTATGTAACTCTCGCTTGCTCTTGGGGACAACATCCAACGACTTCACCTCACAGCCTCCTTCTGTATGTCCCTCTCCTTGACCCTGTAGATGTATATTTATATCATCAAACACCTGCATCTCGTATGCACCTATTAATATCTCCTACCGCCCGGGAATATTTTATTTTTTTCCCTCCCTTTTTGTTCTTTTGCAAAATAAGAAAAGAGTTTTATAAAAATGCCAAGGCCGCCGACCTTATTTCTCTGTCTAACCCCATTAGGACATGTGACGCGTGCTTTCGAGGAGGGAAAAAACATCGTGCAAACCCGTTTTTATATAGTATAGAGTCGAAGACGTAGTAGTTATTTACTCCGTGCAACCCATGCTTACAACTACAACAACATAACAGAAAAATAAGGGCTGCATGCTGACAGAGAAAGGGAGGAGGAGGCTGTGTGTGTGGGTGTGGTCAGGCAGCTGCGGCCGGAGTCTGCCGTACGGAAGGTTGCTTGTCTGAGATTGCTCGGTGGAGATAGTGACTCCATAACCAATACTCAGGACTCCCACTTTTGTTGGTTGAAGCAAGTCACTTCTTCGCCGCCCGGGAATCGAGATTTTTGGTCGGATGGGTTGTCATTGACTTTAAACGCTGTCATTGTTCCTCCTCTGTGTTCATATTTTTTCACGGTTTCCCCTTCGTATATCCATCCTTTCACATCTGGTTGCTTGGTTGCTCGGTTGCGGTCTTCTCTGCCTCCTTTGCTTGTTTCTGTTCCTATACTCCTCACGTTTATTTGACTTATCTTACGGCAGAGGATGGGCTGGCGGCCTTTCGCTCGTTTACTATGAATATCCCTTCGTTCCGGCCGTCGCGTGCCCTCCTCTTCTCGTTGCTCGTCGTCTCACTTGTAGCTTCAAAGTGTGTGCATTTACTGCAGTTCATCGGCTCTGTCCCGCTATTACATTTTGTCGTCTTTTTGCCGACCCTCTTCGTCTGGGATGGCGTGGTTGCGCTGGTTGGTCGAGTTCTACTCCATGGCGGAAGCGGCGGTTATTTGCCAGCTGTAGGCCTGGTGCTAGGGAGCATCCTCTCGTGCGTTTTTCTTCCCGACCCATATATACATATATGCATATATGCTGTTTTGGCGCTTTGCTAACCTGTCTCCAAGTACGGTCACATTCTTTGCGGCATCGTCACAGCTCGGATTTTACTATGTCACTGGAACTGAGATGCAGTGGGATAATGCTAGAAATGTCGCCTCCGATCCGGCTGCAATACGGATAATGCTGAGTGGACTGCTTCAAGTCTCCGTCTCAGGGATGGTTCTTTTGCTCTTGAGCTGGATCTTAACGCCGTTGCTCTACAACAAAGTTGGGTATTGGATGTCCGCAGTATGGAGGATGTTCACAGGCCCAAAATGGGACATGATGCTGCCAACGGTGCGAGGCCAACATGATCAGCCGCAGAAAGGAGGTATCAGAGTCAAGCCCGTGTGCTTGATAGTAATATTCACAACGATGGTACTGTTGCTGCTGGTCCGGCCATCAACGCCGTACGGATTTATGTCAACAACCATCCCGGTAGCCATGCTCAAGATGTTTTCGCGGCCACACTCACATTCGCAATCGTTCTCGAGCCCAGATGGATGTTCATCTCACGTCGAGGCCTTCCCACTGTCCAACCTCACCTCGTCAGAGCACTGGGAGCAGCCAAACGGTGACTTCAAGGGCTGGGCACCGAGTGCTGATAACGACTTGGTTGAACGTTATCGTAGCCGGCGTCCAGCGTGGCTCCCTGCTACTCTCCCTGATGGATTCTTTCGTTGGGCCAACAAGTCACAGTCTGCTGATATAAACTCTACATCGGACTGTTCTAAAAACGGCTCTTCTACCTATTACTATAACCCTGTTGCGGACCCCATGCGTATTACCAACTTGGATCTTGGGGTGTACAAAGGCCTGGAGGAAGCTTTCAAGGACGAGTCTGTCCGTATCACTCATGTTGTGCTGGTCACCATGGAAAGCGCCCGTAAAGACCTGTTCCCTATGCGTGAAGGATCGTTTCTTCACAAATCTGTTCTAGAATCTAATGATGAAAAGGAGAGGGAAGAGAAGAATAAACTGCTCTCACAAATGACTCCCGTTGCCCACCAGATTACCGGGGAGGGTTTCTGGAGTCAGCCCAAGTTTAATCAATCTGCCTTTGGAATACCGGATGGTGTATGGAAAGATCCAGCTGCCGAAGGAATGGGAGGTTTAAACGTCATGGGTGCCGTCACTGGGAGCACACTATCGGCCAAAAGTTTTCTAGGCAGTCATTGCGGAGTCCATCCTCTGCCAGTTGATTTCCTGGAAGAAGTCACCACCAAGGTATACCAGCCATGCATCCCGCATATACTTAATCTATTTAATCAGGCCAAAGATGGCCTTGAGGCGAGAGCCAACAAGAATAATTCAAACGGCGAACCACCAAGTGTCACGAAGCGGAAATGGAAGTCTATGTTCATACAGGCGTCAACTGATGGGTACGATAGGCAAGACCAGTTGAACGAGCAGCTTGGGTTGTCAAATGTCATTGTGAAGGAGACTCTGTCTGACCCATCATCAAAGTACTATCCTCCTAAGCAACCTGTGCTGAATTATTTCGGGTATGTTTCTTTCTTGTTTACGGAATAGGCGGGAAGGTTGAAGCTGACTTTCTATCTCCTCTAGGTACCCTGATGAAGAAGTGAAGCCATGCATCAGAGATGCTGTAACGGACGCTATCGAAAATAATGAACGTCTGTTTCTTTCCCATTTCACCAGTACCACTCATCACCCATGGAAACTTCCATATGAATTCGACCGGGAGAAATATACTGGCTCGAAAGGAAAGGCGGACCATGAGCATTTGAACGCTTATTTAAATACCGTTCGATACGATGACGCCTGGCTGGGCCAGATCCTGGGTATCCTGGACGAAAAGGGTATTGCCAACGAGACCTTGGTCGTTGTTTTGGGAGACCAGTAAGTTTCTCTCTTTTTTTTTTTTCATCATAATTAGGGAGAAAAAGGCATTAACAAAGCCCCGTCACAGCGGACAAGCATTTGAGGAAGATTCGCCAGTTCAGGGAACATATAACAATGGCCACATCAGCAACTTCCGTGTCCCAATCATCTTCCGCCATCCACTTCTCCCTCGTATCAACATCGAAGCAAACGCAACCTCGATGAGCGTCCTGCCTACTATTCTTGACCTTCTCGTGAACTCCAAATCGCTTGATGCTCATGACACTTCCATAGCCCAAGATCTCATCCATGACTACCAGGGCCAATCACTCATACGCCCCTTCAAACCAAAATACAAGGGTCGCCAATCCTGGAACATCGCAATCATCAATGCAGGCGGGAAGATGATCTCGGTATCCTCTGCAGCAACACCCTGGCGCGTTGTGATACCTCTCGACGATGAGTCGCAGTATGTCTTCAGCGACCTAAACACCGATCCAAATGAACTTGATACACTGAGTGCATGGAAGGTCAGCTACCTTCTCCCCGCTGTGAAGTCCAAGCACGGCGTGGATGCCAAACAGTGGCTCAAGGATGCAGATGAAGTCGCCCACTGGTGGGTGAAGGAGATGCATCACCTCTGGAATTATCACGAAGATTCTGATTGATGACGTTTGGCCACTTGAGGCTGCCCCCACGGCCGGTCTCTTATCGAGCAGGGGGGTGCCGGAAGCACCATCGCCGGTCGAATTATCCCACTCGACAACGACGATGTTCTTTGATATGACTATATGCCGCAAAGGCCGAGAATATTCTCGATCTCATCACCGTTTTAATCTATGATCCTTCTCCTCGAGTTGCGTGTGCATCAAGCGTCTCATCTCGATCATCCCCTGATATCTCCCACATACTGATGACAGGGTTGTTATCATTTTTCTTTTCTTTTACTAAACTTAGCATTGGCGTTGAATCCTTGGTTAGGGGCGTTTTTTCCCTTCTACTTATACAGGTCGGAATGTTTAGATATCTATGCATCAAAAGCTGTGGCTAACTATTTAATCTACGGGACTTCCGGAGAGTTGTATGATTAGGCAGAGAAGGGTTCATTCATGTAGCCAGCATAAAAAACGTCCAACCCATGAACAAAACAGGCATTATGACAAAAAAATATTTTAATTATAATTATTTCAAGACTTTTATATGCTTAATACATGCTCTATGTGCGTGTGTGTATTTGTGTGGCCTTCGTTTCATCGATGCATGTCATGCCTAAGTAGCTTTTGGACTATTAATCAGTCGGAGCGATTTGAAATTTCTCTCGAAACCATCCACCTTATCTCTTTTTTTTTTATCCACCACGGGATGGCCTTGCAGTCTACCCCGGGCCGGACCAGCCAGCCAGCCTGTTCTGACAAGACATGTCTCCTGCAGCTGACAGGAAATGAGCAAGTCGATGTCATCCAGCAGAAGCGGATGTGGACGTCGGAAGGGTAGGACTGCACGGTAGTTATTTGTGGTGAAAAAGTCAACATCAACGCCGCGTTATTCAGGACCCTTTTATTATCATTTCGCTGACTGGAAGATATTTAGACCCTTATATGATGATGATCCCTGACAGCCGTGATTACTATACTATATCTGTAGACCAGGCCCGTCTGCATCCTCGGAGATGCAAGGCAACGTCCATCATCAGAGCTGTGTCGTGCATAATCGCTTAGGCTAGCTGAAGAGTCTTCGACAGGGACCTCCCTCCGATCAAGAAAAAAAAAATATCCCATCTCACTTATTCTCTCTAGAGGGTACTGCCCCTATCCCTATGTACATGCTTCGTTGTTCTCCAGCAGATTGGAAGGTTTCTTGAGCCTCACGCTGAAAGGCAGGGTTCTTCGCAACTTATATACAAGATCCTTCGCTGAGCTGACTCTGGGCACCACCCTCCCTCCCCCCGGTCGGTCGGTTGTTCAGAGGACCTAGTGGTCCTGCTTTATCCTGCCTTGTCGGGTTTTGTTTACCCATCTTTCATTTTGACAGCGCTTGATTGTCCAGAAGGATAATAATAAGCCTTTCAGGCTGGCCGTGAGCCACCGCAGGCATTCGAACATGTATGGATGCACCCATATTTCCCATCTCCAGGCCCCAACTGGCCACTGCGAGCTGCATGATGATGGAAGGTGGAGCCGGATTACTCTTCCCGTAGTCCAATGGGACTTCAGGTCGTAACGCAAATTTACTTCCCCGGGACAGGGTTTTTGATTATTTTTGTGTTTCTGGTGTTAAAGTACGGAGTTGGAGTAAGGGAAGGGAAGCGAGTTACTAATCGCATTCTTGCAGCTGCAAAAGCTGGCAGGTTCTATGATTATCTCTCCTCATGCGTGCCATTTCTAGGCTCCGGATTCTTCCAAGAGGAGGCTTTCACAGCTTGATTCGCCGCGACACGAATCAACTAACCCCCCTCGTTCCAGCAATATAGAGAGGAAAAAGGCCCGAAAGTCAGGCTGAAGATGACGCTCGTTCTGCCAGTGTCCATATATAGCTTTTCAATTAATCTGACAAGGTTCGAGATCACAGTCCCTTTTTTTTTTCTTTTTAAACTGTTTGTTGCCTACTTCGATTTCGAGATATACCCGGCATTTGACTCTCTAGTTCATCGGTAGAGCCGAATTCACTTCCCAAAGTCAGGTATACCTGCAGCCTGTGATGGAAGCTTGATCTCCTCCCCCCTTCAAATCCAGGTTTTTCCCCTTACACAAATGCGGCTTCTCGCACCGTTGGACCATGACTGTTCCGCCAACGAATAGCTCCAGCAATATCAATGGCTCGTTATCCCGAATGTCTACCTCTGACACTTCCATCCCGACCTCAATCAATGCTGCTGAGCTACTTGCTCATGGAAAACCGTTCATTGAATTCCCTCGATACTCCATCCTCGACCTAAGGCAGCAGCCATTTTTGGACGAAAAGCCAGGCGAGAATGCGGCGGCGGCATCTGAGCAAGAACCTTCAGGACCCAACCCTGGGAATTTAGACAATGCCTCTGATCACTTTTCCCGTTGGTTGTCAACAAGGCTGCAAATCGGGCAGCCGTTCGTGATACAGGATTTTGATAAACTACCCGAATGGGATAAGAGATTATTCTCCCTTGAAGGCCTCATTGAACACTCTACAAAGAAAAGTACTGCTTTCTTTCCCTATACTCCAATTTCACAGCACAAGGAATAGAACCTCTTGAGCCAAACTGACCCTCCCAGATATTCCAATCCGAAATTGCAGCACGAACAGAGACCTAAGCTTCACCCTTAGAAAATTCGCCGATGCCTCACAACAATCTTATCGAGAGTTTAAAAATCTCTATGCCCGTGACTTACACTGTCCTGATTCTTGGTTAGAGCAATGTAGGAGGCTGCTTCCTCCAGAGATTCAATGGGGTGGCAGGCTAGATCTATTCCAGTGGCTGCCATCGTGCGCTCGGAGCGAAGTCATGATGGTCTATGTTGGCTCTGAAGGCTCCTTGTTAGTACTATACCTTTAACTTTGATATATTTTACCTCCCATTAACTCTTTTTTCATCACAGGTCCGGTTTCCACCGGTGCTTTTCCTCAACGGTGGCTCTGAATTTACTAGTTGACCACGGTGGTAGGGCTCCATTCAATTGCCAAAATGTCATTATCAGTGCGACCACAACCTTGAACTAACGCTTGTTAATGTTCCGGGCCTAGATCGGCCGGTTCTCTGCTTTGGAACTGATTTCAGCTCCCAGGCAAAATACGATAGCTTCGTGGCGGCTCGCGGTGCGTCACCCCACGTTGACTGGCTAAACCTGGAACCGGAGGATCTCAAGAAAGCGAATTTCCCAGTATACATCTGTGAGCAATGGCCTGGGGACCTGGTTGTCTTTCCTCCCGCAACAGCACATCAGGTTTGGAACCTTGGAAACGTTTCAACAAAGGTGGTGTGGAACATCCTACATCCTCTATCCCTGGATGCTGGCCTGCACTATGTCCAGCCTCCTTTTAACCGTCTGTGCCATCCAGACGTCGCTCGATCAAACCTGTCGTTGGCTTGTGCCATGCTGAGCCTGCTCCGTGATGACCAGTCTACAACCATTCCTCCAGATCTACCCCTGCTTACCAAACTCTTCAATCAGATGGCAAAGGATGAGACAATCGATGGTCGCCCAGCGACCGCGATCACACTTGTCCCTATACCCGAGACAGCCATAGCAACTTGTAATTTTTGTGGAACGGCGATATGGAATCGCCATTTACGTTGCAACCAATGCCAGGATTTTGACCTCTGTCTCATGTGCTATCTCAGCGGTCGCAGCTGCGAACACCCTTCGAGCTATTCATGGGCTGAAATAGTTCCGCAAGAGGTATGCTCTCTTGTTGTACAACGGGCAGAATCTATACTTGGGTACAATATAAGCAAATCCTCTGAAGGATCCCGTATTCCGGATCAGCGCAAAACCTTAGGTACGGCGGTAAACGAACTGATATTAGCCAGACAGAGCATGGCAGTGAAGTTGTGTCACCTATGTCGAAGTGATCATCTAGAATGGAAGGGCAGACGTTGTGACAAGTGTTCAGCCTTCTTTTGCTATCGGGGGCTGTACCGACACTTTGACATGGCATCTGCAGATGTGATGCGCCACCCAGGGCTATGGATATGTCCCAAATGCTTAGAGAACTGCAACTGCCGAGTGAGTGATCATTTAGTTCTGTCTCTCTTTTTTTTTCTTTTTCCTTTTCCCTTTCTTTTTTTATGCTTCTCCATTCCCGCTTACTATGTATCCTGGCATCAGGCTGGGGCGGTTTTTTCATCTAAGAACCGCCTAAGATCTGGTTGGTATCAAAATCATACAAACCATAACTAACACACCCTTCCCCTTAGTGCTGCCATTTTGCTTACCCTTACGTCAAATCTGAAAAGCCTGCATCAAAGCGCAGAGTTCGGCCGGGAGATCCGCGGGGGAAGAATATGGGGTTCACAGATAACGTATTTGACCAAAAAAAGGTATGTAAGAGTCTTACTAGGAGGCTCCGCGAAAGTTGCGGCTGATAAGGATAATCCTTGCATAGCGAAATACGCCAGCCCTCCCTGCATCGCCCGCATTCACATCGCCACCCACCATAAGACAACATAAACGGTCCATCTCATCATGCTCAACTTCTCAGCAATCCGTCCTATCTGCACCGCATCGTCGTGCTACAGCCTCTGCTGTCACCCTTCCAACTCTCTCAACCCCTGAATTAGCCGACTCATCTCTTGTTCATGGAAGAAAGGACCCTACCACCGAGGCAATTTCGGATGGCACACCCCAATCGCGATTCAAGATGCGAAGAATGTCCGTCGTATCCCGTGATATTACTCCAAAGTCTCATTCTGAGATACCTCCTGCCAAAACTCTTCTTGGGATTGACTACATAACACGAAGATCTTCCTCCAATGATGACCAGCTATCGCTTCCACCTTTAAAGGGCGGTGGCTCATACTCTAGCGGACCTTTTACCATGACATCACCATCCACCATGTCTCGCAAATCAATGTCGAATGATGGTGGGATAGCTACCCTAGCTACTCTTGCGAGCACCAGAGAAAAAGAACCCGTCTCACTCACTAGTAGTAGCGCTATTGGCAATGTCCACCGATATGACAATAGTGACGCCATGGCATTAATGCCGCCTACCGAAGCACACGATCAACCACAAGCTTACATCTCACCTCATTACCAATCAAACCAGCAGTCACAACAGTTTGTCCCTTCATTTGGGTTCTTCCCTAATCCTAGACACCACCCTCCAATTGCGACAGGAAGCACGTTAGTCAGTGGACCCCCAGCTACATCAACCTCAACCCCCCGTTCAACATCGGTAACAATACCCTCAAACCCTAATCAATCAGCCGCCAATTCCATATCTGCGCTTGAAACACAGCTCGCTCGCCTTCGTCAGTATTCTGAGGAGGTCCTTTCCCTCTCATTATACGACTCCCACAGGCTTCTCCAGGACGAGATTCAACGACTGGAAGGGAGTTTGCTACTAGCGAAAAAGGACCGGAGTGAACGTGTCCTTCGAAATTTGGAACTGGAATTTCCGACACTGAGGAATATCCATGAGGGCCTAAAGCGGGAAGGCGCACGACTCGGCTACTTTTAACCCAAACACCCCCATTTCTTTACACATCGGCCATCAAATGGTACTGACCTGTACCTTTTTCTTTTTCTTTTATTACATGCGAAAATGACGGGGTCATGATAGATATGGATGGAATGGATTTGACGGATTGGATGATTAAGAACCTTGGCATAAGTATGGATGGACGGATGGATTTTACTGACGGGTCACTTTTACTTATCTTCTCTTCTAACCCCTCGTTTAATACAGTGTGCTTGTTTTATGTTAAAGGTGGATATGCCTGGAGCCGTCCCCTGCCTGTTTACTTTCAATTCTTGATAATATAATCTACGATCATGGTCATAATGTTTGTTTTAGATAGTATTATAGATTTATTTCCATTTATTTTCCTCATATATTTCCGATTCGACAGGAGGGTGATAGAGCATTAATACTAACATCCCTAAATAAACCAAAACACGCTCAATATAATTAATCAAAACCATCTGTATCGTTGAATAGAACTACATTAGCTAAGCACGGGTCTTCCCGCTGCCGAGGCTTCTTCTTTCTTGGTTATTACCGAAACTAAAAATGCCGAAGAAACAAACGACGTCTTTTGTCTTGTCGCCTGAAACCAACTCGGAGGTAACAGCAAAGCTATTAAGGTCTCAAATTCGGTCTTGTAGCGAAATTTTATCACTCCCTCTGGGAATTTACTTGCGTGGAATTGGCCATGCGTGTTCTCAACCGGAGCTTGCGTCCATCATGGCGCCCAACAACGATGTCCCTTATCCGGGCTGGCCCTCTGTGCAGGCATAGCAGTACCCAGCCTCTCACTCATGCATACTCTACAATCCAACAGGAGAATTCTGCATCAAATACAGCAGGCAAATTTTTGGCTAAGTTTCAGAATATTGGGCCCCAAAAACGAACACAGATTCTAGACGCCAACCAACTACAACTCCTCTCTCTAACACTCAATAAAAATAACCTATATCCTGGCTCCCCCCCATTTCTATCCCCTCCTTCCCAGGCAGAAAAGCAGACCTCTTCTGCTCCTATTGCTGGAACCCCAATCCCACCTGGCTACCACTTAGTATATTTCACGCCTCAATTTCTAGAGGAACATTTGGGACCAGATGGGACAGACGTCTCTTATAACCCTGACCCGCCCTTCACAAGAAGAATGTGGGCCGGTGGGGAGATTATATGGCCACGCAGGAAAGATGGTGGACGGCCAAATCTACTGAGGGTTGGCCAAACTGTGACCGAGACAACAAAGCTTCTAAGTGCTGAGCCGAAAGTTATCAGAAAAACTGGTGAGGAGATGATTGTTGTTGGTGTAGAGAAGGTGTTTGAGAACGAAAATGGCGTTGCGCTGATAGATAAACGGTAACCTACCCACCAGTATATTTTAAATACACAGGCGTGTGTGTACGGGCTGGTTAGCTAATTCCCATTCTTTAGCAACTGGGTATTCCGCAAGGCTCTCAAGATACCAGCTCCGGGAAGTACTGCCCCAAAGCCGCAGCAGCATAATAGCAGCTCCTCGATCTCCTCGGGATCGCCAATTCCGTCAGCTTCGGCAAATACTTATACTCTTAGCCTAAAGCAGTCACCAGTAACATTATTCCGCTTCTCTGCTCTCACCTTTAATTCACACAAAATACACTACTCGGTACCCTGGGCCCAGGATGTTGAGGGACATAGAAACATAGTGGTCCATGGCCCGTTGAATTTGATTTCAATATTGGACTTTTGGAGAGAAACAAGAAAGGAGAGCGAGAGGGAACCTGAATATATCGTCCCAGAGAATATCAAATATAGAGCAGTGCACCCCCTATATGCGGACGAGGAATATCATATTGTCCTCGAAGATACACAGGGGAGCGCAATGGTTAATATATATAATTTCGAAGGCAAGGTCAGTATGAATGCGGACATTGTTGGTTAAGGTTGTGTTGGGCACCTTTGTCTCTCCAGCTGTTAAATAATCCATTCTAAATAGCAAACATACAACGTATCAAGTGGTGTCTATATATTTTGTTTTCTACAGTGGTTAGTTCGTATTTAGAAAATGCCGGCACTAAAAGATTCTCCCCGGATGAACTTTCAACGCCAACATAGTCATACCACCCAAAGGACAATTGGTAACAACAATCCCCCTGCACAGGCTCTCTAGATAGTTCCATGCTAACGGTGTTATCTACAAGAGTTATACTGGATCTCCCATTCTTTATTAGTCTTGAGGTTATGCGGATAGCTCCTCTCACGCCGCTGTTGCGGACGGCCGCCAGATCGCAATATAAAAACACGCTCATAAAATCATTCGCAGCATCTCAAACCAGGCAATTCAACCTCCCATCACTCTCCTCATTTGCGCCACAATTCTCTGCGCCGGAACCACGAAGTCTCTCCGCAACCCGTACCCTCCCATTCGCACCGTCGCCGCTTTTCCAAACCATCTCTTCAATCGATTCATACAAAGATTTTTTACCCTTCCTGACAGAGTCGAAAGTAACCGCTCGCGATCCCAAAACCGGTTACCCCACTCGCGCATACCTAACTATTGGATACGGGCCTCTTAGCGAGACGTTCGAGTCAAAAGTCGAATGTGACGAGAAGAAGTGGTTCGTGGGTGCAAGAAGTGGTGATATTGCTCTACAGCATAAGCAAAACCAAGGAGCTGGCGGAAGTAGTTCTCAGGGAGAATGCATATTTGAGCATTTGGACACCATTTGGAAATTGGAGCCGTTGAATACAGGCATGAACGGGGGTCATCGGACAAAGGTTGACTTGACAGTTCGCTTTCAATTCCGGAGTCCATTACATGCAGCAATGATGACTGCAGTTGAGAGTCAGATGGCTGGGTTGATGATAGAAGCGTTCGAGAAGCGCATGATAGAGGGCGGGAAGAGGTAAATAAGGGAACATATTCATGTATAAGAAGCTCTGCTGTTTTAGTATGGGATTTTGGAGTTTTAGGTAGTTGCATATAGATAGATTTAGAGTCTGGCCACCATGCCATTGTGGGTAGGTAGGCCGGGGCCTTGCGGATAGAATGATATATATATCTGTTTTTCTAATGTTAAATAAAAGAACAATTGTATAATACATGACAGAAGTCTTCAAAGATCCCCCTTAATAATGTGATCCATGCGTTCTCTGTTTCCTACTCGTGTCAAATGTTGAGGCCGGCCCAGCTTGTTTATAATTCTGAGCAACCTCTTCCCAATTAATCTTATCCCACCATGCCTCTAGATATCCAGCCTTACCACCAATTCCCCAGTCTTGTAGCCATACGTGTTCCCATGTGTTCACACAGAGTATTGGGTGAATGTCTGCGCCACCAGGAGCGAGATATTTCTGTTGTGAGAAGGGCCCCATTGAGCCGTATGTTCGGGAAGCTACTCGGCCTATAGCCTGGATATTCTCCCCTCCAGTGATTCCGGTAGTCTGTGTGGCCATGTCCACCGGCTGACGTCGGAAGTGTGCTTGGGGGTAAGGAGAGCCAGCAATGTAGGTTGCTAAGATCTTCAATTGGGCTGTATCTTTCATCTTAACCAACCAAACGAAACCAGGTCCGAACATGGCATTTGCAGTCGCGATGAATTCTTCTTTAAGGGATTCGACAGAGGAGCATGATTCTGTGATGGCTTCTTCTAGCTTTTGAGGAATTGGGACGGCATTGGGTGACTGATTTTCGACATAGGTTAGACTCTAACTTTTAAAGGATTAGACGTGAAGCAAAGGTGACCTACTAGACAGTTGAAATAGAAATGGTTATTATGCGCCATAGAGGCGTAGTTGAAGAGGGAAGCCATGCTGGCCTGGCGAGCGTATTTGATCAAAAGGGTTCCAGGGCCGACATTCTCATCCGCAGTGCCTTAAAAATTACGGTTAGCGTACACAATCCAGTCTCCGGTTCGCCATTATATAGGGAGGAAGGGCAAAGAGCCAACCTCCGGTGAGCATATTGAGCTTCTGAACCAGGTACGATTGATACTGTACCCATGCAAGGTCATAGCCCTCTGGAGAGAGAACCCCTGGTACACCATTCTCCTTGAAGTGAGTGCTATGTGTTAATTGGGGGACACGGTGGAATGCCCTGCTCTGGGCTTGTAGGCGTAGGGAGCACTACATTATATAAATTCGCATTGATTAGCAGATGCTCGAACAAATTTCAGTACACCACAAAAGAGAGAAAAACGAACTCGGGATGAAGAGGCTAGCAGACCGGCCTGCTGCCGTATCGAACGTTGGAACATCATGTTTAACCGCCCCCCCTTCAAAGTCACTCAATTGGACAGGCAGAAGTATCAAAAAAAATGTACGTCTTTCTTCCCTTGTCGTTTTGCTTCTTTGGGAAAGTTTTGAGAAGAAACGTCGGAAGCGGAGGAACTTTGATCCAAAGTTAGCGCCGGCCTGGGAAGCTCTGACCAATCAGCACGTGAGACTAGTTGACTTCGTGATAACTCGAGACGTCAAGGAGAAAACAAATAGCAACGGCAGCACAACCTGGGCGGCTGCAGTCCAACCATCGACGATGGACCTGGTGGACATGGAACCGATACTTTTCAGTGCCTTTACCTTGCCCAGAGCTGCCGTCATAGGACTCGTATGAGCCAGTTTCAGCTTCGCGCCGGCCTCTGTGACCTACTGGCAGGCATACTTGCATAGAACACTCGTCACGGCCCAGGGGGTCTCAAAAGAGTCAATTCCTAGCCGCCTTCCATCAGAAACCATGGATATACCCTTGATAAGGATTCTAAATAGGCCCAGTTTTGGCGAGATTTTGGCTGGGGGGGTTATAGCCCATATAATCCTGAGGGACTCGCTTCTTCCTTTGTTCTTTAAGAAATGTTCCCTCTTTTCCCTCTTGATACCCTTCATTCATATTAAAGAAACCCTCCTCAGAATCCTTATACAGTATCCTCTTTCCCTTTAATTATTCTAATTCTGCTGGCACAGAATTTTACTTCATTATTAATTATACTGGGCTCTACGCCCTTTCATTGATCTTACTTTAATAGCCCTTTCTCCAGCTTGATCTTTGCATTAACCATACATAATTTTGTCTCCAAATTCAGCCCTTTGCGATGGTTAAATCGAGTTCACTGCTCCTTGTGCTATACGTTTCCTTAGTCTTCTGTTCTGGCACCGCGAGTCGTTCAAAGTTGGGCACAGTGCCCGGTCTTCTCCCTCGCGAAGAAACATGTGCTAGGAAAGGTTTTCAGCAGTGTGGAAATCCGAATGTTCCCAAAAACTTCTGTTGTGCAGAAAACGCGGACTGTCTGGTCATAGACAACGCAAGCACCGTTGTTTGCTGTCCGAAGGGAGCTGATTGCAAGACCATCCGGCCAATAACGTGTGATGTTCAACTCCAAAATGTTGCAGTAGATCCGGGCAGTTCCATTAAAACCACAAAATTGACCGAAGACCTAGCAAAATGTGGAAATATGTGTTGTCCGCATGGGTACGCCTGCCAGGATGGGAGCTGTGTGCTCGTTAATCCCTCGTCAGACCCTCTTCCTTCAGCTTCAATATCAATTTCTCCAACAACGGCCCCATCCCCTACATCTACACCTACCTCCACATCGACCGCGGCGCCAGCAACAGCCCCAGCCGCGGAGCAACAGTGCAACAAATTCCCCCCTGGTGCCGTGGCAGCAGGGTTCTTCCCAGGACTTGCCTGTGGAATCCTAGTTTGCGTTATATTCAGCTGTTTAAGAAGAAAACACCCTAATCCCCCTCAAAATCTCCATCCAGATGCCTGCCATTTTCGACAAAAGTCTGTGGATGGCACTGTGATCTCGATATCGGACCCTATGCCTTCTAGCGCTCAAGATTCCTTTAGAACAGATTTCCTGCGGCAACAGGCAAGCTACTACGAACAAGACAGGAGTGACAATCGTCGATCACGGATTCAGCGCACAAGTGACCGAGTGAAGAGCCTCTTTGCACCAAAATTCTCTGTGATAACAGACCCACCGCCTGCAGACATCCCGCCAATGCCAATGACTCCACAAAATAAAGCGTATCCGCAGCGGTTGTCGAGTACGGAAAGCATCAAGGTGTATAGCCCTGTGTATCTTGGTGAAGAGAACAGGTTGAAACCTCCAATTGGCTTAACGGCGTCCGGGCGGCCACCAACCACTTTTACCGAGATGATGGAGCGAGTTGGGTTCCAAAATGGTAGAGGGAGTCCATTTTATCCTGTCTCGGACACTCCACCGCCCCCGATTTCGAAAACTTCCGCTGGCAGTCCCCTAAAGCAGATATAGGAACTTGATATCCTTTTTAACTTGATTTTTCTGAATTTAGAGTGATGAGATGTTCGTTATATATATATATATATATATATTGATGGACCTCTATTGTACATATCTATTTAATCTGGTTACATAGACCTCGAGCCTTAGAAAATTGAAAAGCGTTTCTATCATATTATATTTGTTATGTACTAATTATGTCATGACCTCGACCGCAACCCAAATAGCATCCTTTTTAGCTCCTTGATCAAACCCAGTACTAATGGAACTCCAATTGGTCCTAAAAGCGGAAGATACACGGCTACCTTATGTTCATCTGGGAAATAAACCTGGCCAACCATACTTTTCTCAAAAAAGCTGCGTTCAGCTTCTTTCTCGGCAACTCTAGCACTAGCAAGGGCAGACCTAAAGGCTCCCTGGTGTAGCATTTCGCAAGTTGAAGAAAGATGGGACAACGTATGAGAAACCGAATTTGCGACTGTGATAGGGATGGGTATGGAAGGAAGCGAGAGAGTAAGGCGTGCAAGAGAACCCATTGTAGATGATGCGGATAGAAGAAGGGACGCGGTATGGATTCGGATCAGGCTTTGCAGCCGCAGTGGTAGAGATGGTGGTGAGTTAGGAGTGCCGAGAAGTGTAAGGAGTTGGTGTGAAAATGTATCCATGACAGGCTTTAGAGCCTCGCGGGAAAGATGATGTGGGTTCTGCGGCTCTGGGTCCGTGGATAGGGGCGGGTTTAGAATGGTCACCCCTCCCCATTGAGGAATAAGCCAGCTTGTAGCCGAATTCTCTTGGACGACCAGCGGCGACTGAGTCGGCGAGGGCACGTAGAGAATGAAATTTATGGTTGGTCCACCGCCAATGCTCGGGCTGAGGGGCCATTCGGCTGCATTGATAAATCCGCTCAAGTCTTCTTTCTTAAGGGTCCATGCAGATTTGCTTTCATCATATTCGGGTGGTGTTGCGGTTGGCGAGAAGGTAGCATAGACTTGCACCTGGGTATCAATGGAAAAACTGCTAATGGGAGAAAATGCGGCAAGGAGAGGGGATAGATGTTCTTTCAAGGCGGATTCAATTTCCCAGGACGACGGCACAGGACCAGGTGTAAAGAGAGAGAAGCTTAGATGGTATGTTTCTGCGTATTTGAACGACTTCTTTGCACGGCTAGCAATGGATTCAAGAAGTTGTGGTTGCATCATGGGGCTAATATTATTCGCTCTTTGCTCCTTATTGAGGGCCCCTAGGCTTTGAGGCCCCTGTGCTGCAGGACTCCCTGAAATTGAATGCTTCGAAGACGAGGTTCCGCTGTTGCTCTGCGATAGAATATACTCCAATGCTGCTTTTTCCTCATTAAATAGACTACGCAGCTCCTTTGCTATAAATGTTGTAAGGGGCGAATGCGAGGTGGTTTGTGGCTGCACCTGGCCAGATGGATAAAACACATCCAGTCGCTCAGAGTATGGCTGTAGATCGGCGGAGATTGAAGTGATGTTATCACGCGGAGTAAGACGTAGTACCAGTGCATGCTCGCCTACTGCTTCATTGACCGTCCCTGACTCATGATTCGAACTTTCTTTTGTTTTCATCAGACGTAGGCGAAGGTGGTGGGCGGAGAAATCGTTCAAGTCGTCAAGAGCATGCTGTGCCGCTTGAACCAAGGCCTCCGCTTCAGGAATATTTAATCCAGGCGTATGAACATGTATATGCAGGGGGAAAACAGGCCTACAAGACTATATCTCGATATTAGCAACTACACGCATGGAGATAGGGGGTGCGGCTTTAGTATCTTACCTTCCCTACTGCCCAATTCTCCATCTCATTGAGCGGGAGTTTAGCTCTATAGATGGATGTCGTTTTCCACCACATTGGCAGTCCGAGAAGTAAAATGATCAGCCAAAAGGTGAGCACGATAAGCGATCTCCTTCGAATAGCTTCAGGTTTTTCAGGCGGCGCACCGCGATGGACAGCCGACTTGGGTGCTGGCTCATCTTCCAAGCTTGAGCCAGCCTTGCCCGGGGCATCAGGCCTTCCACCAGGGCACTTTTCCCGCAATGAATCTTCCTGGCTCATCGTCAACTCATCTTTGGTCGGGCTATCAGGAAGAATTTCGAGAAGATGGAAGTTTGAACGAGAAGACGAATGACAATAGATTTATCATTAAGTCGTTACATAGAAAAAGCGATGTCACTGCTGACTAAGCCACTTTACACAAAGTAACAACTTTTGACATGGCAAGATGAAGTTAGAGAAAGTAATAATATATAAAAAAGATGTTTATGAAGTCTTAGGCAGCTTGAATATGTATGTATATATATGTTGTTTCAAAGAGCCTGGACGTTGAGGCCTTCAAAATTTGTATTATAAGGTCTATACACGGCTTGGCAGTGATTATCTGGAGAATATTCGAAGATCTGGTCAATTTCTTTCTTCAGATGGTGAAGCTACAACCTCCGTGTGAATCAATTGAACGAGCAAAACCTCTGGCTTAGAATGCAGTGACGCTCTAGATCCATAACACCCGCCTCGTTTTCCCTCTCGCCTCAAAAAAAAGGGATAAAAAAGATATCCAGCAACTGGAGTCGAGATGTTTGATACTGTCTGCAGTTACCCACTACATGCGGATATCTTCACGCAGGCCATTCACCCTACGGAGCCAATTGTCTCTGTTGGCCTTTCGTCCGGTCATGTCGAGACATTCAAGTTGCCTGCCGAGCATGATTCGGAGTCGGGGGAGAAGAAAAACGGGCTGGGGCACATTGACACCATCTGGCGAACGAGAAGGCACAAGGGCAGCTGCAGGAGTTTGACCTTTGGCATCGATGGAGAGATGCTTTATTCTGCTGGCACAGATGGCTGGGTGAAGGCTGCAAAGTCAGAGACTGGGAAGGTTGTGACCAAATTTGCGGTTCCTATGCCTAGAGATAAGTATGCTGCATACCCTCAGCAAAAAAAAGACAGTCTATATTTAATAAAAATAGGTAGAAATTAACGGTTCTTGCTCCTAGGCCTCTTCATGATACTGATATGCCTTGTCTCTTGCATGCGCTATCCCCGCAAACACTCCTTTTGGCAACTGACTCCAGCGCACTTCATATCTTTGATCTTCGCACTCCCTCAACGGAAGTCTCTGCTCGTCCAGAACAGACGCACTACCCTCACGATGACTACATATCCTCCCTTACTCCATTACCGCCATCCGAGACGAGCACATCTGGGTTCAGCAAACAGTGGGTAACGACTGGAGGAACCACAATTGCTGTCACCGACCTCCGAAGGGGCGTGATGGTTCGAAGCGAAGATCAGGGCGAGGAATTGATCAGCTCCACATACGTCACCGGCCTGAAAGCCGGGGGAACTAGCAAGGGAGAGAAATTGGTAGTTGGAGGAGGCAGCGGAATCATAACTCTTTGGGAAAAGGGTGCATGGGACGACCAGGATGAGAGAATTACAGTCGACAAGTCACCGCTTGGCGGCGAGAGCCTGGAGGTACTGGCCAATGTCCCAGACGAGATAAGCAATAGTAAAGTCGTCGTTGCCGGGCTTGGTGACGGACGCCTGAAATTCATTCAGTTGGGTAGCAACAACGTCGTCTCCGAAACCAGACATGACGATATTGAAGGCGTGGCAGGCCTTGGGTTCGACGTTTGTGGAAGGATGGTCAGCAGCGGTGGTTCGATAGTAAAAGTATGGCATGAGGCACCAGAAACAACTGGGAAGGGGAAGGATAACTGGGCACCATCAAAACGGCATCTTGAAGACAGTGATGACGATGATGACGATAGTGACAAGGAGGCTGAGGCAGAGAGTGATGAAAATGAAAAGGAGAAGAAGAGGAGAAAGCGGAAGAGAGGCAAAGGGAAAGATCGAACTGGCGGCCAGCACGTCATGGCCTTTAAGGATCTTGACTGATTCATCTCTTTATCGAGTATGCACTTGAGCCCTGGATGATACTTTGATATTCATCAACAGGGCGATTTTAGAGAGGAAAGACTCAATCATTTCTCTTAACACAGCAGATAGAGCATACCCCAGCTGTATACAAACAAATGTACAAATATTCTTTTGATCCGGTGGCCAATCCGAGGACAAAATACTAAGTATAGAAGTTCTAACGGCTTGTTCAAAATGGCTCCTTTTACTGTTGGCAATTTTCATGGAGGCTGGAGTCCCTTGGATTCATTTATCGTCAGTCTTACTACATCATCCAACATCAACACTCAAATCTCTATCAAACCTCAGATCTGAAACAGAAAGATGAAGCCGTTCGAATACAACGCAAGCCCTGCCCATGTTATTTTTGGAAGCGGTACTATTAAACATTTAGCAGCAGAAACTGCGCGACTGGGTGTAGAAGCGCCGCTACTTCTATATACCCCACGGCAAGAGAAACTCGTGGATGATGTGAAGAGTCTGCTTCAGGGAAAAGTAGCTGGAGCCTTTGACGGTGCCGTGATGCATGTTCCCTCGCACATTACGGAGAAGGCTCTGCAGTATGCACAGAAGCAAGGCGCGGATGGCATCGTATCTATCGGTGGCGGCAGCGTCATCGGCTTGGGGAAAGCCATCAGCTTCAGAACCGGACTCCGTCATATATGCATCCCGACTACATATTCAGGCAGTGAGATGACACCAATACTTGGAGAGACGCATAATGGAGTAAAGAGCACCAAGACAGACCCGAAGATTCTCCCGGCAGCAGTCATATACGATGTCGACCTCACGTTGTCGTTACCCGCCCGTCTGAGTGCCACGAGCGGAGTTAATGCCATCGCTCATGCAGGTAAACTTGACACCTTTCATACCCTAAACTGGCTGGATTTCTAACTAGTTATACATCTAGCTCTCTCTGCTGGCTCTTTCTAATGCTAACTAGATACTAGTGGAAGCATTATATGCCCGCAACGGGAACCCAATTATCAACCTTCTAGCCCGAGAGGGCATAAAGAGCCTCTCTACTGCACTGCCAGAAATCATGATGAATCCCCAGTCTGCTTCTGCGCGATCTAATGCTCTCTATGGTGCTTGGCTATGTGGTTCGTGCCTGGGAAGTGTTGGAATGGCTCTGCATCACAAGCTATGCCATGCTCTGGGCGGTAGCTTCAACCTGCCACATGCAGAAACACATACAGTCGTACTCCCTCATGCCCTTGCCTACAATTCTCCAAGCATCCCTGATGCAATGGCTATTCTGGCGGAGGTGCTTCCTGATAGCGAAGGGGATGCCATTCGAGGTCTGAATGCTCTTCTAGAAAAACTACAAGTAAAACGAGGGGCAAAAGAGTTCGGCATGAAGGAGACAGATATTGACCAGGCCGCAGAGATAGCAGTGAGGAATGCGTACTGGAACCCCCGTGAGATTCAGAAAGAACATATCAGGGAACTTATTAGAAGGGTTTGGGCAGGCGAGGAGGCTCGTGTCGACCTATAACTCTCTATACTGCTTCACATGTCTCAGACCTGTCTTCACAGAGTGTTTAATTATTTAATGCTTACCTGCATTAATCCTAGAGGTCAATAGAAGATGAGTTAGCACCAAGGTGCTTAGCCCATGATATACTCCTTTTTTTCTTTGCATTAAAGTCTCATGCAACGGCAAGGCTATGCCATGCATGCCACTGCAATATATAAATTGAAGATCGCCTTGATCATAGCAGGAATAACAACACTAACACCTCGTTTCTATTCCATTTCTATTACAGTTACAGTGATATCCAATATATCCTGATAAGCTACTTTAAGACAAGATGCCAAACAAAACCCAACCCCAGGTGGATGTCGGCCAGTTGTCCCTACAAGGCCTGGGCCTGTTTTCCCCTCTTCTCGCTGCATTTTCGGCAGACGATGTGAACCCGGTGGCAATGATCCAGATGGAGCGACTTGGTGCTGCATTCCCGGTCAACGGACAGTACGCCTCCAAAGTCCCTGACTATCTCCCGCGATTCACATCTACCCGACTTAATTGGATAGGCCTTCTTATCGGTTGGCGGAAGGATGATGCCGCATCATATATAGTGAAAATGGTGAGTGGGCAGTCGATTGCACTGCTAGCAACTTGCCTGGTGAATACCCCTGGCGACACTAGAACTGGAGATATCCTACCTGGCCTCTCATAGGAGATTTTCAACAGTCCTATCAGTGTAGCAAGCAGCGTTCAATTACGACGGGTTGCCAAATATCTATCTTCAAAACATTCTGTCATTGGATTTGGAAACATTCTTACTGCCAATGTCGGCCGAGTTCACAGCGCCTATAGACACCTGCAGAAACCCATGCCCACAGACTCTCTAGATGTGATGACCACCGAGTCGGCTGTCAAACTGTTCCAGTCTATATCTAAGGCCCTTCAGACGGAAAACACCCGTGCCCGCATATATGGGACCCAATCTCTGAGCTATATTTTGTTATGGTGATGTTTCCACAAGATGCTGTCGTGTCTGTCGACAATGTGATTATCCGCGAAGGTCAACGCAAGTTAATTTTAATTGAATTCGATGCTACTGTCTCCGTGGCACCAGCTGAAATCACTATAGAGACCGTCGTGGATATGTCTGCATCAAACACAGTCTGTTTGCCTATTACTGCCTCGAAACAAGGCAGCTCTGGAATTTCCTAGGCGAGTGCAACTTCCGGTTCAAAGTCTACCTTGCGGACTATTTGCGGCTTGCATTATTCGATTATGGGATAAATATAATCCCAGAACTTCTCATCGCTTGCAGTGAAACATTGATTTCATTTGCAGATCACAAGGGAAGGCAAAACCATTTGCGTTTAACAAGCGTTCTTGGAGCTCATCCCTTTCAAAGGATGAAACAAGTCTGCCAAACATTGTTTGGAGTCTCACCGCCGACAACCATAAGGGATTTGACACTGCATTCGAAAATCTTACCCACTGTTTTCGCTCATTAACTCCAGGTTGCTCGTGCCCGAATTCCTACCTTTCTCATGGATGGGGAAAATTAACGAGAACAGCTATCCTAAAGACAGACACCTGCTCGTATTGCAAAGCCCTATGGGATGCTGTTGGGACCGCCCTGGGCCATGGAGCGGCGTGCTTCTTCGCCAAAGCGGATGTCAATGCTATAATACCCTCACCTTCCTACCGTCGTGGAATCAATGCCATGGAGATTATCACCGAATGGCGAACTTTAAGGATACCACCCCATCCGTTCCATCTGGAAGAGCGTTTCTCAGACCGAGGCCGCGAAGATATAAAATCCATTCTGGGCATTTCTACTTCCTGCACTATATATCCCAATAGACTTCAAATAATGGCGCTAGACTTGGAGAACGGCGCTTATTATGAAGTAGTTGATGGCGTGCTTCGTTTTAATGGCCGAAACCACAATATGCTTTGCAGCGGCCCGGCAGCACAGAGGAACGAGCCCGAGGTCTTTGAACCACAATATTCTACTAGAGACAAAATCGTCCCCTCCAGCGCAGGTGAACACTCCGAATTGAGCCTTACATTACGCGAGGTTTCAAATTATCTCCAGCTTCGGTGTGTGGTAGTTGTTGCAAAGACCAATGTCCCAATCGACCTCGAAGACGTGATTCTTAGTTCCTACTTCGTTAAGCAGGCTAACCCGTGCGAGCATCCCTCGAGTGCACCATTCAAGCACGGCTGGATCAATGCCATCACTACTTCTGTCGCGGCTCCAATAACAACAATCCCGTCGTGGTATGCGGTTGCTCTGGTATTGAGAAATAAGCCTGCCCAGCTTCTCTGCTGTATGTCGCAGCGGAAGATACTTCTTCAACGAGACTGCTGTTTGACCTGTGCACTTGTGCAAGCGAATAAAGAGGGTGTAAGCATAGTCCTTACATACTGATGTTTGTACTTGTATCTTTAATCACCATTCGTTGAATGATACCTGTTGAGATCTTTGGTGGAAATATAGTCTCAACCATCTTATCGCCCATTAAGTACCAGATCCCGTATTTCAATTCTAAGGAAAAGGAAACTCAGCTACAAGGCTCACATCCTTTCTTAGCCTTAAAAAAGGTATCAACCAGAGATTCAAGTCGTAACATAGGAAAAGATGAATATTTTCTTCAAATATTCAATTTTGAATATTGAGTTTGTATAGTTAAATTTTGGCGGGGAAGTCACGTGGTGATAAGAGAAGCTTTTTGAACCTTTTTTATCCCACCAAAAAAAGATCAGTGGGAGAAGAAGAAGAAGAAGAGAATAACAAAGGGAAAAAGGAAAGCCGGCTGGAGGAAGAGAACATGGCCGAAGAATTGAAGGTTGCGCCAGTTCTTTCGACGCCGGACACACGGATTCTGGAAGAAACTGAACCTACGGCGAGCAGTCAACCTATAGGCCAGAATCTATCAGATGAGGAATTCCGCATCACATACGATATTGAGCGAACGATCAGGGAGATAAAGGAAGGAAAATGGCAAAGGATAGCCCTTCAATTCCCAGATGATATGCTGCCTGATGCGCCGAGGGTTTTTCAGCTGTTGAGCCGTGGACTCGACGCTCACAAGGAGGGGACTAATGGCAACCGGACGCAATACACAACCAATGGCCACGATAGAGATGATAAAGACAACGAGGACGTGGCTGATGCTATCAACCGGGATTTGAATTTTGACGAGAAGACTGAGAGCCCAGCTCCCAGATTATATATTCTTGCGGACACCTCCTACGGGACCTGCTGCGTAGATGAAGTTGCGGCAGAGCACGTCGATGCTGATGTCGTAGTGCATTATGGGAGATCATGTCTATCACCAACCGCAAGGTTGCCTGTGATATATATATTCACCTGTAGGCCGCTTGACCATGATGCGGTCATACAGGCCTTTGAGGAATCATACCCAAATCAAGACGAGAAGGTTGTGGTCGCTGCAGACGTCACATATGCTGCCCATGTCGGGGCAATAGCATCAATACTCATACATAAAAAAGGGTATACAAATGTATTTGCGGCTCAAATAGTGCATAACCCTTCATCACCAATTCCCAACCGAACAATTCCACGTTCAGTCGAGGCCGGTCAAGAGCCGCTGAACGAATGGCAGCTCTTCCATGTCTCGGATCCCCCAACCTCGTTGCTTCTGACTCTGTCTTCCCGTGTTGCCGCAATACGGATATATCCTACTGACACAGGGGCTAGTCAACTTGGCTCTGGAAGCAAGGCTCTACTAGCATCCACCGCAATCTCTCTTCGTCGTCGATATGCGATTCTCACATCCCTCAACACTACACCGATATTCGGTATTCTTGTGAATACTCTCAGCGTTAAGAACTACCTCCACATAGTGCAACATGTCCAAAAACTCATCACTGCAGCGGGGAAGAAGAGCTACCTGTTTGTTGTCGGGAAGTTGAACGTGGCCAAAGTAGCAAACTTCAGTGAGATAGGGGGATGGGTCATCATTGGATGCTGGGAAAGCTCGCTTGTGGACAGCAGAGACTTTTGGAGACCGGTCATTACGCCGTATGAGCTAGAACTCGCTCTGCAAAGTGACAACGAGAGGGTATGGACTGGAGCGTGGAGCAGCGATTACCAGTCACTTCTCGAATCAGAGAGTCGTGTTGTGGCGAGCCAAAAAACAGACAATCCTTCCTCATCTCCGATGAAGGCTGAAACTGAGGCTGAAACAAATGCAGAGGGAGACGATGCTTTTTCTGAGCCGGAGTCAGCTCCCCCTGATTTCGACCTCCGAACGGGCCGATATGTCTCGACATCGAACACACGGCCTATGCAGACTTCGTCAGGTCCTGTATCTGCTTCCAATTCAGCCCACGAACGGGCTGCTGGTGGCTCGAAATCACTGGCTAAACGGTTCAACTCGGACGTTGCCACGATCGGCGGCGTCGTCTCTCCCGGCGCAGAGTTTCTCAAGTCCAGTAGATCATGGAGGGGGCTGGGCAGTGATTTTGTCGTTGAATATGAGGAAGACACTGGCCAGGACAGTGGTCTCAAGGGGAGCGCCGTGGTCGAAGGTCTTTCGGGAATTGCCCGTGGGTATAGAATTGGTGACAACCAGGAACGGCGATAGTGTTAGACATATATACTTGGCCAAATCAAACATTCCCCTACCTTTGCAGAGCTGCGTCCATGTCCAGAGTTCTTGTGAATGGTCCTCTATAGCGACTACACACGAGCGTAGGGAAGATTGGGTGTATAAGGCTGCATCGAACCCCTTTCCAAGGGCCTATCAGGGGCCTCCTTGCCGCGTATACTCGTCTGTACATTATCTATCATAATATTATATATTAAACCGGCCAGCCATCTTCCTTCGCTTCCCTCTGTCTGTCCACGTGACATGTTGCTCTCTCAAGGCGCGGCAAATTTTGGGCGAAAATAGTTTTTATATCAACAAAAACTCGGAGTTTTGCTCCAAAGAACGACAAAGACATCGCAAAGACCGTGTGTCTGCCTTGTTATCCTTGGACTCTACGGGATAGAAGGGAGTTTTCTTTTGGCTTGAGCGGAGAGAAGCCTGAGATGTGAATAATATCTGGGCTGCCCTCTTGGACTGACTGGCTTGTGCCTCAGGCCATTGACTTGAAAAAAAAAAGGAGAAATTTCGCCCATAAGCAGCTTCGATGTGTCAACGCGACCATCCTGCTTCCTCTCTCGTTGTCGATATTTACGCCTCACTTCTGCCCAGCAGTCATCCGTATTCTTATGATGCTCAGCTGTCCCTCGTTTCCCGGCAGACACCTCACCAGATCGAATCTCCAGTGCTAAATCCAGGATGGCATGCATCTTCGGCCCTGGCGGAATCTCGGTTGACGAGATGAGCCCAAGGACGCCAGCTACGACTCCGGACCTCATCTTCAGCGAAGAGGAAGGGGGACGGTCGCCTACGAGGCATTCACAGCTCTCTACGTTCGAACGAGTCCTCTCTACCCATCCGCCCATCCTCGAATCATTCCTTCTACAGACACCAACCGAATCGATCCTACAACTTTACCACACCTCCTCATATCTCAGATCGTTCCTTAAGTCGTATCCAACGGCATGGCAGTATCTCTCGTTTCGACTCCTTCTGCCCTCCAGCACGCAGGTTCGCCCGCTGGTTGGAGCCACAGACTCGCAGGGAAACCAGCGCCAGTCCCGGCCGTACGCACTCGACCAGCTACTCCTTCATGTCATCGTGCCCTTCAGTCCGTCCCTCCGCAGCCTAGACCTGGATAACACCGCTGTATCGGGTCAGAACCTTATTTCCATCGTTCTCAGCGCCCGCAGGGACACTCTGGAGCATATCTCTGTCCGGGGATGCAAAAACGTATCTCTGAAGTATCATATCATTCCTTACTTGACCATGTTTGGGTTGCAGTATGACGCGGACACTGCAAATCCGCTCGGACCTTCGTCCAAAGTGAAACGTCTTGCCATCAAAAGTCTTTACACCTACCGCTGTCGCCACCATAGAAGACGTCCTTATCTGACCTCATCTCTCCTCCGAAGGGACTCCGACTCCGAACCGACCCACGAACTCGTCAATCTTTGTCATAAGCTCGGTATATGGACAGATACTGCGTGGTGTACCACCCCGGCAGGGCGTTGTTTACGGAGGCGAGGCTATGTGTCCATGAGGGTACCACAAGGCAGTCCCGAAGTGTGGGTTGTATTCGACCGTTTATGGAGGTCAAAAAACTGGATTGGTGCGACTGGTGACAGCAGTGAGCCTCCAAAACGAGACGGGCGTCTCTGGGAACACGACGAGACCGGACATTCCGGTGAGCCGCTAGGGACTGCCGGCGCCCAGAAGTACGGAGAGGGAAAGACGGTTCCGACTCACCTTCGCAGCAGCCACAGGCGGTTCGTGGATGACATAAAGTGTGATGCCTGTCTTGAAAAGATACACGAAAGATGCGAGCAATGCAGCGTCTTGATGCATTGTGTCGGATGCCGCAAAACACTCTGCTACAGCTGTGCATACGATACGCCCTACCCACGGAGGAAAGCCATATCTGTTGGTGACCCTGCAGGAGAGGCGTTTTGGTGGGCTCCAGGAGCGACGATATCTCCTTGTGCGATGCAGGAGCCCTTCCAACAGGCCATTGGCCCCCATCCGATCAACAATCCGAATGGAATGCCCAATTCGCCTGCTTACCCAAACCTGAAACTCCATTGGTGCTGCACTGAGCCCATGTTTACCGGTGGTGGTGGAATAACTCTTGGAGTTGCTGGTCGTGAAGTCGATCGGGTACGAGCCGCTCCTCTTCCCCGTGGGCAAGGTTGGGAAGACCCCGAGTACTCCTCGAATGAATGGAGTAAGAATTTTCCAAAATACGCATATGGTGACCCCAAGAAGCCCGACTACACTCTCGCCGAGGGCCACACCGAGATGATGCGTTGGCTCTTAGGCCCATCGAGCTGTCAGGTTTCAAGTTGCCCGCGCAATTTGTGTCAGGATTGTTTTGATTCGCCCCAATGGAAAGTCCATTGCAAGAGTTGCTCAAAACCCTTGTGCATGGAGCATGACTTACGCGGGTTACGCCTTCGGATATGTGGCTATCGCGACCTTCTACTTGAAAAGCTTGCGATAGGGGATGGTCGATCGCCTGCATCGTCTGCCACTTCAGCAACTTCTCCCGCAAGGCCCGCCTTATCGACCTCTGCCTCGTATGCCCCCCTGAGGTTGGCCCCTCCTGAACAAACTCATGCCGGAGCTTCCAGCAGCAATCCTTTACCAAATGAAACAAATTCCTCCATTCCGGGGACCGCAATGAAAGCCGCGGACAGCCAAGCAACTGACCCGGCCTCTTCCTCTACGTCCAACAACCATACCCGTTCTTCCACCCCCGCCTCCGTTTACTTTGAAGCAGCACCACAGTCGCGTAAATGGCTTGGCTGCCAGTCATTTTTCTGTCCCCAATTCCGTGCTGCCGGAGATCACCGTCAGCGTTGTACAAGCGTTCTGAGTGAATGTACCTCTTGTTCTGTCCACGTTTGTCAAGATTGTGTCGACGAGAATCCACCGTGCACCTGCTCATATTGTGATTTGAACTACCTTTGTCCGAACTGTTACGTGGCAAAGGAGCAAGATGGTACATGCAGGCGGCTCGAGGAGGAGCGAGCAAGACGAGATGAGAAGCAAAAGCGGGACCTGGAGATGTTTGAAGTTGCTCTAGAACGTAATCTTGCAAACGAAGTTGCTGGATTTGCAGGACAATTCTTCAATCAGTTATACCATAGCGGCGAAGCCAGCTACCAGGCTGAAGAACCACCGGAGACTATTGATGAAGCAGCTCCTTCCATGACTCAGCTAGATGGGGCCACCAATAGTCACAACCAAGCCCATCAAGGTGGCTCTGAGCATGCTGCCACTTACGATGACGACGACAACGGCCCGGCAGGCAGCGGATCGGAACACACAGAAATACTCGGCGACGACGCTTGATTCACCGGCGCTACTCTCACCTTGAGACCTTGCAGCACCAGAAATCAGATACAACAACTTGTTCGCGACATATTTAACCATCATAATCCCTTTTAAACCGAATCCGATTACATTTGATACCGATCCACATGCGTTCTTAACCTTCGCCATCTCCTCAAATCCTTCAGTCGCTACTGTCTGTGTCGTCAACGGCCATTCGAGGCCTCATATTTTCCTTAGTTTCCTTTGTTACGTCAAAGTTGTCTCTTCTTGATCTTTCTAACGACTCTCTCTGTGTCTGTCTTTCACTTCCTTGCAAAGTGGGTATTTATTATTTTCGGCGAAGGGAAACATTTTTCGAGTTCAAGGGAAACTGGGGCTACTAACAGGCATTTAGCGATATGGTGTTCTCTCTCATTCCTCATTTCAGTCCTGTTACTGTCCTACCATTCCTCTTCATTTTTGTTTCTCAAATCTACGGATGTCTCATTATCTTCGAGTAAAGTATTTACCTGTCGATATATATTTTATTAATCCTAAGGAGCATTGTTTGGTAAATTGCTTTGATGCTGTAGAAGAAGGTCCTTGAAGATATGCAAGGATTGATGTAACTACCAACTTTTCCAGTAATCAAGAAGATCAAGTATCCAAGGAAAACACGGTAATCCAGATAGGGAGTAAGAATGTCCAGCATTTCTATATATCTTAAGAAATCACGGCAAAGTAAGCGAATCTAGGTTTGCTTTCATGCCACATAACTAAAATATGTACGCCACTTCTTAGATCTCTGAGTGAGAGCAAACTTCCAATTCCAAACTGGGCATGACTCTACCATCATTTCCTTTAGCACCATTTCCATCATTATAAATCCCACCCCGTTGCTATAAAAAGCAAAGAAAAAAAGACCATAACCAATAACAAAACCGACCAAGCTGCAAAATGAAAAAAAAAAAAAAAAAAAAAGAAAACTAATTAGCTCCGTTCATAATTCGGTAAAGTTGAATCCTTTCTGCTTCTTCCACTCTCATATGAGCGCCGAGAACTACCTGTGTGGTCCCGACAGAATACAGGGGGTGGTGTAGCAATCGGGGAAGGTAGCATCATCGAAGAAGCGTCAGTTTCCGTTCCAGTATTAGTAGTAGGAATAGATATAGACATTGATCGGTGGGATTGAGCTACCGACGAACAGTAAGAATATGGAGGTGGGGGCGTTTCGCCAGTAGCAGTCGAGGTATTCCCCAGACTGCTGGGGAAGGAAATCTGCGATGATGCGTCGGAAGAGTCATCTTCTGCGATATTATTGGGAGATCGGCGATTGTATATGTTCTGGTTTGCCTGGATTTGGCCCTTTTCATCCCGTGGATAATCGCGATCACATATAGATTGGCGTCCTGAAATAGCTAAAGTCTTTTCCTGAATGCTGATCGGGCGTGCTGTATATCTTGGAAGAGGCTGGCTTGAGTGATATGGGTCATTTTCGTCGACGAATGGTTGATATCGATTATAATTGGCCGGCTGGGATGGCTGTATTTCTGGGTGGGGTGGAGGAGAACAATCTGATTCTTTTTGCTTCTTTCTACCCTGCGTAGTATAACAAGAACAGATGCTGGCAAAGAAGGCCATTTGGGGCGATGTCCAGCGAGGCTGTGGGTGAATCCCGGAATTTAACGAGCGTCGTAAGCGGCCAGATAAGCCTATTGGTGTGTAAAAAGGCCAGTTGATGTGTGGAAGGGATGTGTATGCCCTCAAACCCTAGGCTAGGGCAAGTTCTCCACGAAAACTAGGCCCCTTGGTGACGGGCTGTTGTGCATCTCGACTGAGAGAGAGGAGGGAAAAGTAGCCAGAGAAAGAAAACAGTTTCACGAAGTTGTTCCTGGGAAAAACTGCGGAGAGCTGCGGCTGAGTCACGTGTTTGCTGCGGCTCAGCGGGATAGCCCGTAATCTATTACAAACCCGTACGGTCAGAGTGAAATTGGCCAATTATAAGCAGGATATGGGTTGAGGTTGTACAATTCCTGTCAGATCCGATTGGTCAAACCAAAGATAACGTATTATATAATAATCTGATACAACCACGACTCTACGTCTCACTTTCTCCAACATCTTTAGCATTAGAAAACAACCAATGTCGTTGGATACGGCGAAAAATGGCACTAGAAATATATTCAGCTCTACGATCATATCTAGACAGTCAACCCATTTCCAGCGTGCCTGATTCCAATCAAATGGGATGTTGATTCTCGGATTCAGAGCTCTAGAACACGATTGGCGATCCAGCCACCATTGAGGAGCAGAAAGTTAACCCCTATTAGTTCATCCAAGATGTCGAGGTAGCTGAACGTCTGGATGTTGATTTTCACGTGCCTGGTGGTCAGAGGTGTGTTTCTCCCTTACCTTCGCGACAATGACATGTACTAATTTTAGTCTTTAGGGTTATGCTCAGCAGCTGTAGTCACAGGCTGGATAGCGGTGTACAATCATTATCCAGCAGGTGTAGCAAGTGGGCACGAAGTTATTCACTTCTAGAGCACCGGCAATATAATATTAGCCTCACTAAGTGTTAACACTATTATTATGCTAGTACTAAGCCAAGGACTCTACTGCCGTTGCAGCCTTATGTTCTGCCGGCCATATAGTAACTTTTGCCTTATAGCCTTCATTACCACTATGTGTAGGCAAAATTTTCATAGTATGTAGGAAATGAGAGCAATTCACTGTTTTCTCCTCTTAGCAAACGGAGGACTGAGCAGCCTGGGCTTGCATATAATGTATGCTGCCTGATGAAGGAGACACCGAGCTCGCAGAAGGGGCAAGAGCCTAGTGTGACTGTCGATGGCTTGCCAGTTTCGTTGATCATGTAGTAGTTTGGGGGTTTGATCCGAGCTGTTCGCACAAGCTGAGAAGGATCATCCCGGCCCCCGGGTTGAAGTTTGAGCCAGAGAAAGCCGGGGGCCGACCTTTCGCAGTTTTGCTGTTTCACCCTTTAACACCATGCCCAAACGCGTTCACTGCGTATACTGTCACATCAGAATTGACAGCAGCCATACTTCCCGTCGTGTCAGTGTGGTACGCGGCCCGTAATCTTGCACAATCCTCAAAACAAAATACAGCCTTCATTGTGTTCCTGTTGGAGTTTTGTTTTTGTCAAGCGGATTCAATAGAAACTGTTCCATACCATATAGCATTGATATCTGCTTGTACTGAAACATCAAGGAAAAAATTCACAAGCGCTGAGCACGTGAACTGATTAGTCCAAAATGGGCATGCCAGTTCAATCGGCATTGTCGATGCTAAGGGCACTCTTAGCTTCCAGACGGTGAGGAACAATATCTAGAGCAGACCAGAGACCTGCCAACAACTCAGCTGAAGCAAACTCGTCAATGATGAACACCAGAGAGAACCAGTCATGGTGATGTGGAGAAAAACGTCTCTCGGCGCTCGTACCTCCACTACAACCCAAAACGACAACGGTCGGAGTACTAGTCATAGGAGGAGTGTAGCCGTAACTGGGAGCCGGACCGCCCAATACTGCACACAGAAGTGCCTCGCGGGCCTGGCCGGCAGGAGTGCTTTGGACCCAGCATGCCCCAACACCGCCTCCACCGAGCACTTGAGCACAAGCGCCGAAGCCGCTTAGCGCCGCAGTGTGCCGCAGTGTTGTTTATTTTGGTAACTTAGCCGCAGACTCGAAACTCAATAAAGCGGAGCCCAGAAAGGAAGCTCCAAGAATAGAACTTTATGTGAGGAGGCTTCTTTTATGTATATAAAACCCCCTTCACCTCAGACCTCATTTTATTTGATCATGATAGCCTTGGGAAGTGCAGCCTTTCCCACCATAGAAAGTCCAAGGCGCCAATTGCCTGAAGATTATTCCATTTGCGGATTGATTTGGAGCTAGTTATATTATCCGGCTGGGATTTTTGAGGTTTCCAATGTTAGGATCTAGAGAGCAACGTATAAGCGAACACAGTGATCTAAATCAAAGTTTGGTTTTGAAACAGGATTAAATGGCCAACGTACTTGCATTGTGTTTGAGATGTTTCAATCCAGCGATTTTAGCTAGTAATATGTTACTCTTGAGCATATGTGCAAGGTTTTGCTAAAGTCACGTTGATTGGCACTTATTCAACTACTGGCTGAAGCAACACTATAGAAAATAACGTGATTTGAAGGATAACTAGTTTTTCTATGAACACCGATCTTCATTCTACACCGGAATAGTTTGACTGACAACCAATTGGTCACTGGGCTGGGGAAGCAACAAGCTCCTCAATGGCTTTCTTGACACCAGCGCCAAGATCAGGACTAATGCGGGTAAACCATGCTTCGCGATGTTAGCTTCAACCTAGAAATTTTTTGGATGTGTGGTGGGCCTTACAGTAAATATCATTGCGCAGCCGATCACTAGTAACCTTGGAAAGATGCGCAGCAACATTCCCGTAGAATCGCTGCTCATGGCCTGGCTGCTTCTTGATCACCTCCCAGAGAGCCGCAGGTTGCACAAAGTCGTCATCAGTGATTTGGGTGGCGAAGGTGGAGATTTGTCCCGCCCACTTCTCATGCTCAGTCTGGGTGCTGATAGTGTTTGGCCCAACCCCCTTGAGTTTAGGGTAAAAGTTGGTTGGCTGCAGCGAGGACCCCACGTAATTTGGATCTGCCCCATAGTTATCGGAGAAATTCATCTTACCGTCACGCTGAAGGGGTGAGTACACGGGGCATTTGGCCGCGTTGGTTGGAAGTTGCTGGTAGTTAACTCCCAGTCGGTAACGTGCCGCATCGGGGTAGGCAAACATGCGGGCTTGGAGCACTAGAGCTGCGTAAGTGATGGCATCAACGGGAGTAAGAGAGGCTGGGCATAGTTACTCGGATCAGCAGATGGTGCTATGCCAGGGACCATTGTCGACGGTGAGAATGCCGCCTGCTCAATGTCCGTGAAATAATTGTTTGGCTGGACGAGATCAGTTAGCTGTTAATGCTCCAATGCGTGTGCTAATGCCAACTCACATTACGGTTTAGAGTCAACTTGCCAAGCTCCCGCAGCGGGAAGTCCTTGTGGGCCCAGACCTTGGTCATATCAAAGATGTTCCAGCGATAGTTCTCTGCCTGCGAAGGATCCATCACCTGCACGAAGACAGTCCAGCTTGGGTAGTCTTTCCTCTCAATTGCATCGAACATATCGTGGATAAGGAAATCAGGATTTTGCCCAGCCATTTTTTCGGCCTCCTCCCGGGTAAAGTTCCGAACTCCTTGATTCGTCTTGATGTGGAACTTGACATATTTAAAGGCTCCATCCTGAAAAAAAGTTAGCAACCGTTGGGAGAATGGACAAAAAATAATGGTTCGTACAGTGGTTGTTAGTTTGTAGGTGTGCCCGCCGTATGCGTTCATATTGCGTAGGGACGCGGGCGTTCCTCGATCGCTGAACAGATGGAGGAGCTCGTGGAAACTCTCTGGGCTTCCATTGTGGAAGCTGCCCAAGTCAGCATGCGTCAACACCAAGAGGTATTCCTATTACCTACTCCCAGTACTATTAACCTGTCAGCGTTAATGCCTCCCTAGGGGGCAGAAGGCCGACTTACCATGTCTGAATTGGGCAGATGGGTCCGGGGGTGCCGCTTGTGGGATCTATTCAGGGAAGGAAACTTCATTGGGTCGCGGACAAAAAACACGGGCTGTCCTTTAGACTCAATACCGTAGACCAGGCCAGAGGGTGCGCACAGCGACATCAACCTACCGTGTTGTTGAAAACCCAGTCCAAGTTGCCCTCGTCGGTATAGAACTTCATCGCCCAGCCGTGCACATCTCGCAAGGTATCGGCCGAGCCTGACTCAGGCCCAACGGTCGACACACGCCAGAGCACGGGGGTAGTCTTGCCGACTTTGTTCAGAAAGCTGGCGGACGTGATATCCGAACAGTCCTTGGTGACCGTGAATCCCCCGTAGGCCCTGGGCTGCTGATCAGAATACATGCAACCTTTGTTTCATGAAGCAAGAGGGGAGCCTACCCAGCAGCTTTTGCGTGCACCACTCTATTGCATCCAGTTAGGTTCTCGAATCATGTAGTCTCACGCTGGGAGGGGGGGGGGGAGAGAGATACCTTTCTGGGATCCTCTCCCAGGAGAAATGAGCTAGAGTCTCAATCAATTGCGTGTCCTGGAGGAGGGACAGGCCGCCGCCGCGGCCATCGCGCAGCTGCACAGAGGTGGCGTTGCTGGCATAGGGACAGCCTGGGAATACAAATGTCAGCCAACAGGTACGTCACACGAGGACACAGTGGGAGAATGCTCAGTACCTTCAGCGAGAGTGTAGTAGCGGTGATCCATGGTGTGCTGGTGTGGTACTTTGCACCACGTCCAGAACCCCGCGGCTGTCGTCTTATATATAGCTGTGTGCTGATATGTCCATCCTAAAGGGGGCTGCATATGTGCTATGATGCAGCCATTGATGGAAAGGCCATCCTATGCAAACTCAATTAATCCCATTACAGGAGGTCTAGGATCGTGCCTTGCTTTCTGCTGTTTTGAGGCCGTTTGCCACACATTCCTTTCCCATAGCACGACGTTGCCATCCTGCTACTCACGATAAGAGCTTCTAACCCCAGGCCAGCTAGCTGCGTGATGGCATTATGCATGCATGGTCGTCCGGGATGATATCATCTGCCATCCACCACCCCGTAGCTCTCGGTGGTACTTCGGTAATCATTCGCACGAGCTTAGCCGTGCCAAAGGCTCCTCGAACATGCACACAGAGATACCATTCTCCTGCCTTACTTTGGTTGAAACCTGCATGCCCGGGGGTTCGTCTCTCCATTGTCGCTGGTGTTGTCGGATTATATAAGGCCCAAGCAGATTGCTCTCGAAAGTTGGATTCAACTGGATTCAACTGAATTCATCATCGTGTTATTCTGCCTTTGCCAGTTTATATACCTTCTACTTTTCATCATGTCTGTCCAAGACGGTGCTAGATATGACTTTATTGTTGTCGGCGGTGGTACCGCCGGCAATATCGTTGCCGCCCGACTGGCAGACAGTCCCAATACCCACATTCTGGTCGTCGAAGCCGGTATTGGCGACTCGATTGACAACGAGGACATCCGCACCCCCGCGCTCGCCATGGATCTCCGTGGTAGCAAGTACGATTGGGCGTACAAGACGACCATGGTTAAGCGTGATGACTATGAGCGAATCGAGAAGCCCAACACCCGTGGAAAGGCCCTCGGCGGCAGTTCTTCTTTGAACTATTTCTCCTGGGTACCCGGCTCCAAGGGCACCTTTGATATGTGGGAAGAATACGGCGGCAAGGAGTGGACCTGGGATCCTCTCGTCCCCTACCTTCGGAAGAGCGTCACCTACCACGACGATGCCGGATTGTTCCCCCCCGAGCTCAAGAGCATTGGCGCGGGTGGCCCGATCCCCATCGCCCATGCCGACCTGATCCCGGAAATGAAGCCATTCCGCGACCTCCTTGTTCAGGGCTGGAAGTCCACCGGCGAGCCTGTCACTGAGAACATCTTTGATGGCAAAATGCACGGCCTCACCCATAGTGTCAACACTATCTACAAGGGTAGGCGTTCCGGGAGCTTCCTCGCTGTTGCCGGCAAGCCCAACATTACTATTCTCCCTGGCGTTTTCTCGAAGTGTCTTATCATCGACGCTGCCGATCGTTCTGCTAAGGGTGTGACCGTGATCACCGGTTCCGGCCAAGAGCTGAGCTTCTACGCCACCCGCGAAGTCATTGTCTCTCAGGGTGTCTTCGAAACTCCCAAGCTTCTGATGCTCAGCGGTATCGGCCCAGCTGCCGAGCTGGCTCGACACAACATCCCGCTCATTGTTGATTCCCGCCATGTCGGCCAGCACCTTCTGGACCACCCCGGTGTTCCGTTTGCCCTTCGTCTTAAGGACAGTTTCTCACTAGATAACCACATCTTGCGCAAAGGCCCTCTCCAGACTCAAGTTTTGGACGCTTACTCCAAGGGCCACGCTGGCCCCATGGGTTCGCCCTTCCTCGAGATGATTGGTTTCCCTCGCATCGACAAGTATTTGGAGAAGTCTCCCGAGTACCGCGCGGCAAAGGCTGCTAACGGCGGCCTTGATCCATTCTGCCCGTATGGCCAGCCTCATTTCGAACTTGACTTTATCCCATTGTTTGGCAGTGCTTTCCAGTGGCACTTCCCACACCCCAACAGAGGAAGCTACATGACGGTTATGGTTGATCTCGTTCGCCCCGCCTCGGAAGGCGGAGAGGTTACACTCAACAGTGCCGACCCCTTGGAGCAGGCCAACATCAACTTGAACTACTTCAACAACGACCTGGACATCATTGCTATTCGCGAAGGTATCAGATTCGCCTATGATGTTCTCAAGAATGGCGAAGGCTTCAAGGATGTCGTGGAGGATGAATATCCTTGGGATATGCCGTTGGATGATGACGAGGCGATGAAGAGAACTGTGCTGGATCGATCTCAGACTTCCTTCCACCCTTGCGGTACGGCCCGCCTGTCAAAGGACATCCAACAGGGTGTGGTAGATCCCAACCTCAAGGTCCATGGAATCAAGAATCTCCGTGTCATCGATGCCTCCGTCATCCCCGTCATTCCAGATTGCCGAATTCAGAACTCGGTCTACATGATTGCTGAAAAGGGTGCCGATGCCATCAAGCGTGACCACGCAGACTTCTACCACTGAGATAGTGGGGCCCGACAAAAGTTCCTAGGGAAATTGCATTAATATATTGTGATTGACTATTGCAAAGTCGCTGGTGACTTGTTTCGTTGCTTGACAAGGTATATGTGTCCGTGTATTCCGCCGAAAAAACGATGTTAGGCACTAGAACAGATACCCAATGTTAGTTTTAACAGGATGTATGATATTGAAATTGAAATTGGGTGACTGATAACCCTCACCCTTGGTCTCCCGTTATTTGCACACCGACAGGAGGCACTCAAATGTCGACAATGTACTTCACCACCATAAGCTCTGGTCGTCCGTTGTGATGATGTTGTCTTGATTCGTCCGGTGGTGGTCTAAATACATATGTGGATATGCTGACTAAGTATGCGCTGAGTAATACACGCTGACAAAGAAATTTAGATTTACGATAATCACGTGACAAAAAGCTGCTATTTTGGGAGATTATATAATAAGTTAAAACTTATCAGATTTCTTATCAGGGAGAAAGCGAGTTCTATTTTTCTTTCTTCTCAATATCCCGCTTGCAAAGAAGGTGAATACACAAAATGGCTGAATCAAAAAGTTCACCTTATGCTGAATGCAAAGACTATGTGGCGGTAGCCCAGCTGGTCGAGCCAGTTCCCATTCCAGCGCATCGGTCTCACGACCCCGCCAATAATCAGAAACGAACTGACCCATTCCAATTTGGCTCACGATTTCTCGAAGAAGGCGATGATGTCTTCGAGTTCAATGCCTGGGACCATGTAGAGGCAGACCCAGAATATTATGAATATGCCGAATTACAATATGCGAGACAGCGAGCCTCCCCAGTTTCCGATTTCGACCGCCAACGGTTCAACTCCCAGCCCGCAAAGTGGTGGAATCTCTTTTACAAAAACAATACAGGCAACTTTTTTAAGAATCGCAAGTGGCTAAAGCAGGAATTCCCTATTTTGAGCGAAGTTACGGCTGCAGATGCGGGCCCGAAGGTGGTGCTTGAAGTTGGAGCGGGTGCGGGCAATACCGCTTTTCCAGTTTTAATGAACAATGAGAACGAGAAGCTGATGGTTCACGCGTGCGATTACTCCAAGGCTGCTGTTGATGTCATGCGGAAGAGTGAAAATTATAATGAGAAATATATGCGAGCGGACGTTTGGGATGTCACTGCGACGGGTGAGAATTCTCTTCCTCCAGGCCTGGAAAAAGAATCCGTGGACGTCGTTGTTATGGTCTTTATATTTTCTGCTTTGGCCCCTAATGAGTGGGAACGTGCGGTCTCGAATATATACCAGGTCTTAAAACCAGGAGGCTATGTCCTATTTCGTGATTATGGGAAAGGCGATCTTGCACAGGTGCGATTTAAAAAAGGACGATGGATGGGCGAGAATTTTTACGTCAGAGGTGATGGCACAAGAGTATATTTCTTTGAGAAAGAAGAAGTATCCCATATATGGGGCAAATGGACCCCTCAAGGAGGCATACCTGAGTTCAAGAAAGAAGATGAAAACCCTTCAAGCGACGACCATACGTCACCTGATTCTGGGTTTGAGATTCTTAACATGGACCTTGATCGTCGATTGATTGTTAACCGCCAAAGGAAACTGAAAATGCATCGTTGTTGGTTACAAGGCCGATTCAGGAAACGGATGCCATCCCACTCTTCGGACGAAGTCCCTCCAGCGCTCGAGCGGACAACCGAACTTAGAAATTAACATATCAAATGCCTGACATACTATGCTTAGTACTTCTAACTCCGCAAAGGACATATATTCCCGGAAGGCGTCTTTAGGTGACGCCGCTGGTCAGGTCAAACTCGATCAAATCAATTCTGAGAATATCACGGCGGTTGGACTGTAAAATCATGCCATGGCCCTCTATACGCAAATTCTGCTTTCGCTCCACAATATAGGAGATACGGCTCACTACGTCATGCCTTGAAAGTCCCACTATCCCAGAGATATTTTCGAGCCACACAGCCCCTGAGTCATTTCAGTTAAGCAATCTCGATAGAATAGACCTTTTGATGCTATACATATAGATGTGCGGAATAATTGAAGGAGTTCTGCCAATTCACCAACGTCAACCGATAATAAATAACTACCCAACAATGACAAACATCTTATTACCATGCCCTGCTCGCGTGCCCATAAATAACGGGCTTGACATGATAACAACCAATCGCTACCCTTGAAAGCAAAGCTTGAGTGATATTTATCTCCACATGTTCAACCCTATCGAGTGCAACCTTGCCATCCCGCATATGTTTCAGGGCCTCAACTACTCTCCCGCCATCGAAGTTATATATAATCGAACCCTGGCATATTCCTTCGGTTGTAAGGCCGGCGTATAACGTTTTTCGGTCGAGCCATTCCAGCTACAGCAATCCCGTTCTTCCGGTGGGGAACTTGGACCGCTCCCTACGGGAGTCTATACGCACTATGACGGTGAGAACAAGAGGAGAAAACGCGTCCACATCTTGAGTAGAATTTTTCTTCTGCTGTGGTATGCCAACATATATACCTGGGGCCCCAGAACTTTCTCCGGATTCTCTACGCTTCAACCACATTTACAAGCCTTACGATGGACGACGTTACAAACCAACAGACTACTGGGTCTATAAACCAGGTGAAGAAGTTAGGATGGTTCCAGAACGTTGCCAAAAATCCATTCATTTTTGGTGTAGCACTGGTGAGAATGCGTCTCCTATATATGTGTTATAATATATCTGCTTCTAACTCAATAGCTATCCGGGTTATCAGTTCTCAACCCTTGGTGGCTTCCTCTTTGGCTATGATCAGGGTGTTGTTTCGGGGGTTCTTACTATGGAATCCTTTGGCGCAAAGTTCCCGCGCGTCTTCAGCGATAGCGGGTTCAAAGGATGGTTCGTTTCGACGCTACTTCTCGGTAAGCTATTGATATTCTAAATATATAGGAATTGAAGAAATAGAATGCTGACGAGGCATGCTAGCTGCTTGGTTTGGATCGTTGGTGAACGGGCCGCTTGCGGACTATATAGGCAGAAAGATGTGTGTGATGGCGGCTGTTGTCGTCTTCATTATTGGTTCTGCCATTCAGGCCGGAGCAGTCGATATTCCAATGCTATTTATTGGTTTGTTTCTTCGTTTAACTACAAATTAACTAGATGGTTGAGACTAATTGTGTTAAGGTCGTGCCGTTGCTGGTCTGGCTGTGGGCCAACTGACTATGGTGGTGCCTCTTTACATATCTGAGGTAACTAAGGCTTATATAGTTATCAGTCTAATTGAATGAGACCAACGCTAATACTATCTTATAGGTCTCCCTGCCGGACATTCGAGGAGGACTTGTTGTATTACAGCAATGTAGACCTAACCCTAGCACCCGCTTAACTATGCCCTTACTAATGTTATCACTTATAAATTGATCAGTATCTATAACTATTGGTATCTTAGTAAGCTACTGGCTTGACTATGGAACGAACTACATTGGAGGTACTAGATGTGCCCCTGGGATACCATACACCGGTGGAACTGTTGAAAGGCCTGTTTTTGACCCTTACAAAGACGTTGGACCAAATGGTTGCGACGGGCAATCAGATGCTTCTTGGCGAGTCCCCCTAGCCTTTCAGATCCTTCCAGCCCTCATTTTAGGAGCTGGAATACTCTTCTTCCCAGACTCGCCACGATGGCTGTTTATGAAGGACCGTGAAGAAGATGGACGCAAGTCACTTGCAACGTTACGACAGAAGCCCGCTGATCATCATACAATCGAGACCGAGTTTCTAGAAATCAAAGCATCGGTTATCCTTGAGAATACCTATGCTAAGGAAAAATTCGCAAACCTATCTGGAGTTAAACTACATGTTGCGCAAGTATGTTTCTGCCAAACGCAAGTCAATGACCTACTTCGTTTCATGCTGACATATTATCTCCATAGTACTTCTCGCTTCTCAGTACTTGGTCTAGGTTTAGGCGTCTTGCAATCGGATGTTCTATAATGTTCTTCCAGCAATTCATGGGCTGCAACGGTATGTTTAGAGACTATGTATCCAGACGTATGAGAATCAATATATCGCGGTACTAACATCGCAATAGCAATGATTTACTATGCTCCAACTGTTTTCAAACAGCTAGGTTTGGATGGGAACACGGTATGAATGTCCCCAGCCATGCCTCTTAGTACCACTAGTTACTAAATCCTACCTAGGCCTCCCTCCTTGCTACCGGTGTATACGGAATAATCAATTGCATTAGCACCCTCCCGGCTTTATTCTGGATAGACAGGTTAGGACGACGAATGCTTCTAATGTGTGGTGCAGTTGGAACTTTCATTTCGCTTGTTATTGTTGGAGGTATTATCGGTGCTTTTGGCTCCAATTTTAAGGAACACGTCGCTGCTGGATGGATTGGAGTTGTTTTCATTTATATTTACGATGTCAACTTTTCTTATTCATTTGGTATGTTACTATCCACTAAAAGAAATCATTGAGTACGTAACTAACAGAATATCTTGTCCAGCCCCCATTGGATGGGTCCTACCATCTGAGATTTTCCACCTTTCAATCAGATCAAAGGCCATTTCGATCACTACTTCAACGACATGGATGTGCAATTTGTGAGTCTACAGACCCTTTCATCCCTTAGTCAATATTAATCGCTAACCACTAGTCCTTTCTTTTCTAGCATCATCGGCTTGGTAACTCCTGGTATGCTTGACAAAATTGGCTGGGGAACGTATATATTCTTCGCGGCTTTTTGTCTTATTGCATTCATCTTTACCTTTCTGTATGTTCCAGAAACGAGGGGAAAGGTATGGATTTAGTTTCCTTCCCGTTATAAAAATTATATATCTATGGCAACCAGCTAACATTCTCTCACTAGATATTGGAGGAGATGGACGTTGTCTTTGGCGATACCGAAGCACACGAGGAACAGAAACGTATCATGCATATCGAAGCAAGCCTCCGCGGAACTGCCATCGATGATCCAGGATCTGTCAATGGAAAGGCACTGGAAGAGTCTGTATAGACTAGAAGGGGTCAGCTAGAGAAGCTATTCTTCACCCCTGACTTAAACGGATATTAATGAGTCGATTTTGGAGGTGGAGCCTACAGTGAGACCCCAAGGGAGGTGTATCAAATGGAGAATAATTATTGTAGATACTTGGATATCGAGAAATAAACGAACTCTTCGTGGCCTCTAATTAAAAATTATTATAAGCGGCAAACATGATCGGCAATCATATCCAGTGAGCCAAGATCACAACCCCATGCTCTAGTAATCAGGTCTTGCAAAAAAAAAAAAAAAAAAACGAAACGAAGGGAAAGCAGTAGAAGAATGTAAATATATGTCTATGATGGCAAGAAAATCTTTCTTCTAAGAAGTAAGACAAGGGCACTCGCCCTTTGCCCGCAGAAATGCTCCCGCAAATAAGTCTTGCATAGCAAGATAATGAAAGAGAATGCCTCCCAAAACGGCGACATGCCAGATATTATGGCTGCCGCCAACATAATCGAAGAATCCAGGATGCCAACGCTCTGGAATCTGCGAGGCGTATATGCAAGCTCCGCAAAAGTATACTAGAATACTCTTGACGACAGGAGCATAAAAGTAAAGGGACCATTCCAAGCCGCGGGTTAAGCTCAGCTGGACAATTGGTGCAAACCCAGTCAGAGCAAGAGTAACATAGAATGCTACACGAGCCCAGGCCATGTGAGGTCCGTTGAAGCGAGGATGCCAGGGAAGGATAACGCCAGCGATACCCAAGGTAGAGGTCATGAGGATATAGATCCATCGCGAATATGGTTCGCAGTAGAATGCAGTGTACTCTGTCGTGACGATGGAAGCAGCCACGAGTAAGGAGATGCCCGTGTAGTCGACACAGGCAAAACGTTCCATGAGGGGTTGGTTAGCTATGCTGTTCATAGTATGCCACAACGTGCTGCAGACGAGGCATTTGCAAGCAGCGATGAAGAAGATGAAGGCAATGGTGACATCTGTTTTCGTGCTGAGAGAGAAGTTGGGGCTCAGAGGGTAGAAGTAGAAGGCGACGCAGAGGACGATGATTAGGCCGATAAGATGTGACCAGATGTTGACCATTTCGTTGGAGAAGGAGAAGACCGAGGTGAGACATTCTATCTTTGATGCTGTGAAGCGGTACCCTTTTCGAATGTGAGGATTGACTCTCCACGGGTGCGGAAGGTCCGAGTAGTGGATTAGACGTTTCTCTTTTGCCAACGCGATAGCCCTATCGATACTTTCACGAAGCGCAATTTTGGCATGGACCGCACGTTCAATTCCTTCATCGAACATAACCCGAGCATGCGTTATGCTGGAGTCGACGGCTCGCAGACCTTCGTCAATGGCGCTGTATAAGCCACGGTCTCGAACGCTGTGAACGCGGGCTTCCAGCTGGGAGAGGAAGTCCTCCATCAATCTCATGCTCGCCTGAGCCTTTTGTTCGAGGGTTTCTTTTGTAGCTAGTGCTTCGTTGTAACGGCTCTCGAGAGTCTCGACGGCAATACGGGCTCGTCGTCTTCCTCCGCCCATCAGCTCACCAGAGGCATGGGAACAGGAGTCCCGGACAGCTATGAGAGCGCCATATGCTCTCCTCAGCCCAGAGTCGATTTGAAGTATGTGTGACTGTCGATAGTCTTCCAGCCATTGTAGTCGTCTCTCTAATTCTGCAAGGAACAAGTCGACCTGATCGAAAATGCAAAAAAAAAAAAAAAAGAGTTAGAATACTTTTCTAGTTACCCCTGAAAAGTGAAGAAGTGGTTAGAAAAACCCACCTTGAGATAGACTGCATCTTCATCATAGTCGCAGGACAGTCGCCTAGACGTATGGAACGAGTGTCTTCGCCTTCGATCTTTCAATAACCCAGTCAACTCGTTGGCAGGCGAGAGATAACCCGAAGCAGTGCTGGACGGGGTGCCGGTACGGCTCTCTATCGTTATCGAAGGGGTCGTGCAAGCCATATCCACGGCCGTTGTGATGAACTCCAAGACAACACAAGCGCAAACAGATATCGAGTTTTCCTGCCGGACGTCGAGACGAGATCAAGTTCGTGTTGAGAGGACGCTTTTGGCCCCAAAGGATATTCCTTTCAATCGCTTGTTTTGTTGAGCAGATGCGGCGGATGTCGAGAGATCAAGTCATGCCCATTTCTACAACTCGACGCCCGAAGAAACACAAACCGAACACGACGCAAGGCCCAGACGAAACCTCCTGGCATGGGAAAGGGGTCTTTATATACGGAGGGAGGGGCAGCAAGGAACCCGTTGAGAAGGGGGAAAAAAAAATAAACCAGGACGCCGTCCGGGGTGGAGATGTGTGATAGTCAATTGCGCCCTTCTTGGCGGGTGGAGGTTTGCAGTCCGCAAGGTGGTGATGGAACGAGCCCTTGTTGAACCCGAGGTTGCGCATGTAACAAGCTGGGGGCTGGATTAGTTGCGCTGATGCGAAGATTCGAAGCAGATCAGAAGGTCGAAGTCGTTTTTCTTTCTTTCCTGCTCGTGACGTCGCGATTCGAGATTATTCGCTCCGGCGAAGTTTGTGTATTGGGATTACCAAAATTACCGGCATTTGTTTTGGGCTCGGGAGTTTCTCATAAGCAGGAAGTATTATGATATTATGGGCATGGGATGTTATAAGTCTAGCATTTGAGTCTAGAGATGTTATGAGCAGGAATAAGCGTGCTCGCTATTATGATGGACATCCAGCCGATGTAGTGGGACGGCCTCTATAGTTATACCTCCACGCCTTATGGGTTCTCACGCTGCCAGGACGCATCGCAGCCGTTAATCGAGATGTTTCAATCTTACTCTTACCGGCATGTCGTCCTTGACCTCGCCGATGCCGGAACCGCATCTGTACGCGCGCTCGCCATTGACCGTCTCTGCTGTCTTCCTGCCCTGCACCCTATCCCACAGCTCGTAATTAAAGTCAAAGTCCAGCTCCCGTACCGTAAACACCAACGCCAGCTTCAGCTCCGACAAGGCCAGTTCCTGACCGATGCATTTGGTGTTTCCCAGTTCAAATGGGCGCCAGGCATTCTTAACGGGATACAGAGGGTGGCCCTCTGGAACCAAGAAGCGATCGGGTATGAACTCTGCCGGGCGAGGCCACAGGTCAGGATGGATGTGAGTCAAGGTCGGGACCGTCTGTATGAAACAGTCATCGGTTGGATACTGCATGCCGTCCAGCGAGAAGTTGAAGTTGGGGCTGCCTTGGCGGAGGGTATTGGCCAAAGAGTGCATCCGTAGTGTTTCCTTGATGACAGCTGCTGTGTAGTTCAGTTCATTCAGCTTATGAGGGCTTTCTTGCAGGACCCTTTTTGCTGATTTTGGGTCGGGGCCTAGCACTTGGTCGTGCTCGGTGCGCAGTATTTGCAGGATGTCAGGGTATTTATTAATCTCGTAGAAAACCCAACAACTAAGACAGCAAGTTAGAAGTAGGGCTTCTAGCAGCGAGGGAAGAAAGAGGTAATGGAGAACTAAACACACTAACATGGTCTGAGCTGTGGTGTCATGGCCAGCAAATAAGAACGCTTTCAGGTTAGCGACGATGATATTCATCAACTCGGGTGTAGGCTGCTCTCCGCTTTCTTTTAGCTGTTTGATAGCTAGATCAATCACCGTTTTCTGATTCTTCGAGTCGAGAGCCTCGCTGAATCGTAGCTCTATCTGAGGCAACAGAATATTCCTTATGGTTGCAGCATTTTGTGATACCACACGCTTGAACCCGGGAGTAAGTCGTTCCAGCCTGTTCTTGATGTTCTTCAACTTGACAAGAGCAATCAAATTTCTCATAGATTTGAGCAGTGGTCCAGGCCCACTCGTTTGCTCATTCAGGTGAATATCACTGTTATTCGTTAGCAAAAGAACAAATGGGTTCTCGTTTTCAAAAAATAGTAAGGAGAAGCCTACAGTGTAAATCTTGAGATAACGTCAAAAGTCAGTGCAACAGCTGCGTCGTAAAGTGTAAACATGTTACCCCACTCGTAGCCGTCCGTGTCTGTGGTGTCTTTCAATTTTTGGGCAAATATGGAAACCTCCTCCAGGATGGCGGGCATATTCTGAATGACGTTCCTAGATGAAAATCCAGGGTTCAGTCTGGAACGCCATACCTTATGATCCGCCATATTCATTGATATCAAGTCGATGCCATCCGTCACTGGAGTAAGTGCCCATCCGAACATCGAATGCCTCGGCTGAGGTGTTTCTTGGGTGAGCTGCGAGCAGAGCTCAGGCGCGATAACCATAATGATGGGCTGAGCCATAAAGGGCCACGCGTCTAGATATACTAGGGGCGGGCACTTCTTCGCGGTAGGAAAGTATTTCTGCCAGTTCTGTAATATCTTCATTGACGTATATGATCCATGAGCGTCGCGTGGTAGCCCTTTCCCTAAGGTCTTCAACAAGGGAAGATGGCCAAGGAGTGGTGAATACGGCTCCATGATGGGCTATTAAAGATGTTAGCCCTCCGCCCCAATTTGAATATGTATGCACAAAGTGCAGCAATCCGTCGGTCTTGTTTCGGAATTCAGATCCAGATAGCACCCAAAGTAAAAAGAGACGCCTACAATCCCTCTGGCTTTCATCTTGTAGAACCTCTGTCGGATCGAAATTGCCCGAGTCAGAAAATGCACCAGCAATGCTGTAAACACGGAAAGCCCTATCACAACCAGGAGCTTGGGTATACCAGATGCGAGAATCATCTTGACCAATAGTCTGTGGTTTCGACTGCTGAGGGGGTGGATATATTGTCTGGTTAAGCTATCCATAAACAAATGATATCTTGGAAACACCTGTGGTTCCACTCCGACACCGTCCAGACGGTAGATAACTTATGGAAATGTACTGAATACAAAACTCCATGAATCTGCCCATTTTATTATCAAATCCTTCTTCCAACTTCTATTGTTGCCAGATTGTTTGCACCAAAAATGTGCAAGGCAGCTTTAATTGACGTAAATTTTGAGTTTACTAATAACGGTTATTACGTAATATAAAGTTATCAGATGTGACGGTGGATATTTAATCCGATATTACGTAATGTCGGCATTCAATTCGTGGTTTTTCTTTGCTTGTGAATTTATTATTCGAATCAAGCAGCAAGAGAAAGAAGAAACTAAGGGAAGTTGCATGGAAGCCAGGATATAACACAACTGTAATATTATCACCACGATGGCCGTCGAGAAGATCGTCACCGACCCTGCCCTTATCCCCGCCTTGAAAACCTGTTCCGACACTTTGAGCCAGGCCCATAAGCTCATCGACCTGCTGGAGAAGGCCATCCAAAACCCCTCGTCGAGCCCTAACAATACGCTGCAGGATGCATACAAACAGCAGAGACATGTCTACTCATTGCTAGCCCAACTACGTGGACTCAACCGGGAGGCCATTCTCAACGTCAGATCAACGAAACAGGCAACTGCGGAGGCACGCCAGGAGATAGACAGGCTACATCTGCAGCTCCAGAATCTATACTACGAACAGAGACATTTGAGCGGTGAGATAGCTGCGTGCGAGTCATATGAGTATGTTTTCAGTTGCTGGCTACTTCGTACCGTTCCGTTATTGATCATCCACATTTTACTATAAATAGCCATAGCTATCTGTCGTTACCCTTAATACCAGTGGAAGAGTTCATTGCCTTGCATCCAGAGCACGCCAATTCGGATGAACATGAACTCACAATCGCCCGGATCAACCATGAACACGCAGAGAGGGAGAAGCTGGAACAAGCCCGTCAAGAACTATTAAAGAAGAAGCAAGCTCTAATCGCAGAGAACAAAAAGCGCAAAGAGGATCTAGCCAGTTTAGATCAAGACTTGGAACGGTTTATTGATGTTAGTTCATTCCTTGGCCTACATACCTCTTTGGACCCTGCTAACCGTAGCATTCATTCATAGGCTGCAAAACCAATCCAGAGAATATTTGAAAAGGTCTACGTACCTGCGACCAGGAAGGGGAATGACGAAGAAAAATAAAATAAAATCTGTATTCTTATATTCATTTTATCTTGGTCTTGTCTATATACCCATGCATGGATAATGGAGTTTCTGCGGTCAAAATATCTGAATTATTTACAATATCTTGTCTACCTACCACATGAACCGTTGAACTTTTCCTGGCTCCTGTGGCCATTCAAACCCTTTATACAAGAACATATATCCCGTCACGAAGTTTATAAGCAAATACCAGGCCGTTTCAGTGAGTAATGGAAGAAACTCGAGAACAGTCAAGAAGGCTGTGGCTTGATTGGCAGACTGGTCATTACTCCTGGGAGTCAATGGGGTAATATGCAGTCGCCAAACGACCCATGGAATTATGAAATATCGTGGCTCCACCAGCGGGGCAGTGATGAGAGATAGAGACGTTGACACCAGCCATAGAAGCACAAAGCTAGTTCTTATTGAAGCTCCACTGGGTATGGACCTCTCCGCTTGCACTTTGTCCAGTTCTTTGCTTCCTTTTTGTTTGGAAGGTGTCTGAGCTAGTTCCGAGGAAATAGAAGCCGAACGAGAGTTGAACGCAGCTATAGTTGCCCAGCCACATAGAAGATAAATCGGGGTTACGGCGTATTTAATCAATGGGTGTCGGAGGAGGAGGCGGAAAATATAAAACACGTAGTGCCGGTTATCAGCCAACGTGAACGGGTGTACAATTGTATTCAAGTGAACAATTGTGATCATAGCCGCCAGATAACCCAACACTACACCCAGACGCGGTAGTTTGTTCATCAGTTGGCGTAAGTTTTTTGGGTCAGGTTGGCAAATACATTCCCACACACTGATTGCCCACGGATAAAGAATTACCGGCCAGGAGAAGAACATGAAATATGGCCAAATATATAGCATTTGGGGAAGATGCAAGCCTACACTGTGAAATTCTTTATGGCCTATATACAGGCAGAAAAACAAAAGAGTTAGAGCCATGAATTGTAGAGCATTGGATAATTACTTGCCTAATACAACACTTCCATTAACAAGGACAAAGAGTCCAAAGCATCCAAGGAAGAAGAGATAAGGTAAAACTGCTACCAGAATGGCGGATAAATTCGCTACGAAAGAGATGGCTAGCGAAAACCCAACTTTAAAGTAATCTGTCAATATATTAGTCCGTGGTTGTCGGCCTGGCAAGTCGGTCGGGGAGGCCTTACCTTCAATAGATGCGTCACTGGCAGGCGGGTCATAGATCTGATTCAGGTACCAGCTACCTTTGATAATACGCCATACATCCGACGAGATACACACCACAGATCTTGCCTGGAGGGTATTAACCACCCGCAGGCCGCCGAGAAATACTGCTACCCAGAAGATATTTGTTTGCCGGAACACAAGAGCTGCCAACCCCAGTACGAGGAAGCTAAGAAATTGCATGATGGTAGTTCCCAGGGAGTTTTTAGCTGTGTCATGGCCGTTCCTTGGTAGACTTCGTCCAAGGTCGATGTTGCAAACTTCCAAAACCGTCAGAAGCGCGGCCAAGTCTGTATAGTAAAGCCCGGAGAAAAAGAAAATCGGCGGGAACAGGCAAATATTCAACGCATTTAAGCTCAAGGTCCAGGGGTTCGCCCTAGTTTCCCCCTTTGCCAGTGATTTATCCTGTCTTATAGAAAGGAACCTTCGTATGGTAAATTGTAGAGCGTTAAACAGTACCAAGCCATTTATGCACCGCAGAACAGAAGCAGAAAGTTCCACGGGTTTTGCAAACAGAATGGATGATGTTGATGTAATTGCATAAGAAACAAGATATAGTCCTGGAGGAGTCGTGATTTTTGGATCCCATTGCTTCCATCGATGATCCCAATAGGCCTGCGCCTGTCTCACATGGAAAACCTCGTCCAAATAAGGATCCGGAAGGATAGTGTTTGTCTTCCCTAGCCAATAAACCATTAATCTCGCTGCGAGCAGCGTAGTGCACACATTGGGGATAACATGATCCATTGCAGTCGACGGGGTATATAATGGACTATGCTTCTAGATTGTCATAGCATCATCCTCCAAGTATATATATGCACCTCGTGGGAGGGGAAAATGGTCAATGGTGAATTCAAAGTCAATGATATATTAGACCTTCGTACTCCAATGGCTACCGTCAAGTAGTCGTCAAAAACCACCTCCCATCTAGCCGTTCTATTGTGGATATAATAAAGATGTAGCGTTTATCAAAGCTGACAAAAAGGTGAAAACATACAGATTCACGTGACAGCGCGAAACATCGAAGTTTATTGCTTATTAACCAAGCATACTCAACTTGCTGGGAGAAAAAAAAGGTACGCGATGAGAAGTAATTCTGTAGCTTTGTAGCTTTTGAAAAGAAGCACAGAATTATTCAATGGCTTTCCCACTACAGAGGGGTATAACCTCCTCAGAAATCGCCTTTCTCTGCGAAATGGAGATGGTGACCGTTGTTCCTCGACAGCGTCTCGAGGGCCTTGAATTGCTTGGAGTGAGTTAGACCCTTCTTACTCCTCCAACACGGCTAGGTATAATGATATCATTTCGGTAAATCTACCTTAAGCGAAATCCAGTGGGATTATATACCCGGGATTATGAAGCTCTTGCGCCTGAGAAACAGCTCTTTATTTGTGCCTGTCGTATACTCAGTCACTAACTCGATAACCAACCCCGCTAGGGACCAACGGAGGCCATGATACCTCCACGGCGATGCATGTTGCCATTCTGGCTTGCTATACTACTCAAACGCCAACGCCGAGTTAATATATTAGCTCCCTCGTGGCTTGCTTTGGAGTCACTCTCCTCAATTCTCGAGTTAGAGACTATAAAAACGGAGCAATTCTGCCCTCCTCCAACCCTCCTGGCTCCGGCGCAGAATGGAAACACGAATTCTAGACAACACCGTGGCAGTGGAACCAATAGATCTCGATACAATATGGACGGGAAGAGTTATATCCCATCACCTCCGTTTTTACTGCAAAATACTGTGGACGCCGAACAGAACGAACTTCTACAGTCACTGCCCTATCACTGGTTTGAATTTGCGACTATGCTTCTCGATGTAGCAAGTGACGACATTCAAGATTCCGACCATGTGCGGCGTTGCGTACGTGATATTCGAGAGGTGCGGATGTCGAAAATGCGCCTGCTGATGGAAGGGGTAGATGCCACTGCTGTTGGTGGTGGAGATGGCTTATTATTAACCGGAGTTGGAGCCATGGAAATTGGCGAAGCAAGAGGGTTTATATCTGGTGCAGCTGAAGCTTTGAGGTACGTTGGTTAGGTTAACTGTTGACGACATACTCTAACTCAGTACCTATAGGCAAATTGGTGCTTCAAAGGAAGAAACCTTGAGAGAGCAAGCAGAGGACGAAGGGGAGGATATTCAATTTGGTGGAAGGAATGATTATGATGATGAAATGGACGTGGAGCTATAACCAACAACAGCATTTTGACTCCCTTTTATGAGTTACCAGATGCTCAACCAGCTGAGACCTATACTCCAGGCTCGGCCATCTGCTCTTCAGCTCGGAACTAATGCCTCCATTGTGGAACACCGCCGAGATAGATACGAAATCCGCTACAGCAGACTTTTATGAAGCTAAGATGCTCGAGTTGATTGCAAGATAGCTGACAGACGATCAAGCTATTTTATGGAGCAAACTCTTTCTACTACTAGCTGCAAACTTATCTCCCACAGGTAACGCCAATGCAGTGTTTAAACAAAATACCAAGCATGGCGAACGGGCAAACGGGAAGGAAAGCAATCCTCAGTTGCCTCACTTCAGAGCTGGCACCTACTGGAAATAAAGATGATTTTACAATTTCAGGGCAGACCTGTGCGACCGGCTCTTGACATTGTTTCCTGTGAATTTTGTATATAGTACTAATATCCCTGCTGTGGGATATGCAACACTGAGATGAGCGCGGGGCTCGTAGGATGTACTGTTCAACATCTAGCCGGCCTTCTCCTGTGCATTATCTAAGGGTTGTATGACTTGCAAAAAATGAAGAGGCCATATAACGTAGTTGAATAATTATATCCAAATGTATCTAGTAGATACTTGATTCCTCAAATTCGAGATCCCGGCCAATATATTTGCATGTCAATTGCTACAGACGCCGTAGCTAGGGTAAACGCAGTTAATCGCTTCCAACACCGCTAGAAAGTAAGAGTGAAGTGCACCGTCATCTCATGCCAAAGAAACAAAAAGAAAAAGGAAAAATTCCATACTACTACTACTGTTGTTGTTGTTGTTTCGCTGCCCTGTCCTTTTCTAGCATCTTCCTCCTTGCACTAAGAATCATATCATCCCGTCGTTTCTGCATCAGTCTCTGTCTTTCCTCTTTATCACGCGACCAAGCACTTTCTTGCCGGAGAATAGTTGAATCACCAGACACAGCTCCAGCTCCCAAAGCTTCTGCTGACTCGTTGTCTATTTTTGATTGAAGGTTGTATCGTGAAATGAGATTTGTCATTGCTGGTTTAACCGCCTGATGTGTGGAAGATGTAGTTTCCACGGGTGTCGAGGCGGCCGGTATTTGAGGTTGGAACGTTGGAGGTGGCTATAGATTGATTACTCTCATGTTAGCAGGGCTAAATGTGTAGGGTATGCATAAGAGGCAGGATATTCCAACTCACTGTTTCTAATCCTCTTCCTGTCAAGATCCTCTCGGTTGTTGCTGCCACACTTCCACCATTCCGTTGTAAATCCCACATAAGTTCCCTTCGGGTTAGCTGCGGAAACATTTGCGCTAGGTGGTCTAGTTGTACCGGGTCGACTGTCTGAGCCCCAGTTCTTCCTCTCTGTGAGTTGCTGTCATTCTGTGAAGATGTGCGCGATGAGAAAAACCACCGGAAGACGAAAAACGAGACAACAGCGAAGGTAATGAGCGAAGGGATATTGACTGAAGGCTCGGAATCAGCCATAGATGAAGGCATCTGGGGATATGTGAAACCTCAACAATATCTCTCCGCTTGAAGCGCAGCAGCTACTTCAGCTCAGCGGAAGTTAAGGGGAGATAAAAAGGAGTCACGCGCGGAGGTATCGCCACAGGATAAGAATATAAAGAATAATGGAAGTCCTCAAGTTGAAACAAAAAAGAGCGATTAATCCTTTCCTTCACAGGTATCTCGTGTGAACTGGTTGTGATAACAGGTTTCTTGGTGTTTTAATGTCTGCTCGTCGATATATCTCGGAGTGGCGGCTGATGTGTTGGAAGCCTCGGAGAAAGCGAAGCCTATTTTAGAGTTCCGCGCTTGTTTTAACCATCCAATTGATCAAAGTTCTATCCATATTAAAGTCTGTGTGACATTCATCGATAATTTCATAAATAGTTCAAGTTAAAGACATTAAATTCGTCAAAAATCCATAGTAAGGAACCATCAGAATCTCAACCACTCCGTACATAGTTACATACAATGCCATCCATAAACAACCAGCCCCCCAAGCTATGATGAAATGATAATGCGGCAAAGAAAAGATAACCCCATTACTTTAAGTCTGCCGGGGTTAATGCCTGTACCATACTGGTACCTTCGCTAAATCTGGTCCTAAATATTCGGTTGGCATTTTGGAACATACCGTCCTTCAGACTGACAACGATGAACTGTGAGCCCTTGAAACGTGTTTTGATCAACCGGCCAATATTCTGGGTGTGGGATAAGTCCAAGGCAGCGTCAACTTCATCCAGAATATACATTGGTGCTGGCTTGAATTGCAAAAGTGCCATGATAAGTGACAGTGCAATGAGTGACCTGTATTGAATAGAATATCAGAACAACCTGGACTGGACAACGATCTAGAAGGGAAATTACTTACCGTTGGCCACCACTGAGCTCCGTTAAGCTCTGCTTCCATACCTTACCCAAACTGACCTTGACTTCGAGACCGTCGCTTATCTCCTTCCCTTCAGGAGGATCAAGCTTGGCAAAACTGCCAGGGAGGAGTTCTGAGAATATCTGGCCAAAGTCTGCTGTGACCTTGGACCAGGTCTTCTGCAGAGCCTCCTTTTTATATTCATCTAAACTGATAATTGTCTCTTCGATCTTTCTCTTGTCTCTGATGACTGTTTTCATCATATTCTTGAGCGAAGCTTCCTTCTTCTCAACACTGTCGATCATATTCATAACCTTCGGGTTTATCTTTTTTTTCATTCCTTGGAATCGTTCTGTTACATTGCGCAGGGAAGCTTTGCATTCAGCAATGTTTTGGTTCTTGAAGTCATATGGCGTATTGGGACGGCCAAAATTATCTCTCTCCTCGGCGATCCACTCATATTCGTTCTCCATGTTCGTCACAAGCTGAGCGGCACTTTGCTGATCCTTGTAGACTTTTTCAAGTTTGTGGCCGAGCTTTTGCAGTTCTAAAGCTTCTTCTGTTATCTGTGCAGCTTTAGATTGCTTAGCCTCATCTAGGTCTCTCAGCTCGTCGTCAAACCTAGTAAGTTGAGCCTGCTCATCTTCAAGGTGGGCTAGAGCGATATCGTGTTTTTCCTAGAATCCTTATGTTAGCAATTCTCTACGTAAGGGACGAACTCTAAACTGCTAACCTTAACTCGTGCTTGTTCCTTAACCATCTCCTCAACCTCCTCCATCTGAGCCTTCAAGATTTGGTCAGCTTCCGCTAGCTGCTCCTCGGCTGTTGTCAAATCGCTACCAGCCTGTTCAGACTCCAACCGTGACGCTTGGAGCTCCTTCTGTAGAGTTTTTACAGCAACGGAGTTTTTGCTGAGACCTTTCTTCAGTGACTCAAGTGAAGACTCAAGTTCTGCAAGTTTGCTGTCCTTATTGTTGCTAAACTCGCTCATGTCTTTCTCAATCCGCTTGATATCCTTGGAGGCTTCAGTGTGACGATTTTTGGCATCTATGATATCATTTTTGAGCTGTGTTATATTCTCCCGCATTTCCTCTACAGCATGAATAATCTGATAGTGCGTTAGTCGGTTCCTTATATGGTAGGACGATAGGAGTACTTACAGATGATGACGAATTTCCATTTATCTGCTCCTCAGTCAATTTGACTTCGTGAAGTTTAAGATCGAGCTCCTGTTTTGTTGAATGTGCAAGGTCCATCTTCTTCTTTTCCCTGGCCATGGTGTCTTGCAATATATGAAGGGCTCTCTCCTTGGATTTCAACTCCATCATAATACCATTCAACTTTTGCAATATAAGGAGAACGCCACTTGAATTGGGTGCACTGCCTCCAGACAAGGTTCCAGAAGGATCGTAGACATCTCCCTCAAGAGTCACACTCTTCATACGAACAGAAGGGTCAAAGGTGACTTTCTTAGCAGTCGCTGCGTCATGACAGATCAGCGTCGACCCAAAAACATATTTCATGGCCGCTGTAATCTCCTCATCGTATCCTATGAGGGACAATGCAAGATCTACCTTTCCAGGAGCCAAATCGGTTGCCGCCCCTATTTTTTCAGCCGATGCCTGGAATGCGGAGATCTTGTTGAGGGGGATGATTGTAACTCGTTTTCGGAGTTTGCCATTCTGTAAAAGTGCTGTTCCGGTTTCCGCAGTGTCAACAACAACATTGTAGAGACGGCCTCCGGCACAAATTTCAAGAGCAGTTGCTGCTTCAGAGTGATTTTTATCAAGGGTGAAAAGCTGGGCGACGAGACCTTTGACTTTAGACCTATCAAAGTCAGGGTAAGGATCGGAATAGTTGAAGTCAATGTTTGCAACTCTTCGTTTTAAACCATCGGCCTCACTTCGAAGATCGCGTATGGCCTTCTGAAGGTTTGACTCTTCCTCATACATCCTCTCTTCCTTCCCAGGCTCAAACCCTTGTTTTGTAAGCTCTGATTCCAATTTTTGGGCTTGTTTCTTCAGGGATTCAAGGTCCTTCAGCAGCCCTTTATTCTGCTCTACAGCCTTTTTTGCCCGTGGCTCTTCTTCTTTGATCCGCTTTTCCAAATGGGAAATCTTAAGCTTCGCTTGTTCTTGTTCCGTTGCAGCAGCACTGGCACGATTCCTAGCATCTTGAAGCTGCCCTTGATAGCCATTACCATGACCCTCTTTTGATGCAACACCCGTCTGTAGTGTTTGCAAAAGCTCCTCCTTTTGCTCCACTTCAGCCGTTTGAACATCGAGATCCGCCTTGGCTTTATCGTATTGCGCCTGGAGCTTGTCATATACCTTTTTTTTATCCTTTAAATTGGCTTGCACTTCAGTGAGAGCTTTCTCTGCCGTTTCTCTCTTGTTCGATTCTTCACTCATACTAGACTTTTTCAAGTCAATCGATGTTGACAGTCGAACCATCTCATGTGAGTAGCTCTTCACTTTATCTTCCAACGCCTGGAATTTCCCACCCTTTCTCAATTCTTTATCTCTGGCCTCTTTGACCTTTTTGACGTCTTCTTCCAGGTTTGCAATTTCCCCTTTCAACCGGATAGCATTGGCCTCCAAATCTTCAACCTTCCTTTTTCTTTTCTCGACTTCTTCTGCACATTGACGTAAGCGATCACCGTGTTTGAGATAATCATGGGCAACAACAAGCCTCGTCAATCGTTCAAGGTCACCCTGGGTCTGCTGAAAGTCAAGGAACGCTCTCTTCTCCCCCCTTAACTTTTCCAGCTTAGGTTCAATTTCCTCTTGCAACAGCCCCTCAATCTCCCGGACTTTCATCTCTTTCTTAGCCATTGTTTTTGCTGCTTTTTCCTTCCTGTCCTCAAACATTCTAGTTCCAGCAGCTTCTTCGATCATAGCTAAGATCTCAACAGGTTTCATATTCAAAACTTTTGTTATGCGACCCTGCATAATCAGAAAGTTCGGGTTATTTATATTCAGCTGTACGCTTTGGAATAGGTTCTGCACGGTTTGTTGCTGCGCGCGGTGACCATTGATCAAGTACTTGCTTGTTCCACCTAGGACAATTTGTCGTGTGACTGAAATCGTCGCATATTCTTCGAATCCGATCGGTGATATCGACTTATCGCGGTTATCAAAAACAATTGTGACGCTGGCTTTGGTAACTCCCGCCTGACCTCGCTTATATATAAGATCTTGTAAGTTCTGAGCTCGAACGGTGCTCATATTGGTGATTCCAAGGACAAAGCATATGCTGTCGAGAATGTTGGATTTACCACTGCCGTTAAGGCCAGTAATAGAATTAAAGGACTCATCCCTACACCACCAAATTAAGAGTCAACTTGACAATCACAACCGTAATAATAAATGTGCGCGTCGCGGGGTACGCAAGATTGATCCGGTAAACATAACGCAATGCTGGTTACTCACCACCCAGATATGACCGTTCGTACCGCATAGGATTTAAACCCCTAGTTAAGCCAGATAATTAGCCTAATTCAGTCCGCAATACGGTGCCATATCCGCGATTCATGTACTCACATCTATGATAACCTCGATAATTCTCATCTTCGCGTCCAACTGGTGCCTCTCTGTACTTCAACAGTGTCTTATGCCGCTAGAAAAGATTTCCCAAAACAAACAGCGCAGCAAAGGAAAGAGAATGCGGATAGTAAATCAAACGAAGGGCTTTATCTCGTTCAGTGGCAGCTTAGGCGATGTGGACAATATTTTGGCGGCAACTCGAATTCGCTGTGTATTTACTTTTGTCTTTTTTAGGCTAGAACAAAATAGGTGACCTCATCAAACACGTGATGTGTTTAACCGCCGAGCCTCCCACTCGTTCTTGCGAGGTTGTGCAAAGGAAGATAAGTAACATAGAAAGTGTAAGAAATAAAGCAGCACAGAACTATCAAATTCATTATGCTAAATCCCATTTTTCAGGATCGGCTATCCAGTGTTTCCTCCAATGCGATGCCTTATAATAAACAGCAGCACAACCTATATTAATTTCTTGCCCTTTTCAGCCCATGTTCTAAAGTTCAGCGTTCCCCTACTGATCCTGGCCAACGAGGGTTTCACCCTCTCTGAGACCCTCAACAACCAACTCATGGCCCTCACACCGGTGATAAATATCTCGAACATCGTCTATTGAGCAGTCAACAATATGTCCTTGGGAGATATTAGGGAGAATATCTTACCAGTTGTGGTTTCAAAGTGGCTTGTGGAGTCGTAGCTCTTGGAGATATAAATGTTGTCATTCCTGCCATCTTCAAGTGGTTCGTAGAGTGGGATAGGGGGGCCCATGAACATCTCTTCGATCTTGCCTAGACGGTCAAGGCCTGGCTTGAGTTCCAGATGATGATTTGCTTCACCTTCGGCGATAGTTGAGACAATGGCAATGTAATAACCCTTGGGGCAAACGTTGTGGGCAGATGAAACCATAGCAATGTAGATGTCTTAGAGGGAGGAGTTAGTTAAAGTAAATTTGTTCACAATATGGTGAGTAAGAACATACCATGCTTTCGTCCAACTTGCGACTGGGGGATAATCAGTTGCAGGGAGTCACTCTCCTCAGTTTTATCGATGGGATGGTTCAAAATGCAAATTGCTTTCAGCAAATGGCCAACAACCTTTGTTTTCTGTGGGAAATACGATGGGTCCGCAAGGATTTTCTTCGTCTTGGTGGTGAAGGAGAATCCTTCGCCAGGCTCGCCTCGCTCCTTCATCGTGGCTTTGATACCGGACACTTTGCCATTCTCATACAGAACTTCATCGACGTTTGCGTTTAACATGTACGTTCCACCGTGGATGGCAGACAAACGTGCAAAACCCTGTGGGAGCTCTCCGAGTCCGTAGAGTGGGTAGATGTAAGGAGATTTTCCGTAGCGGGCCATGGAGTTGACATACAATCGGATACGGTTGATAGTCTCAGAAGCCTTTCCAGTTTGGGAAATGTAGTCGTCAGACTGGTACAAAGCCATAGAGTGCCCGACAAAGTCACGGGTGGTAGTCTCGAGTGAGAATTTGTCGTATACATCCTTCATAGTGCAAGTGGAAAGATTCAGCCCTGGTAGTTTGTCAGATACGAATGGTGCTCAAATGATATAACAGATGTTACTAACCTTGGTGAGTGGATGGGTCTTTTTCATTGAAGTCGCCTACCCATTCAAGGAACTTCTTCGCGCGTCGTTTCTCAAACAAGCCCATGAGCGAAGATCGAAGAGCTTCACCGGCATCTGAAGGGACCTTGGCAACGGTAGCCTTTGCTCCATCTCCCTGTTGGACGTAGCTGCCGGCAATCTGTCTGAAATCAAGGTACTTGGTGACTTCGGTAGAGACGAGGATATTGGTCAATTCTCCATTTGACATGAGAAGTTTTGGGACCAAATCAACGTTCCAATCGTTCACCCGGCCGTATTTCTCCCATGGTTTCTCTCCGGGCTTAACGTCCCGGAATTTTCGAAAGAGCTGGCAACTGGAGTCAGCCTAGGCGGTGTGAGCGGGGGCTTTTGAGGTACATACAGTTTCTATATTGACGGAGGCTGCTTCACTGTTATTGTACAGGATAGATTAGCATACTCCTAGCTATGAGAAAGGCGAATAGGGAGCCAACTGCACGAACCCGCCATAGTGATCATTCCGGTCAATGTGGAGGACCTTTTGCCCCTTAACGCTCAGAACGCTGTATACCGATGGCCCTGCCGTCAGCATGCAATCCTTCTAGCATCATCAGCAAGAGATAGATGGCCAGTTACCCTGAGAGAACACATTCCGTCAAGCCTATATTGTAGCAGTTCAGTCAGTCAACGACGGTCAAACATAAATAATAGGGGAGAAGGTGGGGTTCTGTATTCTCACCTGTGCCCATCACAATAACGTCATACTCCGGGGACATTTCCTCCATCTTGAAGAGCTGTTTCGTGCCGGTCTGGATAGATAGAGATTAAAAAGAGAAGCTGAGTTACAGAGCGTTGAGTATGAAGAAGCTGGGAGAAGATGTGGGTTGGGGGGGAGAAAGAAGAGGTGAGTGATAGTAAACATGAATGCCAGTTAAAACCCGCGCTAAGGATGTTTAATTCGGGTGCTATCGAAACGGCGAACCCAGCCAAGGCGCCGCCCGAGAAAAAAAAATACCATGTACATATAAGTAACCCAGCCAGCTCACCGATGGTGAATTATCCTTACTCCGTCTAGATGATAAACATGTCTTACTGTGTGGAAACATTCGTGGCTTTTTGTTTCAGAGGCATTTAACTGATCAATTAAATAGTATTGTACATCATCAGCCAACTGTGATGGTTGTTATACATTTGTAGTATTATACATAGATAGAGCCGAAGGGGAGGATAGCATGATTCATGAAACCTCACTTCATGCAGTGGTTTGGGATCTAGCCTTTGCTTGCTCGGCCTTGATGTCCTCTACCGGTACCTCTTCGGGCATTGCATCTTCCTGTAACTCAGCGGTTTCTAGGAGCTCGTCCTGCTCGGGTCGATAGCCGTCATTGTACAGCTCACGCGCCTCAGACCAGGCGTTCCATCGCTCTCGCAGAACATGCTTGATGTTGTTCTGTGTAACCATGACCTGTAATTATATATCAAGTTAGCCGCTTATCATACCAATCAAAATGCTGAAAGCGTGCACACAACATATATTCTCAAAGCAGAGAAAAGCAGTAATCAGAAAAATAAAATTCCCAGTTAGAATCATGCCGAAAGGGCTTAAGCGGTCCCAATCGTGACTCATATCGGCGAGTGAAATGGGGTTCATCATAAAGGGTGCTTGGATAGACAGTGCAATAGTGAGGAGGCATGTTCTTACCGTCTTGTCTCGGTTTCCGGCTTCGTATTCGCCATATCCGGCTTTTAGTCGCTCTCTTTCATAATTGGATGTAGCAATTCGGTTGCGTTCCTTAACGCACACCCACCAGAGACAGTGCAGGTCGTCCCATGATTTCTGGCGTAATTCCTGAACGGTCCAAGATCGGCCTGCAGAGCATTGGTTATTGGTTGCACTCAATTAGAGGCGAGTAGAGTCTAGGTAGAGACATACCATGCGAGTACTCCTGCTCTGGGGTGGGAAATACCTCCTTGTTTGGGAGGAAGAACCCCCAAAGGCCGTGGTTCGGGTTGACATCTCGCGCCTCACGCCTCTCTGGGTGCTCAGGCACTGGCAATGGGAACTTGGACGCGGACAATCGATGCTTAAGCCCACTTCGGTGGATAACAGAGACCCCACGCTGTTTATTCCGGTCTTGAAAGGAGTGAGAGGTTGAGAATTTGGATGATTGTGAGAGTGTTATTATTGGGGCATAAAGAGCGGGAGCAAGGAAGGGAGGAGGCAACTCGGCCAGCGAAAGGCCTCCATGGCGAGCTAGCTGAGCAATTGAGACCTTTGGGCGCATGCTGGAGCTTTATTAAGGGCTTTTCCAGAGCTTTTTTGCCTTCTCGTCGTTTTGTTGAAGGAAGAAAAAAAAAGTCGAAGGAAAGAAAAAACTCAAACTACTAAGAAGTAGTGTGTCACGTGAGATATATATCATGTGACTATAGCATTCAAATCCCTTGCAGGGAAGAAGTTGAGAAGCTGAAGATACGAAGACGATGAGAAGGGGGAGCAGGAATATAAATATAAGATGGGGTATAGATGATTTCGCTTGAAGTTATGATGGTTTAAGGGACGGCACTCCATGTAGGATGAAATAAATAAGATGTGGTAGAGCTTCGAGAAGAAGGGCTACTATTGGAAGCTGTTCATCAGTTTCAGTCTCCCGTAGCCAGGAGTAGAGAAATAAGATACGCTACCTAATAGAAGATCTATAACCACCTGCTGTAATCCCTATATTACACTTGAACATGCGGATAATTCATGGCTTAGTGATAAAACCACCCAAAGTAGTGACATATCTTAAGTTGGTCCGTGCATTTCGCGCTTCTGAGCCAAAAGTGCTGGCAAAGATATTTCAATTAATATTCACATCGAGCCTACAGCAACACAATATTGACTGAGACTGCCTAGAGATATTACCATTGAATCCGCGCTACTACTTATATCCTAACTTTTGATACCGTGACCCTAACCAGCTTTACTCCTCTTGTATCGAGCACACTGGGCGGAACGCAAGCTCTCTTCGCCAATATGAATAGGCCAGGTAGGAAGATGAAGATGCTCCTTATATCAAGACACTACCACCCAGACATTCTATAAGCACTGTCTTTAGACTGTATATATACAGTATTTGTTTCTAGCCCAAGCTAGATGCATATATCCTATGATGAGAGCGGGATATCTGCAAAAGATATCTCTGGCTTTAAGATCAATATCTGCCATATGCCGTTGTTGCAACTAGCATATACCTTCTTTCTGAGCCTTTGTGATAATGAGCCATAGCTAACTGTTCCTTTCTTATGCTTTATAGGACCAGGCCAACAGCCTATGCGTGGCATGTCAGGCTTCCCTACCCAGCAACAATCACAGGCCCGCTCCGCAAACACCGCACTATTGTCCGGCCGGTTACCTAACAATCATATTGGTGAGAAGGATGGAAATAACAATAACTCTACGTCTGGATATTCTTTGCTGATTGTATCCTGTTGTCTTGGTAGGAGGCACATCAGCAAACTGGGGCTTCGGGGTACCCATGGGAGGGACATCAGGACTGCAGAACAGCCAGCAGAGGACGGTGAACCCCATGGGCTCATTTGCACAGAGTGTTGGCGGATCACAGCCCGCTGCTCCTCTTGACCTATCGTGAGTTGCACGCATCTCTCTCGGCACTGCCTTTGTCCTCTTTCATCAGGCCGTTTTCTCTCTTTACTTTTCCTTCTCTTTTCTTCAACCTCCAGCTTTCAAGCACACTACTCTCCCCCTTATTGCTGGTTGTTGATATCCTCACCATGAGGGCAGATACCAAATTCGGCCATTCCGGGCGTACCTACAAGGATCTCAGGCAAGATGCCGTGCTGACTCTCGATCTCTCGTCTCTTAGCGAATTTCCCTCTCTCTCCAGCGGACCGCAGAACGCGACTCCAACACCCGGGCAAGCTATCTGGGGCAACGCAGGCCAGCGTACCATTCAGCAGAGTCTTGGACAGAGACAGCCACAGGCTCCTGTTCCCCCTCAAGCTCCCTCGCGGGAATCACAGCTCCAAGCTCAGCAGTCTCAATCTCAGTCCCACGACGATCAGTTCCCCTCAACAACGCAGTTTGTCACGCAGCTTGATGACTTCCGAAACGGCGTCCAGGCCATGGGCCAAATGCCAAGTGGAAACCAACCACAAGCTGGTAATGTCGACGACTTTCCACCTCTGAGCAAACAGTCTGATCAAGGCGGGGCAGTTGCGAATTATGCTGGTTCTATGGGATTTACTGGGTTTTCTGCCCAGACGCGTTCTTCTCTTGGAAACCAACAAGACACAAGTAGAATTGCGTCTCCTGCCGGTGCTGGTGCACCTGGTAAGTGACAATTATGGACTTCTGGATACCTTGTTTGGATATTATATAACTTATATGTACTTTTTTTTTGGTCAAGGCACTTCAGGACTGCGATTACCGGCTGGCCAAAACCAAAATGGTATAATTGGGCAAGATCACGAGGTAGCTATCTATGATGTTCGCCCCTTCCTCTAGACGCGTTCCATTGGCTAAAAAAAACATTCCAACTGAAGGACAACGCTCAATCATCCATGATGAACCAACGCGGCATGGAGCAGATGCAGCAGAACCAGGGCCAGATTCAACCATCGCGTCAGCAACAGCCGTCACAGGCAGATAACGAGAATCATGATCCTTCACGAGCCGGCCAGACGGCCGAGCAGACATCCCTTTCCCAGATGAGCGAACATGACCGATTTGGTCTAGCCGGTCTTTTGCGCATGATCCACAGCGATAGCCCAGACGTTGCCAGCCTTGCAATCGGTCAAGATCTAATGAGCCTGGGATTGGATCTTAACCAGCCAGAGTACGGATACCTGCTTCTACCCCTGCACTTTTTTATTCCGCGCCGTGGTAACTGTTAACCGTGCATTCTTTACAGACCCCTGCACCAAACATTTGCATCACCATTCATTTCATCCAACGTGTCAGTTCCGTTACGCCCGGACTTTACGCTTCCTGCATGCTATAATGTAGCCAATGTCCAGCCTCTGCAGAGCCGTATACCCAGCTTCAGTGATGAGACCTTGTTCTACATATTCTACAGCATGCCACGTGATATCATGCAAGAACTAGTCGCAGAAGAGTTGATGGGGAGAAAATGGCGATACCACAAGGTCGAACGTGCGTGGCTGACCCGCGACGACAGCTACCCGAGCCCCGTTGAGGTGGAGAGGGGCATCAGCGAGCGTGGTGTCTACCTGTGGTGGGATACCAGCACCTGGAAGAAGGTTAGAGTAAGTCATTCGTCCATACACACACCCCGCAACTGTTTAGGATATATACAGCGGCTAATGTATCGTCTTCTAGCGCGAGTTCATTCTCCGATATGCTGATCTGGACAACCGCCTTGATCCCGGCAGGAACTTTCTGCGAGGCATGCCTTTCCCCCAGGCGACTTGAAGCGCACCCAAAACACACCAGAGAGAACGCCAGAGGTTACGACTGTGTATAATGATTCTTTGTTTTACTCAATTGCATGATGCTTGACCAGATAGATCTATCTGAGGATGATTATCATCTCTACAAGCTGGAAAAGGGTCGTACTATAGGAACATAAACTTCTGTAGATAGGCTTGAATTAAAGGATGGCTTTAAACGACTGTACCTCCCGCCATAACCATTCTATCCGTCTAACATGACTCATGATATATATACACATCCCTTTACTGTATGTATAAACCACGTCACAGCTTCGCCTCCACATCCATCGGCGTGCTCGCCTTATCATGCTCTCCCAAAACAAGCACCTGATCCGTATCCGTCCGCCGGATATCCGCTCTCATCAGCGCCAGTCGTTTACCAGCATGAACAAGCTCACAGTTGATAGAGATCTCTGTGCCCTCCGGCACAGGACGAAGGAAGGTCATGTTCAACGACCGACTGACTCCGCCCAAGGAGAAATACCCGCCCATAGCGAGCAGGAGGGTCGAAGAAGCATTATCGATCAATGTTGTGGCACATCCGCCATGTAAGTTGCCGAAGCCATTGCACATCTCAGGAGCTACCGTTGCGAAGTAAGTGACGCGGGCAGGAGGGCCAGCAGCCGCAGAGCCGAACCGGACATGTTTGCGAAATATGTCACAGCTGTAGCCCTGGATGGATGTCAGTCTACCATCCATGCATTAAATATTATATCCTAGTTTATCGGACTGCAGGACATACCTTGTTTCCGGGGTGCAGGACGATGGCATCGTACGTCTCTATTATGCGCTCTGCGAATGCATCTTGTTCCGTCATTATTATACTGTAATTTGAAATCGATAGACACTACTCTTAGAGGGGATACGGGAGTAGAAGAAGAAGTAGAAGAGAAGAAAAGAAAGCTGAAGGAGCTGAAGGAGCCGGAGGATGAAGAGGCTCCTTCGAACGCCAGCTAAGAGCGTTCAGGGCAACCGAGGTTGCTTCATGCTGTATAGTTATAATGTTAAATCAGCAGTGATATTTCGGCCAACGCTCTTGATATTGACGCAACATAGTCGCAGGCCTCCGTGAGATAGCCCATCTTGCAGCAACAGTGCAGGCAAGCTTCATCAATAACAATCGAACATTCAACATGGAGAATCGAAGGACACAACTCGAACTTTTTCAACAACACGGAAAAAACCGTGGTCACGTGATATGAATTCTTTTTCCGCAAGCTTGAAGGCTTTCGAGGATTCGCAGCTCGACAGCTTCAAGAGCACAAGATACCCTCTACAGCATACCGACACCGACGCTACAGACGAAGGAGAAGGAACGGAAGAGAAGAGGAAACGGTGGTCGCCAACATGGCGGGCTCAGACGACTGTCTACTCGCCCTTAAACGGGCGCTCTCATCACCATCCAGCGCCCCCGTCCTGACGACCTCGTCCGATCTCTCTACAGAGCAAGCAACAGACGACATCTCGAAGGCGACACATCTCTACCTGACGGAGCCGATACCGCAGTCCATCCCGCTGTCTACCCCCACACGCTTCATCTCTGCGGCGGCCAACCAGGCGATCGACCTGCGAAGCATCTACTTTGCCTGGCTGAAGAAAGATGTTGCTATTCCGGAATACATTGCGTCAGCGCAGGAGGTGAATGATGCGCTGGGCGGGTCGGCCAAGGTGTTGAATCTGGTGTTTGTTGAAAAGGTGGATTTGATCAGTTGGCTTGAAGGAGCGTCGGATGAGAGCGAGTATATCAAGCCCCTTGAAGGGAAGGAAGGGCCGGGAGAGGCATTGGGAGAGTCTGCCGGTGCTGTCGGGACAGAGGGCGCGGTGAAGGAGGCGGACGTGTCTGGTGCCGCGGCGGCAAGTGTACCGAAGAGTGGTGCAGTCGGTGCAGGAGCTGGTAGGCCTGCAAAGGGTGTGGATGCGCGGCTACAAGCTATATATACTGGCGAGCGCAAGCTGGGAGACAGAAACACTGTTCTCCGAGGGATCCGGCCCACGGTACGTTCTGGTAATTCACACCCACCCGAGCTCCTTGGACTAACCAGCGGACACAGGACTTTTCACACATACGCAAGACGGCAGAGCTCTTCCTGGGACGCAACCGGACCCGTCCACAAGGCAATGCCAAAACAGGCGGCAAACCAAGCATGATGCCCACTCCCGGAGCAGGCAGCATCCCCAAGAAACCACTAGACTCAAGTCCCTCCTCCTCCTCCCCTTCGTCCTCCTCCTCCCGCCGGCCCAACCCCATCATCCTCGTCTCACCTTCCGCCTCCTCCCTACTACGCATGTCAAACATCAAAACCTTCCTATCCGAAGGCGTCTACATCCCGCCCGACCACCCGTCCCTCTCGAAATCCACAGGCTCCAACCTCCTCCACCTCTCTCGAACGCTCCAAACGATCCCGGACCCGTCTCGCCCTGCGTCCACGCCCGCCGGCGCCCCGGGTGCAGCAGCCCGCAAACCAACGCTGTTCATCCTGGTCGACAGCACCGCGGACTTCAAGCCCGATTACTGGAACAGGGTGGTCGCGGTGTTCACGACCGGCCAGACATGGCAGTTCAAATCATACAAGTGGTCGACGCCCCAGGACCTGTTCAAGCATGCCACGGGCATTCACGTGGGGTGGAGAGGGGAGGAGCCGCCGCGGGAGGTTAAAGGGTGGGGAAGGGGAGTGCGCAGCTTTGCCATCGACAGATGGGATGAGAAGAGCGCCAATGTCAACGGCGGTCCTGCCAGCGGAGCGAGATGGAGAGATCGAGGCGTGGTCGAGGGTATCTGGTCTGCTATCGAGGAAGGGATGAAGGCTCGTGGATGGGGAGCCTCCAAGTGACTTGTCTTCTTCTTCTTCTTCTCCTCCTTTCTACACGTTGTACTCGTATCTACGGCGATAAATGAATAGATAGCTGACGTGGTTTTTGGTCTTGCTATGGGATTGCATCTTCAGCTAACTCCGCACCCCGTATAAGCGCCAAGAGGACTTCCTTAGACTCTCTGTATAAGATAAGTATTATATACATAAAACCACATGGCGTGAAAGAAACCCCAAAGGAGAAAAAAAAAAAGGGGGAAAGCGTGTGTGCAAGTGCCGAGTTTGAGAGCCATGAGGGAAGATCGTCGGCGATCGCGACCCGAGGGCGTAAAAGTGTAAACATGCATGTAATCGTATTACGGTGACGGTACGGTAAGCTTATCCCGGAGCTGAAGAAGCTGAAGATGATATTTCGCTGATAAAGTGACATGATGCAGAAGGTATCAGATAGCCCGCCTTTGCCAGCCTGGTAACGATGATGCGGAGGTATGAGATATTATCCATTAGCGAAGGGCAGAGAGGTAAAGGAGGAGAAGAAAAAAGGAGAAAGAGAAGAGAAAAAGAAGATGCGCCATCCAAATGCTTTCTTTAGTATGTCATCTCAAGTAAATGTAGAAGACCTCTCCGGCAGTCGAGTATGTATGTAGAGAGGGGTGAGAAGTGTAAAAGGGACAAGGTAAGGGGTATGTGAACAAGACCAATCGCTCAAAAGGGTCAGAAGTCTATAAGGGGGGAAAAACAAAGGGAAGAAAGGATATATAATAAAAGATATAACGGGCGTGACAAGTCAAGAAATGAAAAGAGAAGAGAGGAAATTCGTGAAGAGGGGGAATCTCAGGGACAAGGAAAGAGCTTTCTAAAGGATGCGTTAGGATATAGGGAGGTGATTTTTTGTCGCCGTGTCGCCGTCGCCGTTAAACCGTCTATTGGCCGCGGAAAAGAAAAAAAAAGATTCAAAGACATCATCTATTGCGTGGGGATAGGGAGATTTTTTTATTTTTTTGGGTTCGTAGATTCTTTTTTTTCTTAGGGTGGTTCTGTGGTGCCGTTGATGGAAGTCTATGATCGGGTGCTCCGGCTCATGGACCGTTCGGGCAAGAGGGTCGGTGAGTACGACCGCCCGCTTGTCGTTGGGTTGAGGTCAAAGTCGTGCTCTTGCAGGACAGCTGCATATTTCGGATCACGGGCGAATTTCGGTACGGAGTCCTGGTGAGGGTTAGAGATGGGAGACCTAAAACAGACCCAAACGGAGGTGGACCTACTGAGGACATAAGCTTAAAGACGGACAACTGGGCGGCTTCGAAGAGCTGGACGACATCCGTCAGGGATTTGACCATGGATGCGTCGTCGCCTACTGCGCGGGTCATGCGGCTGGCCAGGCTGTTGCGGAGCGCATGGTCGATGTTGAGCTCACACGGCGAGCCAGGCGCCAAAAAGGCATTATATAGGCCTACTTTTATTAGAACTATTAAAAAAGAGTAGAAGGTAAAAAGATGATAAAACACACCGTAGGCACTGGCGAGGGTCTCGCGGACGGTGTCCATCTTGGAAAAGGCGCCGGCCTTCTCGGCCCGGCGATAGTTGGCGGTGAACTCGGAGACGTCGAGATAAAAGGACATGTTCTCCTCGCAGAGAGAGTACCTTAGGAACTCTCGGAAGAGCAGCCGCAACGCAGGGTCCTGGATGATATGGTGCAACCTGGCGTTGTTAGAGTCCCGAGGGGCGGCGGCGGCGTTGGAGGCCGAGTTGGCGGACGATGTGGATGAGTTCTGCGTCCGCTCTCGGGCTATCCACCCGCAGACTCGCTGGCCGTGATCTGTTATGCCGTAGATGGCGTTCTTGGTCGGCTGGAAGAGAGTGGCTGACGGATCGTGGGCGATGAAGGTCTTGTCTTCTATGAAGGAGGTGATCAGGCCCTGGCGGACGAAGAGGGAGGCAATCTCCATGGTCTCGCGGCGGTCTATGGTCGTGCAGCAGTCCATGAGCCACTCCATGGCAGCTTTGCCGGTGAAGGTGTTGTGGTACAGCTTATCTCCGATCTTGCGCTCGCGGGCCATCTTGACGCCGATGACGCCGTTGGTGTAGTCCGAGAGCGAGTCCGAGTCCGAGGAGGAGACGGAGGGCTTGAGGTTGGGCCCGTCCTGGCCGGCAAAGCGGCGGAAGATGACCTCTATGGTGCCCTTGTCGTTCGATATCTGGTCCGTGATGGAGTCTCGTTCCATGATGACGAGCTGCATGGTGTTGCGCGGCGAGTCGATGATGTCCATGATGTGTCTGGCCGTGATGCCGTTACGCTGGCAGAAGCGGTGGAGGATGTTGATGCCCTTGGGGGTGAGCTGGTAGAGGGCCCCCTTGAGCGGGAACTGGGAGGAGAAGCGGCCGTCGACCGACTCGATGAAGCGGGCGTCAACGAACCGCTGACAGACGCTACGGGCCATCTCCTTGGCCATGGAGAAGGTGGTGGTCGTGGTCGTGGTGACGATGCGGGTGGGATCCTTGGGGTCGGGCATGCGGTTCGACTGGGAGAACTTGAGGGAGCCGAGATTGTTGATGGCCTCCTCGGCCGTGAAGGTGTGTTCGAACTTGGAGAACCGGACACGGTGCGTCTCGAGCTTGAGGCTGACCATCAGGGTCGAGAAGAGGTCCTTGAAGTCGCGGGTGAAGGGCCGTTCGTCGGTCGTCATGCGGAGGAGGCGGGAGGAGGTCTGATGCATCTTGGAGGCGGACTGGTTCATGATACCGGGTGCTACGTCTGGCGATGTTGCTTCTGCGGGCCTGTCGTCGGACTCCCAGCTGTCTGGGTCGCGGAAGGGGTCTTCTTGTATGATGTCCTGTTCTTCCTCTTCCTCTAGCGGAGGGCTCTGGATATGTTTGTTTTGTCGTTGTTGTGGTGGTTGTGGTTGTGGTTTTGGTTTTGGTGCTGGTGGTTGGTGGTGCTGTTGCTGTGGTGCTGGCTTACTGGAATAGAGATTAAACGCGGACGAGGTCTTCTGTATCGCAATTGCAGCGAGAGAGCGTCTGGAGGAGCGGCTGGGGTGGGAGTAGACCTTGCCGTGGCCTTGCTTGGGGTCGTCGAGGGGGAGGTAGGGCCGATGCTTGAGTTGCTGGTGGAGGGAGTTTGATCTGTCAAGCGCGGGCCTGCTCATTGAGAGTGTTCATCCAGCGGAAGGGTCAGAAGCCGACGAGAGAGAGTGAGGGAGATGAAGGAGATGAAGATGCTGTCTATCTGGGTGCAAAAGGTGAAGTTGAAGAAGAAGAAGAAGTCGAAGAAGAAGAAGAAAAGGGCGAAACAACGTGGGTGGAAAAAGGACGAAAGAAGAAAAAACGCCAAGCCTTGTATTGTCCTTGTAAAGAAAGAAAAAAAGAAGAAAAAAAGAAAAAGAAAAAAAAAAAGAGAGAGGAAAAAAACTTCTGCAGTGTAAAATATCTTACGTGACGTGACGGTAAAGAAAGGAAGGTTTGCAGAGCAAGACTCGTGGGCGCCACGACTCGACAGGGATGTGACAACGTGGCTTGTTACGGTAAGTTACGCCTTTCTCTATACCCTTCTACTCTACTCTTCTACTCTTGATATCATGACTCTACTGTTCTAATCTCTGTTTATCCGTACAGTCTTCCCTTCGACTACTGCGGCCTGAAACTGGCTGAAACATGACCCGCCAACCTCGAGTTGGCCGGGGTTGCCATGCTACGGTGTGATCGGTGCCTGTCAGAACGTGGCCAACTAGCCTCCTTTACCAGGGCCTCCCTTGTAGTCCCTCTCTTTCGTCTCGCCCAGGTTCTTGTCTCTCTCTCCGACTTAGTCTTGCTCTTATTCTTACTCTGGTCGCTTCCTCTCTCTTCCTCTTCCATCTACTCTAACCCTTCTCGGCCTTCTCCGCTTCCGCTGACTCAGCCGGCTTCACCTCCGCCCACACGTGGTCTCACCGCCCTTAAATAAGCCTAAGCGAGCAACACGTGGCTTGGAGGCGCTAGTCTAGATCGAGAGAGAACCTGAAGACCTCGAAGTGATGAAAGTGAGATACGCAGTAAAAACATAGTAAATACAAACCATAGTAAAGCATAGTAGAGCATGGCAAAGTAAGAAAGACGGGAGAGAGTGTGTGTGTGAGAAAAAGAAAAGGGAAGATCTTGCTTTGCTTGCCACGCGAGAGACGATGCAGAGACGATGCAGAGACGACGCTAGTGTATACATGTTATACCATCGTATGGAAGAAGGAAGGCGGTCGTGTGTTCGTCTCTGTCGCTGTTCTTCCCGTTCACCTCTTTCGTGGCTTGCTAGGCTGGTCCCTCGACCGTTTCCCTCTTCCTCCTCTTCCTCCGTGCCCGAACCGCCCTGACTCGGCCCTCTCGGCCCTCTCGACGCTCAGACGGTGAGAAAAAAAAAAAGGGGGGGGGGGGGGGGGGGGGGATAAGGCTGAGTCTCGAGCCTGTCGCCTCCCTTTGCCCTATTTATATCTTTTACCTCTCATCATATGCATATGCCTATGTATACACGTATATATCCATCAGGTAGACATCACCAGAAAGAAACAAGACAGAGATGCAGGTCCTCCCAGCACGCCGGGCAAGGCCCCACGCCATCCATGTGTTTTTATTTTTTTTTATTCTTTTTTTGCGTCCCAACCATGTGTCTTCCATGTGTTTCTTCCCCTTCCCAGCGTTTTACATTCAAACGCGCGTAAAAAAAAAAAAGGTAAAAAAGAAAAGATGAAACATCCACAATCTCCCCTTCTGTCTCCTTTTTCTCTCCTCTTCTTCTTCTTCTGCTTTAAGATTATTGTGGAGTCCACGTGGCGGGCGGAAAGTCGCTTCGGACGGTTACTTTATAGCCATCTTGCCGGACGGTCATGGAGGCAGCGCGGAGTAGGCGGGCTCTCCCCTTCTACATGTTGTGTATACAGTGTATATACGTTTAAGGCGGAGGATGTTGACGGAGCTGACCGGCTGGGACGGAGCGATGGCGATATGTCCGTCGGCCCCTCTCAGGTCAAGGCATCCTAGACCCTGCCATGCCATGCCATGCCATGGCCATTTCTCTACAACCCCCCGTTCATTTTACCTATTCTGTTCGGAACTGGATCGTGGTCCTGTCGTTCCTTTTTTTTATATAAAAGACCATGTTCCAGTATGATCGTACTGATTCACCTCGGCCACATGGTACCCTTGCTCCTGATATCTTCATCTCCAACTACATACTATGTGGTAACCTGCTTCTCGACATATACTCCGGACTATGTATAAACAAGCGAGTCAGTTAGCCGGAAGATTCCCACTTCTCAGTGCTTAACTTGTGGTCTATGGGGGAAAAGGGTGAAGAGAAAAAGAAACGACCAAGCATTCTCGCCTACCTGGGCAAAACAAGACCGCATCTTGGACATAAAACTAATAGCGGGCCTTGGCCTCTGGCCGTGCGATGCTGAATCATCATCAACTAATACAAGAGCTGGGACAAGAAAACGGCCGTGGAGACGATTTTGATCCGCACCAGCCACAGGGAGAGCGGCCTTTTGAACGATCGCCCTTGATATATATTAAATTTACATAGTAATTACTTCCTTACCTCGGACTTTTCCCTCCTCCTCTCTTCTCCGACGAAAGCTGATAGTCGATGCGCATCACTCGGCCTTCTATCGGACACGGGATTGATTGGATGCACAACGGGGCGAATAAACAACAGCGTGGCATGACAGCTGCATGCAGTGTGTGTGGTTGGATCTTCTTCTTTTTTTTTTTTTCATCTTTTCTTGGTGATGATATTCCTGTTTTGAATATCCATCATGCAGACAGGGCTTTGGTCTGCGACCTCGCATCCGGCGGCTGCTTTTTTGTCCGTTTTACCCACAATCCCAACACCTGGCAGATAATCCTAAATTCATGCCAGTCACCTTCCGAACACCCCTTACCCTGTCGATATGGATATATACATGTATATGGAACCTTTAAGACACCCACTCCTCCATCGGTGAATAAAGGACATCCATCAGAAACAAAGCCCATTTTTTCCCTTCTCCAGCACCGGAAGAAGGCGAACTTATCTTAAACCCCGTTCCCGACACAAGGACAAGACTTCTTGTGAATTGATTACAGCACACAGCTTGGAGAATGCCTGCTGCATTTACATTACATCATGTATATGTACATAGTATGCGCCTTTTTTTTTTCTCGCAGGGACAGGGGCATGTCAGCAAAGGGTCCTCATGGCAAGGGTCCTTTTGGCAGCTAGAAGAGCGAAGGGGGACGGTGGTGGGATGTGATTTGACAGCATCACCGAAATTTTCGAGTCATCCTGCTCATTCATTCCTTCAAGATATGCTTATTGCATGGTATGCATGAATATGCTGTCGATCAGCCAAGGTAATCACTCACGCCTGTTCAACGGTGGTTAATGTATGTCTCTCTGATACCCACGCGGTATTGGATGGGCCTTCTATTCACAGTCTAGTCTGCTGTACGACCTCTGTCACATCACATCTTGTTAGACGCTTGGCTTCATGTCCAGCTGTACAGAAGTTCACTGTCCTCTGGAGCAGGACGTTAATAGGACAGTTAGTATGCATATATCTTGCACTGCCTTGTTTGTATATACCCCTACATACATGCCACAACTGAAGATGGTAATATTGAAGGGCACTCGAACGGAGCTGTGTAAGTATTCTATTTCTACCTGCGCGGGGAAGATACCAGCCCTATCGTCCATAAAGGGTTGGAGCTTGTACTCCTCGAGTCCCAGCAAGATTCCACGCTCTGATCGTTGGTTAAGACTTGATTCTTGCTCGTCGCATACGTCACAGCCCAGCCGACAACGACTGAATTCTTTGCCATGTTCCCTTGGATAGTATTCAGCACTGACTTACTATCGCCATGGAGGCTCCACTAGATATTATCCCGTGGCAGACCTGTATATACGTTCTGACGTCAACTAAACGAAGATATGTATGGGAGAAGAAGGATATTCGCCCTTTTGCCTATTTCGTACTCTTCATGCACATGCATCCCGTTATCAAGGGCTGGCAGCCAACAAGTCTAGCTAACTTCAACCCCCAAACTTGCGAATGGGATTACAACAGGCTACACATTCCTCCCCCCTGTCCCTTTTCTCCCTTCCTTTTTCCCTCAACATACCGACAGTCGGGATGAAAATTTGTCAGGCTCTGCTTCCTTACCGCCTCAATTTTCAGTCTGACGCAACGGTTCGCTTCCCGAACTAACTGCGAGCTGTCGGTGGCTTGAACACCTTGTGGTTTGAGGGCTGATGGCTGATGGTTGGAAATGAAAGGGAAAAAAAAGAAAGAAAAGCTGATAAGGAAAAAAAAGCTGTGTCTCAAAGCCACGCGTCAATAAAATGATGCACGCTTTAAACGGGCCTCATCAACAGCTAATCGTTCGCCGAGGGGGGTGATACAAGCCGTCAAAAGCTGAATGAATCCCTTGGCTGACCCTGGCCTTTTGGAGGGTTTGGTCTATTTATTAGGAGGCGCATCCCGGCTATGTCGAATTGAATTCGAGGGGATGGAAGGAAAATTGGATGAAATTGGCTTTTCATTGCGCAGGGCCGGAACAGACACGTTCCATTGAGTTTTCTTCCTTTTTCTTTTTCACCGTTCGAAATGATTACGGATAAGGACCCTAAGCTTGCGCCTGGATGTGTAGGTTGTCTGGGGATCGTGGCTGGGTGATTGACAAAAGCATTAAGAGATTCTAAACTAGACTGGCTCTCAAGAGCGTGGACAAAAAGGGTCGATCGTTGGCATGGCGTCAAAAGGGGTTGATTTGAAATCCAAGTGTCATCAATATCGTCATTAATTGGTAACCAATGGCGTGCATCCATACAAGGAGTTTTTTTTTTCAGTGGTGTATATGTAATGTGACCGAAGAAGGCTGTACGGTATTTAGGTTTTGTATTCTGTAAAGTCGCCAGAGTCTTCATCTGGTATCACGTTCGATTCATATACGGTGAAGTTGCTTTTGTAGATGCCGTCATAGCGAACTATCCATCTCTCCACCATCGACCCAAGGCGCCCGCTCCGCTCGTGCCTAGAGCAGCAACCGCCTCTTCAAAGGATACCTCTACCCGGAACATCTTCCCATCTCCCATGCCATAACCGCTTACAGGCATTACGAGGCCCCATTCGACAAGCTTCTCCCACGCTTCCTTTGCAGGCTCTTTCCCCCACACTCTCCCTGGAGTTGCAGCAGCACCGGACGCGGATGCAGACGCCTTGGCGGAGGTAAGTAGGCGCACGTACTCGGTATAAACGGCTGGAAAGGATAATGTAAGCGACGCTATTGTTGCTGCGCCACCTGAATTGCCCGATGGTTCGTGAAGAGCGGTTAATCGGGTAGCTGTGAGGAGCAAAGACAACGGCAGTGAGACGTTGCTTGTCGAGCCGGACAGTTGCGTGAATGGAAGAGGTGCAGGATCGGGACAGGTGAGCATGTTGGATTTGAACGACTTGACATTGGGAGTTTCCAGCTTCCCAGAAGCAGAGCTGAGAGCCAGCGTTGTAATAGGGACCAAGGCACTAGAGAAAAACTCCCTGGGGCACTTCGTTCTATAATATATTCGCTGTAGATGAGATGTAAATTCTGCATCACCAAAAAGATCCTGCAGGCCAGTCATTATATTAGTATACCGTTGTTTCTAGTTAATGGTAGTTGTGGGTTATAATATACCTGAATATAACTGTTCCATCCCTGTAGTAGAATGTTTCCCTTTGTGCCTTCTAGCAACTTCTCAAAAGCATCTGTAGTAGAACCCAACAGCTCTTCAGCCTCAATCTTCAGAGAGGACATGCATATATCCACAAATTCAGGAAAGCTCCTAGGACGAGGCAAAAACACATATCGATGACTGAACCTGCTCTTTACTCGCTTCTCCAGATTCTCGGTAACATCAACCTTGGTAGTCAACCCTAGCACAGCGACAGGCGCCTTTTTCGCCTGCGCGATATCAAACAGATTATACAACAGCGTCTGCCGAGGATGATACGAGAACAAGTCAAATTCATCCAAGATAATAATGACAGATTTCGTAGTAGTTATCGCGTTCGGGTCCTGTGACGGGCCGGTGATTTCTTCCGGATGGGATAAGAGTGCCAACAGCGAGGTCATGGTATCCGCGTAGCTGGAGGGTTTCTCCAGATCGTCCTGTGGACCTATCTCGCGGCCTAGCTGCTGCCATATTTCGCGGAGGGCAATTTTATCATCCGTATGCAGGAAGCCGTTTAGCCTGACGACATGGAAGTCGTCCCGGTTGGTTTTTGATAGGGATGATAGAGCTGTATCCACAACGGCGGTTTTCCCACTTCCTCTGGCTCCGAGAAGAAGCAGAGAATTTCCCTCGCCTGCTACGACGGTCTGTTCGAGCAGTTGAAACACAGTCTGGTATTCATTCTCAAGTCCCGTGAGTGGTATCAGGCGTTTGCCGTTGAGCTTTTGCAGGATAATCTTTCCTAGGGGCTCGAGCAGCCGTTCGAGATTCTCGTGCTTACACAGAGACATGAACTTCTCGGCGTATGAGGTGGCCTCGGACTCCTCTAGCTCTTCACCAAGTTCTTGCTGAAGTTGCATAGCTGCATCGTTCGCCATTGACTGGGCTAGGGCCAGCTGCTCTACTTCATTATCACACGGCACTTCCCAGACGTCGTCTGCATCGTTGCTGTCTTGTTTCTCCTCGGCTAACTGAGCTTCGACTTCCTTCTTGGACTTCAGCGCAGCTGCAGACTTTCCTGATTTCCGCGGCAATTTCTTTGCCGATGGCGAGGTTGTTGCCGCTGCCTTTGTCTTCCTAGTCCTTTTACTCTCTCGCTGCGGTGATTGTGTATTCTCATCCGCTGTGACCCGTGGTCTCGGTGGACCAGCACTTGTGCTCACGACCGAATTCCCCGTCACTGCTATCCTGGCACTTCGTCTAGTTGACTGTGTCGGCGCCGCATCTTGTTTCTTCTCCAATTGCTCTGCACCCGCATCCGCTGTCTCCTTCGATTCATCAGCGACTTTTGTATTCTTGCGCAGTTTTCGGCCTTGGGTTGTTGGGCTTTTATCCGTCTTAAGCTTGGGGTCAGGTCCGGGGTTGGATACCCTTCGTCGCTTCGAGGGGCGCAGATCAGCATCCATGATACTTGGATACCTGTGTATATAAAGGTTACATATGGCTAGAGGTTGGCCATCTTGAAATCGATAGCTGCGGCAGTGCCTGTTCGTGTTGCATGAAGCTTTCGTCCTTTATTTACAATCTTTTTTTAACCTTGGAAGCTTCGTTTTGGAGCTTCATGTCACGTGAATATAGAACAAGCCTTTACGATGGAGAAAGAAGACGATGTATGAAGATAGAGACACAGAGAGATAGAGAAAAGAGAAGAAGGGATGAAAACCTCTTTCAGTAACTTCGCACGCAGACATGCATACCATACTCGAGAAAAAAAACAACCACTCAGCCAACCAAACCAGTCAATCGATCAATCAAATGTCTTTTGTTGGTTACGGATTCATCCATCCATCAATCATCGCCCTGCACTTGCGCCAGGTAAGGAAAATAAAACAGAGGATAGAAATAATTTTACACAGCCGCAGGAAGGAGAAAAAGCGAAAGCGTCAAGATCGAGAAACAGATAGATGGTACGGGACGGCAACGAGGGTGCATGTAGGGGACGGGGGACGGGGGAGGGAGGAGGATTAGAGAGGTGGAAGGAGGATTAGGGGCGAGCAACGAGCAGGTAAATCGAGATAATCCGCCGGCCAAAAATATTTGGTAAAGATAAGACAGGGTAGATTTGCGAGTTCAGGAGAAAGGGGAGAGACGGAGGGAGATAAGAGGAAGGATAGGAAAACCCAATATTAAAAAACCAGAACCAGCACCAGCACTAGAAACTAGCGCGTTACGCTTCCCATTAAAAAGAAATATCCCATATACGATTCGAGAAAGAAAAGTAGAAAAGGGAGGGAAAAGAGATAGATATAAAGCGAGAGAGGCATAGACAAGAAGACCTCGATCCCCTTTCGAAGGGAATGAGAAATAAGAGCAAATGAGAAAGAAACGCCATTTTAAACCGCCACAGATCGAGTACCGGAAACAAGATCAGAGCAAGACATTCGGACAATGTCAACCAAAAAGAGTATAAGAATAAAACGTTCCAGGACCAGTCCGGTCTTTTTTTCACTCACTTCGCGTGTGATATATAGAGAGAAAAAACTGAAGAGAAAAAAAAGCAAGGTAAGGAGCTCTGTTGTTTATCCGCGATCAAGAAGTCGTGGGTCCCGTGAGTTTAGACTGTGGACAGCATTTGGTTTGTTGCCATTGCTTGTGCTGCCATTGGTCGTAGGGTCAGCATGTGGTGGTGGAAAGATGGTCGAGGGAGAGTGCGGAGCGTCTTTCATCAGGATATCCGGCGAAGCGGATTGACCATGTCCATGTATCTGGCTCTGACTCTCAGCAAACTTGGTGAAAGGAAACTGTGTCGTTGGGCTAGGGTCTGCGCTACCGGGCGACGGGGCAGGACTGGTTATGCTGGGCAGGAACGGATTAGGTGGCTTTTCCGTCGTTGGAGTGGTCAAGGTTCCGCGACGGCTCATGTAATCGTTCAGACTCAGTTTCTTCTTTACGGGGCTTGGAGCTGTGAGGCTAGAAGCGGTTGTGGACGTTGAGGTAGAAGGTGGAGTCTGAGCAGGCCCAGTCTGCAATTTGGACGGTGGAAGAGGTTTTGTGATAGAGATGGGAGGGACGGGTTTGGAGGCAGAGTCTGGTGAGCTTATGCTGCTCGTTGCAGGCGGGAATTGCGGTGGGGGAAGGGGTATTCGCATGTTTACTTTGTCTGAAATCTTACGAGGAGTTGGCAGATTGTGTGCGACAGTCGAAGGGAGGTGGAAGAGAGGGCAAGAGGGGGGTGACGACAGTGAGACAGGGGAAGCGGTCGTAGGGCTTGCTGAACTAGCAGCTGCGTTGGGCGGTGTCATCGACGAGTCGGCATCTTTCATCTCGACGTCTGGCGCCTGCTTCGGTGGCGGTGCCAGCCTTGAGTTCACAGGAGTTGAAGGAGGGAGCATGGCGCCCGCACCTGAGTCTGGGGAGGTCAAGGCTGATATGCTGTCTAGCCGTCGGTCCTCCATCTTGATCCGGTCTTCGTGGCATCGCCTCAGCAATCGCTGCGTAAGAGTCATAAAACGTGGAGCATTAAACGTCTTTAGGGGGACATATTGAGGGTCATTCTCATCAGGATCAGTCTGAACAGAACAATCGACGTAGACTGGGCGACTTAATGGAGACACCACGCGAGGCGTGCTTGCAGCAGATGTCTTTGGAGGAGTGAAATGACCGTCTCGACGATGGGATGCGGATTCAGGAGACATTTTAGCTGGTGAATGAGAGGATCGGCGTGACTGTGGAATATCAAGGTGCGGCGGCTTCGCTGCTTTCTAAAAAAATATCAGCATGAATAAATACGCCAAAAAATATGTGCTTTTTATAGAGACGAACAAAGAAAGATGTAGTGGGGACATACCGATAGATTGGGGCTCTGGCCACGCGGTGGATGAACCCGTTTCTTCTTCTTGGGATGATGCTGGTCATGTTCGAGCTGTTCAAACTTCTTCTCTGCGGCTGCTATTTTCCGCTTCTCGCGAGCAGATAGCTCCCCAACATCGCGGCCAAGAGCACCAGGAGTCAGGTCTCTGTTTGCGGGTTGATCCTTGAGTGAGCCGGAAGTCGACCTTGTATCAGCGTGGTCATCCTCATCTTGGTTGCGAACAACTTCGCTGCCTGACCGACTATGGGCGGGGACGCCTCCCGAACTGTCAGGTGAAACAGCACTACCTTTGGCTTTTGCCTTCTTTCTTCGTCCGTTAGTCTGTTTTGTGTTGGACTCTAACGACTTTGGTTTTATGCGACAGTCGATATTTGCTAGCAGACATGGCCTGACTGAGTCATCACAAGCACAGCCACCAAAGTGAGCGAGCACGTTGCTTATCGAGATTGCAGCCGGGTCTAGGGAACCATCTGGCAGGCCTTCTTCCTTGACTAGGCCGTTGGAAGGGAACATCTTTGGGTCGAGGTACCAGGTGGTCGATATTTCGGTGTCCATGGGGATATCCTGGTTTGCGACAAAGCAAAAGTGGTACTCTACCTGGTTCGTGATGTAAGTTCGCATGGTGACGTTGGGTCGACAAGACCGACGGATGTACCGGAGTACAGTGCCTTCTTCTCGACTGTCGATGTAGATGGGCAGTTGTGGATGGAAAAAGACGAAGGGTTCAGGGTGGCGAAGTTCCTGCCACCGACTGTCCGGATCATGACAGTAGTCTCTGAAATGGCCGACCTTACCCCTGACCTCGCCCACGATTTCGTCTTTTCGCACGTTGCTCTGTACCTTGAGGCACTGCCAGGTCGGGTGTCTGCCGTCGATTTCGACATTGTTGTCGACAATGGTCTGTTTTGTGAGAGGTGGCCAGGTTGAAGGATCGAGCGGCTGGTCTGTGTGATTAAAGACTTCTTTGGCAGTACGACCGTTTGCGACCTGGGCGAGGGCAACTGGATCCTTTACCCACGAAGCCAGGTCGTTGGTCAGACCGATGGTACGGAAAAGGTTGCCCTGCATGTCTAGGCTGGCATTGTCGTTGTCGTAGAGATGAAGAAACTCTTGCGAATAGAGGGGGATCTGGGGGAAAGAAGAGGCAGGAGACTTGTTGGCATTATTTCCACGCTTACGAGAGTCGCCGCCGACAGAACTTATCGAGTTAGAGGCACGATGGGCCGCCCTTTGCTTCTTTACTGGCTGCTGCTGGTGGTTACCGTTCTCCCTCGAGGCCGCAGAGGCACTTCTCTCGTGCGACGACCATCCGTTCCGCTGTTCACCGGTACCAGAGGGCGAGCCGAGATCCTTGGGCTTCTTTCTCTGACTCTTGGAGCCGGAGCGTCGACTCCCTCGCCGCTCATCCGCGGCATTGCTGTTGGAGTCGTTCTGCTCTCGCAGCTTCCGCTGACGTTCTGTGGCCCGCTTTCCGTCGAGGTGCCTGGGCTCGCAGTCGACGCAGTTGTGTATCTCTGGCACGTTCTTCTTATCGATGTAGTAGCAGGCGATGTGCTGCCATGTGTCGCAGCGTTCGCACAGGACGGTGCTACCGTCGTCGTCCTCGAAGGAGCAGATACACTTGATGGTGTAGGGCTCATCTTCTTCGGCTTCGTGGGTCGAACCAGTTCCGTTGGCGACCGGGGAGGGCAAGGGGGAGGTGGTGGCCGGAAACGGAAACGGATTCGCCGTTGAATGTGCGTGTGCAGTCGAGGAGGTATCTGTCATAATCTGACAACATACCTCCTCCGAGGTTCAACGATGGGGTGATGAAGGGGAGCCTCGACGCCAGCGAGGGGACATAAAGAGGGTAGTGTCTCTCTTTTTTTTTTTTCTCGTGTTTTTCTTGTCTTTCTCTTGTTTTCTTGTGTTTTGTGAGTTTTTTTTCTCCAGTCGACTCGACGCTGAGGGTGGTTGACCGGGTGGAGGATCAGGACATCACGGTGCTGAACAATCGCAATCCACTTTCGACACCTGGACAAGACACGACTCGCAGTGGTATATACTTGGCCGGTAGCGATACTAATGGCCCGATAACCGACGATAACTCGATGGTTTCGGCGTCCGTCTTGTGCTCCTCGGTCGTTTCTAGTCGTTTGTTCAGGGCCGTGAAGTCGTGAGGTGACAGCGCAAGTTTCCCAGGCAAGCTAGACGAGAGGAGATCGCATGCTGCGAGTGGCCAGGCAGAGAGATGAAAGGGGACGTCGTCGATCGAGCAGGACGTCGACGAGAACGAGGCTTGAGTATGAGGAAGATGCGGATGATGGGCGGAGAGAGGGAAGAGAAGAGGAAGAGCTGAAGTTTAGGATGAGAAAGAAGAAGCAAAAGTTCCAAAAGGGCAAAAAGGGCGAAAAGGCGCAAGAGAAGAGAAAGAAAAGGGCCAGAAGGGGTTTAGCGTGCGAGGGAGGGACACTATACCCGAAAGAGGTTTAGTGATGTCTTGGCAGGCTAGGCTTAAGTTGGAAGTAGAAAGCATAAATAGAGTTTAGAGTATAAATAGAGTAGCTTTGCTTAGTAAGCAGTATAAGTATAGCAAGTTTGGTCTATTACATAAGCAAGTTTTTCAGTTTAGTTGGATTCAAGATGAAACTTGATGTGTAAGAAGTTGAGATAACAAGTTGAGATGGAAGAGAAGTTGAAGGGAAGTTGAAGAGAAGCTGACGATAACAGCAGAGGAAGAAGAAGAAGCAGAAGAAGACGGGCAGATGGACTGACGACCCTTGGTTGTTTCTCCTCGCTCTTCCTGTTGCATCCCAAATTGCAGGCATTAGTCATGGGTACAGGCGAACACCTTGAATAGGGGCTTCTCGTCTCTCTCTCCCTCTCTTTTCCTCTTTTCTCTCTCTTCATCTTCCTCTCTCTTATTACATCTTGATCTATGTTTTATCTCCTATGCTAATCTTTATATCTTAATTGTGGTGGAGCTAAGCCTATCTCGATCGGGAAACTCGACCACCTCTTCAAACACGAACTTCTTCTTCTTCCAAACGACCATCTTCACTGCTCTTCATTCTTCTGCTTCTACCTTCTTTTTTATTCTCTCTTGTTGCTCTTCACTGATAATCAACACTCTCTTTCATTGGCATCTTCACTGCCATGCTTGTTGCCAGTTAAGGTCTTGTCCCGCCCTACCCGCTCCGTCCCTAGCAACCGGCACAAAGGAGAAGAACCTCGCTCACCCTGAACCGCCTGCGCCGTGGCCCGCGTCCCACCCTACCTACCACTAAAGTCCGGCAGGGTCGAAGAAAACCGAAAAAAAAAAAAGGAACATATAATTAAATAAAACAAAAGATAAAAAAGGACGCAGGATCAAAGGGAAATCAAGACATGTCGGCGTTAAGCAAGCGTCAGCAGGCGCGCAACGAGCGGACGCTACAGGATCTGATCACCTCGGTGCCCGGGAACGATAGGTGTGCGGACTGCCAGGCCAGAAATCCAGGTAGGTTTCTCCCTTCTCTTATCTCTTTATCCAAGGATATATATACTAACGGCTGGTAGGATGGGGGAGCTGGAATGTAAGCCGTTTTAACTCTAGTTCGTTTGGTTTTTATTTTGCTATACGTCTAACGGTTGCTGGTATATAGCTGGGAATATTCCTGTGCATGCGCTGCGCAACATTGCACCGTAAACTTGGCACTCACATATCCAAGGTCAAGTCTCTTACCATGGACAGCTGGACAGCAGACCAGGTCGAGGTTGGTTTCTTCCGCTTTGTTTTTCTTCTTTCCTACCTGTATTAACGGCCTGCCAGGTTATGAAGAAGAACGGGAATATAGCGGTAAATCGGATATACAACCCCCGAAACGTCAAACCGTCCATCCCCATCGACATCGACGAGGTAGACTCTGCCATGGAACGGTTCGTGCGCAAAAAGTACGAACTCAGGGCCCTCGAGGACGGTAAACCCAAGCCGCCCAGCAGACAGGATCCCAGCTACACTTCGAAACCTTCCGTCGACTTCTCCCCTTCTCCCGCCGCCCTTCCTTCCAAGCCGAGGTCGAGATTTGGCTTCGGTCTACGCTCGATATCTTCCTCTCACCTGTCCACGAGCTCTGACAGGTCAGCCACCTCTGCCCCTTCCCCGCGGCGCAGAGAGAGTCTCGAGACTCAGACTGTTTCCCTACCGAATAATAAGCAGTCGAGGACACTAGGGGTGAGCATTGCAGACCATAATAATAATAATGGATCTCTTGAGTCGAAGCTGGAGAGACTGCGGGACATGGGCTTCATGGACGAGAAGAGGAACATGACCATACTCAAGGGGCTAAACGGCGATGTCGAACGGTGCATAGATACCCTAACCAGGCTAGGAGAGAAGTCGTCCATAAGCGGATCGAGGTCTCCAACTTCACCTACCGGTACGCAGAGTGGCTATAGGACGTCCTCCGGCTCGACAGACAGGTTCACCCCGCCATCTTCATCTTCAAATCCATTTGATAAGCTGCCCGCGAGTGTAGCTACGACCGGGACGGTGGGAATATCAATAAACAGGGCAGCTACCGCCGGCAATACTCCGGTCGAGCAGAAACAGGTTTCTCATAATCCGTTTGATGCCCTGGACCAGTCTTTCCAGAATCTCCAGGTCTCCTCCCAGCAGCCTCTCTTCCCAAACATGACAGGCGGATACCCAAGTCAGCAGGGGAACATACAGCTCTCGCGACCTCAGCAATCCATGACTTCCTCCTGTCCCTACATTGCAACATCAGAATCAGCTGCTACACCAGAAACAGCAGCTCTACGGCGCAGTAGCTCAATCACAACTGAACGGGCATGCAACCCGTGACATCTCGCACTCTACGCCTGTAACACCGCAACCCGGAACGCCAAACCAGACGTTATCACCTTACAAACCCCTTTCTTC